CAACGACACAACGACACAACGACACAACGACACAACGACACAACGACACAACGACACAACGACACAACGACACAACGACACAACGACACAACGACAACGTCCAACGTACGTATACTCTACCGCCTCCAACCTGCCCACAATGAACCGACGATATCCTTCGCCGCCCCAACAAGGGTAACGCCCTTGCCAAACATACTATCATCACTCGATGCATACCCAGATCCTGTTCCCGATCCCGACCCCGAACCTTGCGCCTCAGCAGGCGAAGGCGACGGAACAGGACTTGGGCTCGCAGCGGGAGAAACGCTCGCCGGACTAGCCGCCTCACCCGTATTCTGTGAAGCCTGAAGAGCATGTCCAACATCCATATTCTTACTCCTGCTCTTGCTCGAGTGCTTGGAGTGAGACTGTGCCGTTTGTCTTCCCTGCGCAGCCAAATTCGTACTCGATGAGCCCTTCATATAACTCCTCAAATACTGGCTGCTCGAACTCCTCTGCAAACCACCTCCATTGTTGGACGATGATGCGGGCTCAGCAGCGACGGCGGCAGCAGTCTCCACACCAATGCTCGGCGCGGGCTTCGGCACTGCGGACTTGACTGGGCTGGTGACATTGGCAGCATTCTTCGGCACAGATGGCGGAACCTGAGCTCTCGGTGTCGATGACTGAGAGGTATTGTTGGCGTTCATCCTGTTCCGCCAGGCAAGAATATCATCTTCCTCATCATCCTCATCCTCCAGATCAAACACCCCACCCCCACCAGGAACCCATGGCGTCCTCCCCGTATCACCCGGGCTAGTCTGACCCGACCCAGTCGGCGTCGCCTCATACCTCGGCGTAACAGGGATCTTCTTCTGCGGGAGGGAGTGCGAGAGGGGGTGTGGACTCGCCGCACCATCATCGTCGCTCTTGAGTGAGGTGGGAGGCAGTGGAGCGATGGTATGCGTATGCTCCAACCGAATACTCGAATGCGTGCGGCCCCGCGTCGGACGTGGTCGTCCTCCACTCGAGGTACTACCCCCCGAACTCTCATTCTTCTTCCTATCCATCGCTTGCGCACCCCCTGGTCCTCCAGCACCAACATTGATGACGAGACCACCATCCTCATCGCTCTCCTCATCTTCCTCACTATCTTCATCGTCCTCGTCCACGTCAGATTCATCGGGTGTCTCAACGGCGATGCACTGCTCCACCCAATCATTGAAATGGATGTGTCGTCTCCTCTCAATACCCGGAGTATTAGCCTCACTATGTGCACTCCTCGGCGACTCAACCCGTTCGCTGTCACTCGAGGACGACGTATACACCCTCGAGTCAGAAGCGGTATGCATCAGAATTGGTCGAGTGGGGGGCATCTCAAGTTTCTGAAACTGACGTTTCTGCTGTTCCTTTTGTTTCTGGACCTGAGATGCGGCGGTCGAAATCAAGTTTCGTGCGCCTTGGGAGAGCATCAACTCGCTCATACTCCGTTTCTTCAGGATCGGTTTCTTGCTGCTCACATATGACCCAGGCGAGTTCAAGCTCGGTCTCGGCGGCGGCGAGATGATGCCAGGGTTGGGAAGCGAAGAAGGAAACTCCGTCGCCGGCGTCGTAGGAGCCGAGTTACCCACCGTAGGCGTAACCGGCGCACTCAAACTCTTCATCGCACTCGAATTCGCCGGCTGAAGCGGTCCATAAAGCCACGTAACATCACAATCCTTCAACCAATTCAACGTAGCCGGACTAACCGTACTCAACTTATACCGCGTCTTTGCCCACGTCCTCCACGAAGCGTTCTCCAAACGCGCACCGTTTTGATATTCGTTCTTTTCTTTGGAGACGTAGGCCCAGGATTTCCAGATGTCGGATTCTTCCCAGTCGTGGGAGAGGTAGTCGACGTGGCGGATGGGTTCGTTGCGGATGGACATGTCGTCGTTGGAGAGGGAGAGTATGATTTCGGAGGCGACGGAGTGGTGGTCGGAGACGTCTGATGTTGGGGTTGGGTGGTCTGAACCAAACGTCGGCGCAGTCGAAGTGGTTGACTCTGGCGTGATCGGTCGCGTACGTTCATCAACTGGTGATTCCGCCTTTGGTGACGGCGATGTATAGAAGATAGTCGGTGTAGGCTGCAGCCCCCGGTTGTTACCCTTCGTCACCTCTGCCGTCGTCTGTGATGAACCACCCGCAGCATACTCATACTGAGGAAAGTACGACTCCTCCTCCCCCGCCATATATGAATCAAAATATCCCTCCGGTCTCTTATTGCCACTCCCACTCAACAAAGCCTGACTCGGTGATGCAGATAGATGTGGTGAGGCCGAATATGAGGAAGCCGCTGAACGAGGAAGAGAGCTCGTCGATGCTGATCGGCGTAGTCCGCCTCCGAAGGAGGATGGTGAAGAGGAAGCCTCAAGGTTGATTGGGACGGCGGCTGCTTCGATGTGCACGTCGGCCATAGTATTGGTTCCGAATTAAGCTTTGCGGAGCAAGGTGTACCGGGAAAGACTGAACCTGCACAATCGGACGGGCTGGACGTATGAGGGGATAAGACGATCGCCGCACACAATCAGAAGGATGACGAGATCGCGTATGTAAAGAACCTCACACGCCTCAACACCAACTGCAGCAGTAAAGCGTAAAAAGGACCCTTACGACCGGTTAAACTGTGTATCGCGCCGGCCCGTAAGCGTTATACAAACGGGACGGAACGACTGGCTCCGCGTGTGTGTCGAAAGTCAGAACTGCGTATCGCTCCACGACTTGCAGTTGCTGGCAGCGTTGGTTGACGGGATGAATGCCGTCTGGAAGAGAGAAATCGCCTTTTACTTCCCTTTCTATTCGGTCTGATGGGCGGTTTGTGTGGGTGGATGCAGGGTGCAGCTTGTTGTCTGCTGATCTGCAGTGTAGGGAGAAATCGTGTGGAGTTGCAAGGCAGGGCAGACCAGGCACTACAAGCTGTGTGAGGCGACTATCGGGGCCTGGGCCGGCAGTAGGCTACACCGTAAAATGCCTGTATTGTTATCAATTGCTATGGTTCTTCTATGTTTTCACCGTGGTTCGGCCGCGAAGGAGGGGTACAGTCTCCCTTTCTCTTCCCGTCTTTCACGACTCCTTCTCTGCTCTTTTCCGGGCTGCGATGGGGCCCTCCCCAGAAGTCCGACCGGGCCATCTCCCGAGGCGCGTCTAGAGAATCGAGGCTAATGACCCTTCTTGCTGCTTCCTGCTTCCTGTACACATGCTCGAACCGAGTTGAACCCGACTGAGCCCTCTCCTAAGCCTCGGCCGACATGTACATTGCTGGTCACAAGGACAACCGCCGAGGCTTACGTGGGCAATCTAGCTGTGACTCCCTTCGACGTCGGCTCCGCGGAGTTTTCATTCGAGGTCTAGAAGGCGTTTTCCGTTTCCGGATTTCGAGATTTTGTGCGTGTTTGCATGAAGGGTCGGCGGTTGGGCGCGCGTCAACCCACACGAACGCTGAGAAAGCTGTACTCCACACTCCGCAATTGGAGAGCCATCCCAGTTGCGTCTGCGTACCGCGGTTCACGACAGCCTCGATGTCCCCAACCGATCGCGATACATCCGTAACCCCCAAAACCCTGCTACCAACTGCAAATTAAGGTTAACCACCCTCATCTCATCGGCTACACAGGCACGGCACGGGTAAAGCCCCTCGAATGAGCTTCGTTCCGCATCCCAGTTGTACCAAGGTTTCAATGACACCCATGTCGCTCTCGAGTCTCCCCCGTCCGGACAAACGTTTATCCGAGCGGAGCTACGTGTCGAGTTCGCAGATGCGTGATGTCACGCATACCCTAGCTGCCAAGACCTCCCGAGAGTGCTGCCGCGGCACATATTATTCTCCCGAAATGAGGGCGAGGTTGTCGCTATACTTGGAAGTTGCATGCAAGGCGCGCGGGGCGATAGGCAACAGCTGCAGGAAGACATATATAGATCTCGATGTTCGGGCAGGGGGATCGGGATGGCACGTAAGGTGGGGAAGGAGGAAGACGGAGGATGAAACGCAACGGAGAGGGGTTTGGGAATGGTGGAAATGTACGGCACATCAGTTGGATGAACAGGGTTCGCCGAGACGTGTCGGTGGTCCGGGCGGTTACGGTTCTCCATCTTGTCACTCCCCGGTATCTTCCGTGCACCAACACCACGGGCCAGGCCATTAACGCACGAACACGGGCAGGTCCTGCCGACCGACCTTCTTCGCGTGCTACCCATCTCTTACGTACAAATGCGTTTCGTCCAAGACACTTTCGTCATCGAGAGCAAGCGGGTGCGAGCATCCGCCTCCGGGCGTCCGGTAAACGTGGGAAAATACCGCAATGCACTTTCGCAGGTGCAGAAGAGTAAGACCGACGTTTTGTGAGGAGCGGCCGACACGTAAGAGAGACTCCAACAATTTTGGTAACGATGGATTTAACAACAGTGATCTACATCATCACCTGACTGTCAAACCTCTCCAGACAAGGACTCGATTCTGGGATGATCATCAGGCTCGATGCCCCAGGGTAACGCAACTCCACACACTTCTATGGCAACTCCTCCTTGAATAGCTCCAAGATCTCCTCGATATTGTTCATAACAACATCATGATAGGTATCATATCTCTAACCCTGGTGTTTACCACGAGAGCGTGCGTCGCCAGCTCAAAGTTCCTCGTCCCAAGCTCGCGGCCTAGATACCTGGTATGCCTCTCAGCAAGGCAGTCATCCCGTTCTTTCAATGCGGTAGCTGCATTGTGACGCTGACAACCTTCGGGTCTGGGCTGGTTGATTTGTACTAAATACTTGACTCATGATAATCGAAGGAGTACCCATCATAGTAAAGGAAGAGGCGGACCTTCTCCAACTTCGGGAAGACAGCGATAGTATTAGGGCTCTTGTACTTGGCAAGAACCTCCTTCTTCTCGTGATCCTCACCATCCCTGATGACACCAGGGTAATGACCTATCGGTGTTTCTGGAGCAACATCGTTAAGCCTTTTGGATCGCGGTCTCGACGACGTCTGGATCGGACCAGACATCTTCGAATGAGATATCTTTGAATGCTGTATTGACATGCAAGGCCCATGGACCGAACCCAAAGCCTTGCGTTTTCAATTCTTTGATCAGAAAGTACTTGCGGCGGTGGCCCAATGGCAAGTCGGAACTGCTGAGTCCCTTATAGAGCTTTGGGGTATTCGCTCTTGTAATAGGGCGGATTCTTGAGATCCTCAATCGTGAAGGCATCCTTGTAGAGGAAAATCTCAACTGGTGTGATAGAATACTGTCCAATCGGCGCTTGGCTCGAACTGGTTGTGTCTTCTGTGTTGTGCGACACCAAAACCAGGGGCGCGGCGCTATTACTAGCTTCTGTGTTCTCCTGCGCTCTAAAAGTCGTGGAAGTCGCACCGGAATCAGGGGAAATTGGTGAAAATGACCCTGTCGGTACACCAGAAGAGGCCTCGATCGTAGGCATCTGTGGCTCAACGGGATTACCGACACGCACCTTGTGCCCCAACTTTCTCACCTGTTCCAACAACTCCGGAGTTGGAACCACATACAGCAAGTTGGCAGTACCGATCCAAGGTACTCTATGTCAGCGGGACGAAGTAGTTCCCTGCAACCTCGACTCATCCTCAGCCGGGCCTGCTCGATGGTCTCTGCTGCCCCCGCGGGCATCGGACAAGAACCCAGCGTCTGCAACCACCTCAAGCGTCTCCGTGATATCATTGACGTAATCGCCAACAAGGACATCAGTCGACTCTATCAGTAGTGGCCCCTTCCTGCCGCCACCACGATGATCCAGACAGCGATAAAAGAACCCCCTGTCCCCCTCTGACAGCGGAAGATTGAAGGCATCCAAAAACCAAGTCTTGGGCGAATCCGAAGTCATTGTTCACATCGATAGTCATGAAAAAGCGCACAAGACGTCTGCTTGAAGGCTGCTTGCTTCATCAATGTTTGGGGGAATAGAATACACACGTACGTGGCTGATCCCTGGTGCCGTGCCCAAGTGTTGAGCTTCACCCAATATGAGGCAAATCGAAATACCCAGACAAACGTCGTCGGGTTCGCTACTGGAAGTTGCTCTGCAACGTCTAGACTTCGAATCCACTTCGCTGCTTTATGCTTTCTCAACGGCAGAAATTCGCACGAAAACGATTGACCTGCTGTGGATAATTGACGTGAGAACGTCACTGATTTGCGGAAGCACCGGCCCAAGATGGGGCCTATGCAGGCGAACCTTCATATCATGCTCATTGTGTATTTGCTCTGGTTCACTTTCACAGTTTGTGTTATGATTTTCTCTCACGGAAACCAGATTAAGAGTAAGTTCGTAATATATGAGTAGCGAAGGGTAGTGAAGAGAACGGTAATTTATGAACGACCTTCTAACCCAAACGGCCGATGCGTCTTGAAGCAGGCATATGGCCTTGCAATTGACGGCCCTCCCTCAACAACTGCAATAAGGTTCGTACCTGGCATGCACGTGATTGCGTACCCAGCTGGCCCCCCATTTCCTTGCAGCAACGACGAACGAAGTATACTTGAACAGTCAGGCCGATCCAATCCTACGATTCCGAATATCAACGAGAACGACGATTGAGAATCGCAATGTCGCTCCTCAAAGACCTCCCGACAGTAACGGCGTCCCAATCCTACACCTCCGACCAATCCGCCCTCCTCGCATCCCTCGACCTCAAACGCCGTGCGGCACGAGTCGCCGCACCAACAGATGACGCAAAAGTCCGCCACATGCTCCGTAACCTCGGAGAGCCAATCACTCTCTTTGCTGAAGGTCCCGCCGAGCGAAGAGATCGGTTAAAGTTGGTGCTTGCGAAAAAGGAGGAGGAGGACAGTGATTTCGACATGGATGCGGAAGAGGAGGAGGGCGAGGGCGAGGAACAGGAGGAGTTCTATACACCTGGTTCGGAGGAGCTACTTTCTGCGCGGAGAAAAATGGCCGAGTATTCATTACCAAGAGCGAAAGCCCGTCTACGCATCGAATCCCACGACGCGAAAATATCGTTACCGAATCATATCAATCAACGGAAAGCACTACGGAAAGTCTTGGTACAGACAGCGGCGATGGGAGCGCAGTTGACGGGTGATAGACCGACGGGTATCGCGCGGTTCAGTCCGGACGGAAGGAGGTTCGCGACAGGTGATTGGGGAGGCGGTGTCAAGGTGTGGAGAGTGGGTGATATGGAATGTGAGAGTGCAAAGTATGGAGGGCATAGGGATAGGGTCGGTGGGTTATCCTGGAATCCTGATACCACCTCGATTCTGGAATTAGCGACCGGTGGGGGCGACGGAGAATTGGCGTTATGGAGCACAAACAACGACAAACCGGAACCACTGCATCTCTTGAAAGACATCCACACCCACCGCGTTAACCGCGTCGCATTCCACCCCTCCGGGCAATACCTCGCCTCCGCCTCCGCCGACACAACCTGGTCCCTCATCGACCTGCCAACCCTCACCCCCCTCCTCCACCAATCAGGGCACTCCCGCGCCGTCTACGCACTCGCCCCCCACCCTGACGGCTCACTCCTCGCGACAGGAGGTCAAGACGCCATTGGCCGCGCATGGGATCTGAGAACGGGACGAACGATCATGGTGTTAGATGGGCATGTGGGGGATGTCCTTGGACTGGATTGGGCGGAGGATGGGTATAGAGTTTTGAGTGCGGCTGGAGATGGAAGTGTGAAGGTGTGGGATTTGAGGGCGGTTAGGTGTGTTGCGACCATCCCTGCCCATAAAGGGTTGGCGAGTGATGTCAGGTGGTGTAAGGGTGGGGATATCACTGCACCCCCAAAATCACAGCCTGCTGCGGCAGATCCGGACGCGATGGATGTGAGTCAGGATGCGGAGGATGAACTACCCGCTGATCGACCAAGTGGGCGGAGTACGTGGTTCGCGACGAGTGGGTATGACGCGAGCGTGAATTTGTGGTCGGCGGATGATTGGACGCTCGTGAAGACTTTGAAGGGACATGATGGGAAGGTGATGAGTTGTGATGTTAGTCCTGGGGGTGAGCATATTCTTAGTAGTGGGTGGGAAAGGGTTGTTAGGATGTGGGGGCGGGATTGAACATGACAATTGCAAGCCTAGATTTTCGTGGGGAGTGGCCAGAATTATGTTTAGACGTGACATTAGGTATGGAGGAAAACACTTCTTCAGTAGCGGGTGATCAGTACTAAGCACTCGAAACTTTGTAGCACGAGAACAAGCCAGGAAAAAACCTAACAGACATTTCGAGTACACCACGTGAATCAGAAGATTCGATTATCCATTCTGACCACCTTCGAGCCCATTTGGAAAAACGAGAAAAACGGTGGCTCGACAAAAGGGCGGCCCCAAAGCCTGCCCCGTGGGTTCCCCTCCGGGAAAGCAGTTACCACCAGAGTACAGCTCTGAAATCGCATGCTACTATACAAATGACTCGCTTATATCCGCAGAAACGCGTGGTTTCCCGCAATTTAGGCACGTCGACGCTCGTGATTCGGACAGTTGGGACGCCCGACCGACATGTCGAGAGGTTGCTGGTACATGGGAGCAACCATAACTTGCTAATTTATATCTCGGAGGACCTGCTCTTTCATACGAGATCGTTGCTGGGTCCTTCTCCAAGAGGCGCTCTCACGGTGAATCGCTCGTAGTACCGAAAAGGGTGTGGCGAGGGTGGCTAGGTGCAGATCGTGTCCACGTTACGGCATGACCGAATGCGACCGCTCAAAAGTCGCCCCCCTCGAAACCTTATATGTCCCCGCACCCCTCGCTTCCTACCACCCTCAAATATACAAGCAGCAATGACAACGGATCAGATTGATGACAAAGAACACCCACAATTGGTTGCCTTCGATCTCGACTACACCTGCTGGCCCCTCTGGATCTACACCCACGTAACCGGCCCCCTCAAGCCCTCCGGAAAGCCAAACCTCGTCTTCGACAAATACGGTGACAAAATTGCTATGTACGACGACATGCCAGAAATCCTCCACTTCCTACAAGAACGCGACATCCACGTCGCGGCGGCATCGAGAACACATGCACCAAATCTGGCGAGACAAGCGCTGAGTTTGATGACGCTACCACCGTCTAATAAGAGGGCAGAGAGTTTTTTCGATACGTGTGAGATTTATCCCGGGAGTAAGATTAAGCACTTTCAGGAACTGCATCGGAAAACCGGGATCCCGTACACCGAAATGGTATTCTACGACGATGAACGAAGAAACGTGGAGGTGGAGAAGTTGGGAGTCACCTTCGTGTTGGTGCCGGATGGTGTTAATAGAAGGATTTTCGAGCAGGGGATCGAAGAGTGGAGGAGGCGGCACAAGAAAGGGGAGGGGGAGAAGGTTGTTACGGTTAGGCCGAGGAAGGGGGCGAAGAAGGGGTTGTAGAGTGTGAGATGCTGGGTTCCGAATTTGATGTCGAAGGTGTTATGCCTCCATCGGACAATCTCGTCTCTGCAGTTTGAATACGTCTGACGCTACGATTAGAAGAGAACGGAAAACCGAGCGGCAGGGTCCCGTGGCCGTTATAGACACAAACTGCAGGGATTGACGGATACGGAGATGGATGAAGGTCAAGACGGCCCGCAACAGGGCTATTAGGCGGCTAGATTAGTCAGACAACAACAAGACGCTTTCGAATGGAAGCGCTGTGTGAATATGATATCTCAACTCATAGGACATCCGGCATCGTGCGAAGAAATGGGAAGATCTGCGCGAGCCTAAAGACAGCAGATGTAGATGTTCCAACAGTAGGTGAATGTTCTGCTCGATAACTTCAGTCATGTGTACCCTGTCGCACCAACTGTCCTAGATAATACTGTAGCAGGCTCGAACAGAGAATAACGTCACCCGATTTGGAAGTCTGTGAACGAGGATTTGCGGGGACATTTATTACTATGCTAGACCTTACATACTTTGTCACCCTATCGTAAACAGGATGTCCAATCAGTCCACATCCAGGCCGTTTGGCATGGCAAGGGCGGGAATAGGATTATGACCGGCTTGATCAAATCTCCAGAACTGGCAACCTCACCTCATCTACTGACAAAACCATCCAAAGGATCAGTTAAGTTGGTGCTCTCAGTCGGGGACTATCACCTCGTAATAAAAGTGTAGACAAGAACTAGAAAGGACATGTGGTTCCCTTGGCGTCTACTGGAGGGACTGCTGATGCAAACGATAGTGTTGGGCTGAATGAGATGGGGGGAGAAGATGGTGGAGAGGAAGAGAAGAAATTCGAAAACAGCTGTACAGGCTTACGACAGCGCTGGTAATTGTCATGATCAGACGTCGTGCTTTGATAGGATGGTTAATGGTTAATGAGGCCAGGTCATCTCTAGCGATTTTGCCTGGAACTTCAATATAACTCGGTAAAGGTTTCCCGAGACAGCTTGGCGCGCGCGTCGTATATGCATTAGCCACGCACCAGCCACAACTTCGGCCGGAAGAACAATGGGCCGAGAACGAAAAGGATACCGCCCGCTGTCGTCGTGATGTTGTTGATCCGTGTACGATCGCGAAGGCCAATTGCAAAGGAAGGAGTATAGGGAAATGGTTTACAATTCATCCGACCCTATCTACCTGTACATCCTCGCAGCTAGGAATAGCGGCACTTGTATCGACTACATCGATGGCTACGAACCATCCTACGGCTACGTTCCCTCGCTGGGTGTTGGTATCACCTTCCTCGTACTTTTCGGACTATCGGCGTTAGTGCACTTGGTGCAGATGTGTTGGAAGCGAACATGGTGGACCTCCGTATTCGTCATCGGAGCAATTGGTACGTCTCTTCCCTCGCTCGTCTAAGATCTAATGGACATGTGTTGATATTTGTGAGTGAAGCCGAGATATTGGGTTGGTCAGCCCGAACCTGGTCCGCCCGCTGCCCATACTCCTCCACCGCGTTCCTCATGCAGATCTCTACACTCATCATCGCTCCCACATTCTTCACCGCCGGGATCTACATCATCCTCGGTCGACTCATCACCCTGGCCTCCTCTAACGCCTATTCTGGAGAGAAGAAAAAGTTATCGATCATCACACCCAAGATGTACCTCTGGATCTTCTGCACCTGCGACATCCTCTCCCTCGTCATCCAAGCCATCGGAGGCGGCATGGCATCCGGTGAATCCAACAAAGTCGGTGGGGATACAAAGCCGGGGACGGATGTCATGGTTGCTGGTATCGTCTTCCAACTCGCCACGATAACGATTTTCTGTTACTTTTTCGTTGACTTCCTCCTCCGTTCGCAGCGCGTGTCTTCATCGATTTTTGGGAGGAGTAGGTGGATTGTGGGGGCGACGGTCTTGTCTGTGGTAACGATCTACATCCGCTCCATCTACCGCACGATCGAACTCGTGCAGGGGTGGGATGGGTATCTAATCACCAGGGAACGGTATTTCGGGGGGTTGGATGGGGCGATGATGGTCATTGCTGTGGGCGTGTTTAATTGTGTGCATCCGGGGTGGGCACTTCCCAAAGCGCATAGCTCGGCGGAGGGGATGGATGAGATCGTTATGGTGAGTGAGAGGGAGGGGGAGAAAGCTTAGAGCGTGAGGTCGGAATACGTCTGGGTGGTTTCTTCTATTTTGGATCTGTTGGTGGGATTTGTGCCAAGGGATGGTTTTGAAAACATATCCTAGAGCTGATTTACGCTCAATATACCATTTTGTTTGGATATTTGCCCTTCTCTTTGCAGTTCGTGTTTGAGCGTGGGCATGGAGCACACAGTCATTTCGCACGGTACTCGCGCTTTCAGTACGCTGTACGGACGTTTTCTCTGCCTGCGCTCGTGTGATGTCGACTGAAGCCATTTGGTAGCTAACTAACTGAACCAAGTTCATAACTGCTCGCGTCAGTCTTCACCCAGTTCCGGTACTTCCCATCCTTGTGTTGTTGCACATCAAGGGTGACCTACCGGTTCCGGACGGACGACATGACCCGTGACGACGTCAACTTCAATCAACGCCTGGAAGCGCACCCGGTGCTGCATCTGCTCGGAACCTCTGCAGCATCACTAATGTAGTCTGATTCGAGAATGAAAATCTGCTCGAGCTCTCTCCACGAAGTCTCCTCCCCAACTCACCCATTCCAACACCATGTCTGAGCCCAATGGTCCCTCCAGCAGACGCCAAGGGAACTATATGTCCTATGTAATTCTTGTCTACACCTTTTTTACGAGGTGATAGTCACGAACTGAGAGCACCGACGCCCTGGTCCTCTGGATGGTTTTTGGATGAGAGTGAGGTCTCGTGACTTGATTGTTTGCTGGGTCATGTTCCTATTCCTACCCTTGCCATGCCAAACGGCCTGGAAGGGGAGTGGCTGGCCACGCTGTCTACAGTAGGGTGACAAATGTCGTAATGTAGATTCTAGGATAGTAATAAATGTCTCCCTGTACTCCTCATCCACGAACTTCTACAGCGAGTGACGTATTCTCGACCCTGATATTGCCTAAGACGTGCGACAGAATATACGTAGTGACAAATGAAGTTACCGAGCAGGACCGGCTACATCGAGTCGGTTTCGGGGCAGGTAAATTCGTACATCCCCGGTTCTGCCAACGCCATCGTCGACTTGGACTCTGAGGACAACCCAGCTCCAGTTACGTGCAAGGAAACTGCACACACCACGGGAGGATGATCAGGAATGTGCAGTATCGATCAAAGCGATGCGCAGGTTCCAAGTGTGTGCTCGGATTGCCGAACAGGCAGAAGGTTATGCCAAGGCGACGGAAAATCTTAGCTATGGCGGCACGAATCATCCACCTGCCCAGACAACGGCGGTCCGTGGCCAGGTCACGGAATATCGCGTAGGCAGACCCAACCGTTTTCCTTTCCTCAAGTATTTCACGTGTGCTTGATCTCAGAGTGGGAGAAATTGACCGCTATTCACTCTAGAGCGTGGAAATATCGATTCTGCACTTAACGCGGCTCAAGCCTTACGGAGACAAGTCTTCAGAAAAGGCCAGTAGAACGAGCAGTCCAAAGCGGTACGAAACATGAAGACATAGAAACATCGTGATGCACGTGGCTTTGATTTTCGATTAAGCCTAAAGATATCCCTAACGAAACGAATGAAACAAACAATATCCCAAATTGCAATCCCGATACCCAAAAACAGTAAAACACAATGCAATAAGTATGTGGATTCACAAATCTCAACTACACCAACAACACAGCATTGACAGTACCATCCAACTCCGGGTTATTTGTAATCTGCGCATACTTTCCCCACACAACCTTTCCACCCGCCGTAGTCAACCCCAACTCACTAACGTTGACCTCGATAACCGTTCCCTTGGTCAAAACACCCAACTGCGTATACATAGGATTCTGCGGGTTCTTCTTCACGCCCAAAATCGGCAACTGGAACGTCGCAGCCAACTCAGGATGCGTAACGTTCGCCTTCTTCTGACGGAGTGCCATGGGGCGGATGAATCTCTCATACTTGACGGGACGACGGGTGAAGCCCTCACCGACGAAAGTGGCTTTTGTGATCATACGCTTCCATGACTTGGTTTTTGACTTTCCGGTTCTGACGACCTTGAACATCTCATCCTCAGCCATACCACGGACCTGCGGCAGCGGGACAGTGAATCGTCCAGCCTTCTCCTTCCGCTTCTGCTTAACCATACTCGACAAAACCTTAGCGTCCTTCTCCTCCTTCCTGTCCAACAAATACGCGGGCACAGCACCATCTCCACCGACCTCCTTCTCCGTCGTTTTCGCATTCCGCTCCTGGTGCTGCTTGAGCGTCTTCTTCATCTGGATCTTCTCGATGTGACGTTTCTTTTGGTGGAGCTTGGCGGCTAAGCCGTGGACTTTCTGGGCATATTCGGATTGTTTGTGGACGGAACGGGCGGCTCTCTTGCGGACACGTTCTTCGTGGTCGAGACGACGACCGTGCTTCTTGGTCCATTCGTCCATGTATTCATTTTGAGGCTGTAGGGCATGGTTAGCACCGTGATCTGACAACTCCTGTACAAAAGGTGAAGAGACGTACCATCTTGGCTGTAAAGCGCCTTGCGCTGGCTGATCAAACTCTTTAAAACTGTTCTGTCGACAAAGTATCGACTTGATTCCACAATATACGAAAAGATCGAAGCTTCACTGAGGCAATTGGTCGTTGTAGGGCGTATCTGACCTTTTTCAACTCCTCCTTCACGGCGGCGAATATCAGCGCCTTATCGAAAAAAGCTTGGTGCCTTGCTGTGCCACCCGTGCCACCCACCAAGAAAGTAACAAGGCACGACGAACAACGCTGTAGACAGAGAAGGAGGAGCATTTATCCCAGCTGGATCAACGGAAGGATGTTCGGATCAAGATCAATACTATCACGGCTGCCACTCAGTGGGGCGTTTGCACGAGGTGCGGCTTTCCCTCTCGTCAGCTCGATAGGGCGGTGTTGCTGACTTTCTGCTTGTTGTGTAGGAGGGGCAAGAACCATCGCTCATGCGACACAACGCTCCATCATGAAAGTACCAATAATCTCAGTCCCACCAGCAGTCCCTACCTCCACTGCTCCACCAGCACAGACCCAACCCCTTGCCGAGACAATCCGTCTTCTCCGTTCGCAGCCATCGCACTACATGACCGTCCACATCCACAACCGTCCATACCTCCTCACCCAAGGTGACACCGTCACTGTTCACCGTCTCAAGGATGCGCCACTCGGGTCTACCCTCAAATTGACCCGCGTCTCCCAAATTGGTTCGCGCGACTACACGTTGAGGGCGTCCTTGGAGGACCATGAGCACATGATTGATGAGAGGTTGTTTACGGTTAAGGCGAGAGTTGTGGAACACACGAAGGGACCCCTGATTCTTATCAAGAAGACGAAAAGGAGACGTAGGCACGTTCATACCGTTAAGCACAAGCAGACGTACACGGTGTTGAGGATCTGCGAGATGAAGGTTCACGAGGTGCCCAAGGATTTGGAGTAGTGAGATGGCGCGTCGGATTGATGGGGTTGGAGTGAAAAGATATAGGAACGAGGAGGTGAAGTGCATAGCAATATAGCATCAAAGCGAATGCATTGTCAATGAAAGGTATTACAATTACGAGTATCTATCTCGCACTTTGCGTGTTGCAATCCCAAACCTCACAGTTAAGCTCGTCCAAAACAAGAAGGAAGAACTCCAAGAACGACCCGTATATCCCCGTAAAAAAGAAAATGACGCCATAAATATATTTTGTCACCCTCACCATGACCTACTTCGCCAGCTTCCTCCATACCTCTTGAACATGCTCATCCTCCAACTCCTTAAACATTCCATCCCTTCCGGCCTCGAAGCATTGTTGCATCAAGGTCTTCAGAGTCTGCAAGTTTAATCCCCTCATCTCCTCCTTACCATTCCATCTAGCGCCGGGCTTCAAGAACGGATCCTCAAGAAGTTCGGGAATAGTCATCCGCTTTTTCTGGTCCCGCTCCAAGCACGTCTTCATGACCCGCAACAGATCAGCCTCAACCGGAACAGCCTTAATGTTCAGCTCCTCGACCTTCTGATCGGAAGTCGATGGTAACGGAACAGCCATCTCGGGAAACGTAACCAGATAGGTAGGATTCGGGATGTATTGGATTTTCTGCATTATGGTTAAATGCGCGAAAGGCGTTCTGCCGTAGACCATCTGGTACAGGATACACCCCAAACTCCAAACATCACTTGGACGTCCGAGCTTCAGCAACCTCTCTTGCGGCTGACCGGGCACAGGGAATGCGGACGGTACGGCATTCACATCAGAAATGGCCTCGGGAGACATGTAATTCACCGTACCAATCTGTGAGTCACGGTGAATATTGGTTGTATCATTCCCAATTGCCTTCGCGATACCGAAATCGATGAGTTTCAGTTGTCCCTCGACCAACAAGAAGTTCGCCGGCTTCAGGTCAGAATGCACGATCTTCATCTCGTGAATTGCCTGTACAGCTTGCAGCATATGCTGCCAATACAATCGGATAAAATTCATGTTGACAGGCTGCCCAGCTTGTTTCTGTAGCATGTGCGCCAAGTCGATCTCACCGCACTCCATCAACATCATCAGATACCCCTTCGCATCATTAATCTCGGAATCGAACAACGTGACAATCCGCTCGTTGCCCTTCAGTTTATTAAGAAGCGCAATTTCGTTCTTGTAACCCGCAATTGCCTGGTAATCGGCTTTGTCGAAACTGACTTTCTTCAATGCAAAAATGCGATTGTTCGGGGTGATGACTTTGAAGACCTTCGAGGATCCACCACGGCCGATAATGTCAAGACGGGTGTATACTCGACCGTTCAGCGCGATCATGGGTTTCGCTTTTGCTTGGGCTGGTTTGGTCGGGACCACCTGGTCTGTCACTTGTACTGGTGTCTGCTGCACAGGAGCTGGCATTTGTACTGATGCAGGAGCGGAAGTGGGCACTGGTGCTGGTGCTTGAACCGGAGCAGATTGAGGGACAACCACTGCCTCCTGAACAAACGCCGGCGCCGGTGCTTTTGGTGTCGCTGCTCTCCGCGACGGAGGATGTGACGGCGTCGTAGTCCGTACTGGCTCCCTCTCCTCCCTAGGCGGCGGGGTAACACCCATCGAATTCGACGATAACCGACCCGAGCTGCTTCTATGCGGTTGCCGTTCGTCTCTTGCAATACTGTTCAACACCACCGGTGACTCTTCTCTGCGCATAACCGGGCTTGTTGACCGCCGTATTGAAGGTTGTAAGACCACTGGCGGTACGAGGTCGATGTCGTGCCGTGGTGCTTGTCGAACGGTACTTTCCGTATTCACCGTACTCGGGCTATAACTCCGTCTACTCTGTCCGATAGTAGGTCTCGCCATATCCACATCCATTGGACTTTCACTTCGTCGCGGAATGTTTCGTTCAGGCGTACTTGCATTCACTGGTTTACCGAGAACCGCAGATTCAGGCGGTTGAGTCGGTAATGATGAAGCGTCTGACCCTTCAACCCGTGATGCTGGTGGCGGGCTAATTTTCATTGTGACTGAACCTGTTACCGATCTTCTCCATGCTTCGAAATCGTCAAATGCAGCGGGGGTTTCAGGGATAGACGACGTCGGCCGTGCTTCGGTCGTTGAAGACCCAAAGGATTCCCGTGGACGGTACGCGGACGAAGACATCGACACCCGAGAACTGCTAGAGCCAAGCGAATCACGCGGCTTCGCGAAGTTGTTGCCATTCGACAAGCGTCTTGATGCTGCACTTTCGGTGCTCGTCCTTCGGGTGCTGTAGGAGGTAACAGATTCCCGAAGAGATGGCACGGTAGATCCAGACGTCCGTCGTGACTCCCGTTCAGGGGCATAATCGCGTTCGGCCCGGGGTTCGGGCGATTGTCTGCTGCTGATGGTCCGGCCATATTGTTCGGTTGAGGTGTACCTGGGAGCTTCACGCTGGTAATCCATAGCTTGAGGCGAAGGACTCCGTCTTGAACTTGACGACCGCTTGAACTCATCCAGCGCCCTCATCGTCGCCTCCGCTTTCGATACCAATGATTCTCTCCTGTAGTCCCTTTCAGACCTCATCATTGCATCTTCATCTCCCCGTCTGCTCATTACTGGACTTCCGCTACTTGCGCGCTCTTCACTCCGTCGCGCATGTTCTTCGTTCTCAGAGACTCCACCACCGCTCACTCTTCTATTTCCCTCAACATCCTCCATTTCTGATTCTACGACAACGCCATCGCTCAACCTCGTGACACGTTTTGGTGCTCCCAAGCCCAATCGGCCGACGCGCTTATGTCTTGCCGAAGCTCCGAGAACGCCTCTCGAGGACTTGAAGGCCGCTGCGCCTGGGGTCTCCGGTATAGTTGAAGACGCGAGCGCAGGTGCGAGAGTATTCGTGTCTGTTGGTAGCAATGGCTGGCGACAATAATCTCCGCCGGATGATAGCGCAGCAGGCGTCGTACTGCTGACTGTCGCTATTGACGGCACCGGCGCAGGCCTCGGACTTGGTACTGATCCTTTCTCTTCTGCCAGCAACTGCTTCATATATGTACTCTCGAACTTGAATTCAGCATCATCGGAATCATCGAGCGAAATATCGCCGAGACCGATCGGCGCGGGAACTGAGGTTGTAGTGGATGACATGCGACGGGGTGAGAGAGACGAGCGGCCGCTCAACATGATGGCATCTCCTGATAAAACGTAACTGTCGGAAGAGAGCGTATCTGACGGCTGATCAAAGAGCGTGAAGTCGAGTACTTGTCGGATTTTTGGACGCGAATCTTGTAACTGTTTGTTATTGGGCTCAGCGTACCGTACGCTGCAGGTGCAGCTCGGTCACCGTTGCTATGTGCACGGCCACCACCCGCCACACCAAGACCTCAGGATCATGAACATGGACTGAACCGGAAAAACAGCTGAAGTAAAGCAACAGCCTGAACATGCCTTGCGAGGTCAATCCGACCAGAGCCAATTGACCCCGATTCACTGATCCGGATCTCCGGATGCTGGACTTTGGGGACGGGTGCGTGCACGACCATGCTTTTGCGCACGGACCCCATACGCTGCACTAAACCTTATGCGACGATTTTCTCACTGCGCAAAAGAATTCAAAGGGATAGGCTTCAGCACTAACGCTATCCACTCAGGCCACAAGCCAACATTTGGCATGAAATGAGCCTTATTTAGGGGGCAATTGGCATCTCAATCATGCACGCGCACTGACCCGGGTTTTGAACGTACGTTGGCCGCTTCAGTGAGCCCCGTTGAGTTCATTTCTGGAACCGTTAAGCAGACACTCTGCGAGGCGCAAGCGTTATATTGCCATGGGAAGAAAAGCGTGCTTCGGTTCTGTACACATAAGAGCTCGCTACACCTCGCGAGGGTGCTCGGATCGATAACGGCATGTTAGGATACTCGACAATGGCCATTCTTAACACTTTGATCGTCGCGCTTTCGGCTCTTACTGCCATCACCGAGGCGGTGCCGTACAACCCTAGCTACCCTGGCCTTGAGCGTCGTCAGCTCTCCAATGGCACTTTCACCAACGGTACCGTTGTTGCTGATCCCGCTGAGGAGACCACCACCAACTATGTGACCTTCACTGAGTTCGAGACTTCCACTACCACCGTCTCGGTCCCTGCTCCCTCCACCGCTACTCAAACCCAGACCATCTCCGTTGGCGCTGTGTCCACCATCACAGCCACCAAGCCCTGGGTCGTTTCTAAGACCAGCACCTATGAGTACCCCACAACGGTGGCTACCAGCACCGACATCGAGACCGAGACCGTGAAGACCATTTCCCGCTCTATCAAGAACGTCATCTGGACCAATACTGTCTCCGTCCGTGCTCCCACCATCACCACGACTGCCTGGTCAACCGAGACCGAGACGAAGTGGAAGAAGGAGACTGCTGTCGTCAAGAAGGGAAAGAAGACTACCACCATTACTCCCACCATCACGGTTATCCCTACCTTCTACTCTACCGTCTGGACCCGTCCTACCAAGACTGTCGTCAGCTCCGTCAAGTCCACCAAGAAGGTGACCAAGGCTTGCTCTTCTTCTACCACTAGCAAGTGGAGGAACAGGCGTGCCGTCGCTGACGAGACCTCCACTACTACCTCTACCGTCGTCGAGACCTCTACCTTCACCTCCGCCGTCCCCACTACCACCACCTCCATCACCTCCACCCACTATACCTCCACCACCACTTCTTACCCCTTCACCACCACCAGCACGGTGGTCATCTCCTCTGCTTACCCCGTCACCGCGGAGGAAGAATCTACCACAACTGTGACCACTTACACCAAGACCTCCGTGAGCTCCAAGGCTACCGCTCGTCGCACCACCACCAAGACCGTCGGTAAGCCCAAGACTGTCGAGGTCGAGTCGACTACCACCGAGACTGCTGAGCGCACCTCCACTGTCTTCGTCACCGTTCCCTCTTCGTGGATTACCAAGACCGGTCGCCGCCAGACTGTTTGGGGAAAGAAGAACACTGTTAAGGTCACCAAGACTTCTGGAAAGCCTACTACTACGTACGTGAAGAGGATTCAGCTCGTTACTGCGACTGTTACTCCTACCAACTGCGGCAAGAACTCTAACTCCAGGGAGAGGGATTAGGTCATGAAAAGACTTGTTGTGGATAGGCATATTACCCTTTAGCTTTACCTAATTTTACCACCGGGCAGTGACTCGACTTTGGCGAGTTTGCCTTTCATTTCATCGTCCAATCAGGCGTGGGAATCAAGCTTTGTACCCTACGTACGGAAGAAAAAGCGACTCGAGCTTCCGAACCCTTCTCGAACGACACGTATGAACAAGATCACAAGCATCTATACTAACGAAGCAACTCGTCTTCATAAGGGAATGACAAGTCAGTCATTGGAATCCTGATCGAGTAATCCAGGGACAAAGACCCGTTACGCTGCGCCCAGCCCCGCGCCTATCCGCGCGCGTGCTACGCTCGGTCCCGCTCGTATGTACTTAACCACATTTACCGTACAGCCCACTCATAATCTTCGACCTTCGCTACAATCTGTATACGAAATTCATGAGGACCAATGCCTCCAGAGAACTCCAATCGACCTTCATTGTCATCTCCAAGATCCTCGTCTTCGTCAGAGGATAGCTTCGTGCTTGATGAGCTGGATCCGACTTCCGCCCGACATGCGCCAGCCGCGGGAGAGGAGGAGCCGAAGATGGAGGAGATGGATATTGAGGATGAGGAAGATGGGTTGATGGGTGCCCGCGACGCATCACGGAAGAGAACAGTGAGTTTGATGGAGTTCTTGGCAATGAGTTAAGCTGAACCTTGATGCAGAACTTCCGACGATGGCTATTTGGCGGCGTTGGAGTCGTTTCTCTGATATGGCTCTCGTTACTTGCATACTACCTCCTACGAACACATCCAGCACTGCCCACATCTCATCTATCCTTGTCGGGCACGGGCAAACCACACATCACCCGCGAAACTCTCGACGCTGGTGCGTTCTGGCCGCGGACTCATACTGTGTCATGGTTGCCGTCGTCCAACGCAACGCATGGTACATTCCTTACCAGGACGAATGGAGAGCTTCGAGTTGAAGACACTACCGGCTCAAGCTCCACACTCGTGAAGGAATCAGAGATCAAGGACCCAAGCACCGGCAATCAACTGCGTCTCAGCAAATACTGGTTGAGCCGAGATGCCAGGTACATCCTGTTCGCAACGGATGTTCACCGTAACTTCCGCCACTCATTCTGGGCCAAATACTGGGTTTACGACACCGAATCCCATAGCACCTCCGCCGTTGCTGGAGCCCGCACTCTAAACTGGGCAGGATGGAGCGGAAACGGATCCGCTCTCGCCTGGGTCGAGAACGGTGATCTCTGGGTTCGCTCAAGCATGACCGAGAAAGAATGGCGTGTCACCAAAGATGGTGGACCCAATGTCTTCAATGGTGTTCCAGACTGGGTATACGAGGAGGAAGTCTTCCAGACGAACTCTGTTACGTGGTTCTCGCCGGCAAACGCACATGTTGCGTACCTCCGCACAAACGAATCGCAGACTCCTACGTACGAGATTCCGTACTACATTCCGGAGAACAGCCGTGAAGATATCAGGGCGTATCCGGAAAATCTGGCGGTGAAGTACCCGAAGCCGGGGTTCCCTAACCCGGTGACTGAGATGTATTTTTACACCATTCCGCCTGAGACGACTGATGACAACACGGATGCCAATGTCGGTACCCCGTTCACTATCGCCATTGAAGATGACTTTAGTCCTGAGGACCGCATTATCACCGAGTTGGCATGGGTTGGACGAGATACAGCTCTGATGCACATCACCAACCGTGACTCCTCTATCTTGAAAACGGTCATTCTCGATATCACTGCGCGTACCGGCCACGTAGTTCGCACCACGGACATCTTTGCCGAAGATGGCGGTTGGTTCGAGGTCACTCGGGAAACTCGTTGGGTACCCAAGGATGTCGCGAATGGCAGACCTGAGGACGGGTACATCGATATCGTCATCAAGGACGGAAACAACCACCTCGCGTACTACACGCCTGTCACCAGCAGTGAGCCCACAGCTTACCTGACCAGTGGTAATTGGGAGGTCGATGGCGGTGTCAAGGGACTTGATCTTCAGCGCGGGTTGGTGTACTTTGTCAGTACCGAGAAAAGTTCAATCGAGAGGCATGTGTATTCTGTGAAGCTCGATGGCACTGCTTCAAAGCCAATTACCAATACCACGGAGGAAGCATTTTACGAGGTTGACTTCGCACCTGGAGCTGAGTGGTACACATTGTCATACACCGGTCCTAACGTGCCCTGGCAAAAAGTGCTCAGCACTGTCGATGCGTCCTACTCGCACGACCTCGAGACAAACGAACGCGTCAAGACGGAGGTGGAGGTGTATGACCTGCCTACTTTCCACTACAGCCAAATCATTGTCGATGGGTACACCCTCAATGCTGTCGAAATCAGACCGCCTGGGTTTGATGACACCGGTGCGACCAAGTACCCAGTCCTCTTCCACCCATATGGTGGACCAATCTCCCAATCCGTCAAGAAGACCTTCAACTATGATTGGCACTCGGTCTTGGCCTCTGACCCAGACCGCGCGTACATCACCGTAATCGTCGACGGCCGCGGTACAGGTTTCATGGGCCGCAAGAACAGAGTCGGTATTCGAGGTCAGGTCGGTGCTCTTGAAGCGCGAGATCAAATCGAGGCGGGTAAACAGTGGGCAAAGAAGAAGTATGTCGATGAAACGAAGATTGCGATCTGGGGTTGGAGTTTCGGTGGGTTCTTGACGTTGAAGGTCCTGGAACAGGGGAGTGGAGTGTTCCAGTACGGGATGGCTGTTGCTCCTGTTACGGATTGGAGATACTATGGTACGACATCGTGTGAAGTGTGTCTCTGTGAGTTTTACTAACGATGTCATACAGATTCCGTATACACTGAGCGTTATATGGGGACCATTACCGACAATTTGGATGGCTACCGGCAATCCGCCATCCATGATATCAACAACCTGGCCAGCGCAGATCGTTTCCTCGTCATGCACGGTTCTGGCGACGATAACGTGCACTTCCAGAACACGCTTTCACTCCTCGACAAGCTGGATCTTGCCGGCGTGACAAACTATGATATGCACGTGTTCCCTGACAGTGATCACAGCATCTACTTTCATAACGCCAATCCGGCCGTTTACCGGAAGCTGACGGAATGGTTGACGGAAGCATTTGGGAAGAAGAAGGGAAACTCGTGGAGCAAGGGTCTGTGGGAGAATGACGACTGAGCCAGGGATACTGCTTAGGTGCTACTACATATAGGTTGTGAGTATTTCTATCCGGGAGAACTTCAGACTGTGACTCAGCTGCAGCAGCCTGTACACGATGTCCCGTCCCTCTCCAACTTCACTCCATTACACCATACCATCTCCACCATTTTCCTTCCCTACGTTAAAGAATACCCCAAGTCTCCTCAGCAGCACAACAGAACTTTCCACAAGCGACAGACGCACTCAACGCATACTCACTAACCGCAATCTTCTCATCAACCCACCCATCCGCAAAATTATCCTCCCCATGCGCCATAGCCCCAAGCGCAATACACAAACTCCTCGGCTCTCCCTTCTCATCCACACACGCCTTCGGAACATACTCGCTCAACTTGACAGCCGGCGCATCGAACGAGAGCGTAATTTTGTGGCAGTTGGCGGGAAGGTGGTCCGTGATTGGGTTTTTGATGACTTTGAGGAGTTTTTCGGAGCCGTTGACGGAGCGGATAGAGAGCTTGTGGAGGAGTTGGACCATGAGTCCGGAGAAGCGTTTGAATGTGCGGGGGATACGGACGTGGGGGTTGACTTCGATGAGGACGTTTTTCTGGGTTTGGATGTAGACTTGGAGGCGACCGGCCTTGTTAAGGGGAGAGTCGAGAAGGGTGAGTAGACACTGTAATGTAACCCTTCATCAGCACAATGTTCTTTGCATGTAGCACAGTGGAATTACGGACCTGGTGGGTGATATCCGGTCTAGCCTCAACCCCCATCTTCTTCAAAATCCCCTGATGATCATCGCAATTCAACAACTGATACTTTGCATCCTTTGTCTTTCCAACTTTATACGTCTCCAGACTCGCTTGCATCAACACCACGATCAGGCGCTGGGTATTCTGCTTCTCGGTCGGGGTGGTGGGGACTTTTGCTTGTTGGGGGACGAGGGAGGGGTTTGTGGCTTTGTGGGACTGGGACTGGGACTGGGACTGGGACTGAGACTGGGACTGGGACTGGGAGGGAACGAAGGCTGCGGCGTTTGGTCGGAGGGTAGTGGTGGGGGTTGTTGTTTCGCCGTTCGGGTCGGCTTGGGATTGGTGGTCGCCGATGTTGTGAGTGGGCATTTTGGATGACGAGAGATGGAACGAAGGGAAGACTGGATGAATGCTCTTTTGTTGATGCCTTTGGAGTTCAAGTAAGTTCGCGCCAGCCAAAGATTTCCAAGGCTTATCGGCCGTTTGCGCAGAGTCTGCAGGCGGAGCTGAGAAACCGCAGGAGTCCACGCCGTCTGTGAACTCACTTAACAAAGATGTTAAATAATTTACTACACCCTATTATGATTTGACATACCCAACTATCATCAGTACGACGAAAGATCAGTTCATCGCAGTCCTGAACCGTCCATTTACAAGATCACACTCAGCCTTCAACATATCCCACCTATACTTCAGCCTCAAATCCGGCACGTTCGTCTTTTGGATATCATTCCCCTCCGGCCCGGGGTTATAGCAATTCTTGCCCAACCAATGCTGTTTAACCTCCATCTCCCATCCAGACTGCAACACAGAGTTCCGTGCGAGCTCGCACATGTCCATTGATGACATTTTCCAGATCTGTGCAGCGACGGAGAATTCTTCCATAAGGGGCTCCTTGGTGAAGTGGAAGAGGAGGGGATCGTCGGTGGAGAGCGAAACGTTTAGACCGCGGCGGAAGAAGGATGGGAGTGGGTTTCGCTCGTAGGCGAGGAAGAGGGCGTTGTTCGAGAGGGGTGACATGGCGATACCGATTTGCTGGAGGTAGAAGAGGTACTGGAGTAATGGCACCTTGCGGAGCATGATACCGTGACTCACCTACATCACTGACGTTAGCACATACTCAAGCAACTGCAATTGTACCATGATGGCATCGACATACCGAATGACAAGTCAAGAACGCAGTGGCTAAATGCTCGCTATCACCCGCCTCACCACAGTGAGGCCTCAACAAAAACGTATTGAACCCCCTCTCCTTCCTCCACGCATTCAAACTCGTCATATTCGCATACATGAAATAAATCCAGTAACTGTACGGCGGGTTCTGCGCATTATCCCACTCCCTCGGCTCCGGGTACTTTCTCCAAATACGTCTCTCGTTCTTTGATTCGTCGTCGACAGAGTCAAATCCGATCACGCGCTGGAGAAAGATGTGGAGTTTAGGGTGAGAGGCAGGGTCTTTTGTGACTTCGAAGAGAGGTTCGAAGATATTACGGATGACGTCGGCGAAGTTAGAGACGATATTGGAGGATTTGTAGATGTTGTAGAGACGGGGAATCTGGATCAACCAACGGATGTTGTGAGAGAAGAGCTTGTTGTCGATAACCCAAGCTGCGAGTTTGTCCCATTCGTCAACAGATCTGTGTAAGATGAGCATTAGTCAAACGTTCAACGTGGGATGCAATACATAAGCTTCTTACCGTCCATAAATCGAGATTCGGTACTCGGCCATCTGATATTTCCCTACCTCCATATCCCCGATTACCTCCTTCGTCAACTCCGCGAGGTACCTTCCCTGAATATAGTTATCCGTCTTCAAGAAGATCTCACGCAAACGAGATTCTCCGATTGGGTTATACTTCAAGTTGAACTTGTCAAATCGGTGGAAAGAGTCTTTGTGTGCGTGCATATCGAGGGTGTCGATAGAAAGATCATAGGCGGTAAGAGAGAGCGAGTCGAATACTTCGCGGAGAGTGAGGTGTTTGCCATCACGGAAGATAACCATTTCCTGTAACATGGTGAGCTTACCGACAAAGGGCTCAGTTAAGGGATCGATATCATACTTCAGGACTCTTCTTCAACTTCGACTTGATGAACCGGAGCAAGTGCTTCTGGTTCATACAAGCGGAGTGGTGAATATGGGTATCCACCTTTCGCACATTATAAAAATCACGATGAGGAACTCTCTGACAATCATGTCAGCGTGTGTAAAACATGCCAATTGACATTGCGACAAACTTTGGTAGCAGCCAGTTCCTCGAACTCGTTCTGAAGGATGTACATATTCCACTTGCCCTCGAGGTACTGTAACCGTCTGAACGCAAAACTCTTCGCGGGACCGTCACTTGCGATCTCAGAGATGGCTTCCAGATCGAGGTAATAATCCCTGATGGTCGGTACATCCACGATCTTTTCGTTATCAGAGCGAGAGACTTGGTATACACCAGACCTGTCCATCTCCCACGCATACTCATGGCTACCCGGGATCTCACATTTCTCAAAGTCAAAGTCCGCGCCGACCGCCTCAGGGATACTTTGCTTTGGAGGGTGATTCGGAGTGGGAGGGTACACCTTCCACTTGCCGACCTCGTCTCTGGGGTTATCTCCATCACGCTGGTTACTAAGCTTGATGTACTTCTCACGGAGATTGATACAGTGCTGGATGTTTTGGAAGATCGCGGCGACCTCGGGTGTGATCGTCGGTGTCGTTGCACCTGTACCAGTTGGAGCTTCGGGCATGGGCATGGGTGCTGACGCTGTCTCGTTCTGTACTGGACCAGCAGTTGCGGGGGGAGGACGGAATGGTGGAGGAGCCTGCCCGGCGGAGGAAGTTGGAGGACGAGAAGAGACGGAGTTGTTGTTTGTAGGAAGGGATTTAGACATGGCGGATGCTGTCCGTTCACGGCCAGTTGCGTTGAGCCATTGCTTAGGGCCGACCTGTACATTCTTGTTAGCCTCCCGCTCTCCATGGAAGCTAAGGCCAAGTCAACGCACGCTCAACAACTTCTTGTCCGTGGCATAATCGTAGAACGGATGCGGATGCTCATCCTCCTCCTCCGGATCCTCCCCGTTCTCCTCGGTCCTCATACTTCCCCGTCTCTGCGGTCCCTCGGACATGATGAAGCTCGAGAATGACCCCGCGAGTAGCGATCCGGTTGGTGAATGAGGCATAGACATGAAGTCGTCCTCGTCGTTCATTGCGCTGTGCTGGGATCTACCGCCACACATTTACCCTTATTTGCGGGTGTTAGGAGTGTCGGTGATGAAATGTGCGCAAACCTTATCTCGGGTCACATGTACCGAGGAGCCCATGCACAGAAGCTCAACTCTATGAATGGGAGAAAACTATCGAGTTTGTAAGGTTGGCAAGATCTGAATAGATTGCTCGACTTCACTTCAGGCGTACTTCTCACCTTTACGTTGGGTTATATGAAGGACAGTCACGGTGACGAGCAGAAACATCGATATGGGAAAAAGAACTTTTCATATTTTAGACAATTCCTCCATCCTACAACCACCGCAGTTACAAAATTAGTGGGCGTACCCCTAACCTATCACCCCGTAAGATACAATACAAGTAGCGTTCTCCATTCAGTTAACGCACATCACCCCAGTCTATGCAGCATGCTCGAATGCAAATTGCTTAGAAAGAGGCCAAGAACTCCTTAGCGACGTCACGGATACGGGCGTCCAACTCCTTGGAGATCTGTCCCTCGGTCTTGATCTTCTCCTGGATGTCAGAGGCGTTGGCCTTGATGTGGGCCAAGAACTTCTTCTCGAACTCAGTGATGCGGTTAACGGGAAGGGTGTCCAAAAGACCGTTAACACCACAGAAGATGAGAGGAACCTGGTCCTCAACAGACATAGGAGAGTACTGGGGCTGCTTCAACAACTCAGTCAAACGCTCACCACGGCTGAGGGTCTGCTTGGTGGAGGCATCCAAGTCGGAACCGAACTGGGCGAAAGCGGCGACCTCACGGTACTGAGCCAAGAAAAGCTTCAAGGAACCAGCGACCTGCTTCATGGCCTTGACCTGAGCGGCGGAACCGACACGGGAGACGGAAAGACCGACGTTAATGGCGGGACGGATACCCTTGAAGAACAACTCAGCCTCCAAGAAGATCTGACCGTCAGTGATGGAAATGACGTTGGTAGGAATGTAAGCGGAGACATCACCACCCTGGGTCTCAATGATGGGGAGGGCAGTCAAGGAACCACCACCGAACTTCTCGTTCATCTTAGCAGCACGCTCGAGGAGACGAGAGTGGAGGTAGAAAACGTCTCCGGGGTAAGCCTCACGACCGGGGGGACGACGAAGCAAAAGGGACATCTGACGGTAAGCGACGGCCTGCTTGGACAAGTCATCGTAGATGATCAAGGCGTGGCGACCGTTGTCACGGAACCACTCACCCATAGCACATCCAGAGAAAGGAGCGATGTACTGAAGGGGAGCAGCCTCGGAAGCAGTAGCAGCGACGACGATGGAGTACTTCAAGGCGTCGTTCTCCTCGAGGGTCTGGACGAGCTGAGCAACGGTGGAACGCTTCTGACCGACAGCGACGTAGACACAGTAGAGCTTCTTGGACTCGTCAGAGGAGTCGTTCCAGCGCTTCTGGTTAAGGATGGTGTCGAGAGCGACAGCGGTCTTACCGGTCTGACGATCACCAATAATCAACTCACGCTGACCACGACCGACGGGAACCATGGCGTCGACGGACTTCAAACCAGTCTGCATGGGCTCGTTGACGGAACGACGGGGCAAGATACCGGGAGCCTTCAACTGAGCACGACGACGCTCGGAGGCCTTGATGGGGCCCTTACCGTCGATGGGGTTACCGAGGGCATCGACGACACGGCCCAAAAGCTCGGGCCCGACGGGAACGTCGACAATCTCACCGGTACGCTTAACGGTCTCACCCTCCTTGACGAGACGGTCGTTACCGAACAACACACAACCGACCTGGCCGGCTTCCAAGTTAAGAGCCATACCCTTGACACCAGAGGCGAACTCGACCAACTCCTCAGCCTGGACGTTGTTCAAACCGTGGACACGGGCAATACCGTCTCCGACGGAGAGAACACGACCGGTCTCGGCGAGGTTGATCTCAGCAGCGGCACCACGGATGCGCTCCTCGAGGATGGAGGAAACCTCAGTGGGGGAGGCCTTGGCCTCGGCATAGCCACGGGCAGCGATAGAAGGAACAGCACGGGTGGCCTGTAAAAACGAGAATTAGCCATTGTACTTTCTCGTTTCTTTTCATCCGTTGTGTCTGAATGCATTCTAGGCCCTCGGGAAAAGTTTTGATGTGACATCAGATAAAGGATCACCGGCAGATCAAAGACGTGAAATCGGCGTTGAAATGGGTCGAGAAGCATTGTCGAAAGTATATGCTGTATATGGAAAAAGGATTGCTTCAATTCTTCGTGTCTTTGTGTGATCTGCCGGTTCTCCGGAATTGACGTCGTTTCGACACCCCGAGGCATTTTCACCCTCCAGCAACGAACAGCGTTCATCATTCATTGCCTTCGCGATCCAATTGATCCTCTTCTCCCTCTCTGTACCACACGCTTCCCTCCAACTCGGTCGAATTGCCACATGTCCCTCTCTTCCGTCATCATCAAAAACTTTTCCTCGAGGCCGATGCAGACAGACACAGAGAACGAGGAAAGGGAATACTCACAGCACCGACGGCAGACCTCCTGGCAACAGAAGCAATGGCGGGCGTAGCCGAACGAACAGCCGAACGGAACATTTTTGTTATGTGGTGTGGTATATGGGTGGGGGGGTGGAGAGGAGATGGAAGCAGTGAGATTTTGGCGGGCAAGGTGCTGACGATTCGCGGCTCCGGAGAAATGGACCTTTGTGCAGAAAAGATGTCGACGGGGATGCTAAAAGGAACAGAATTATGGGCAGATCTTTAAAAATCAGTTGTCCGTTTTCCGTGTATTCTTGGGAACTGACGATGAGGGCCATCGCGGGTGACTTCGGACCTCAGCCCGTTGCAGGTCTTCACGTCTCCGGATGTTACCACAGTACTGAGGACGAGTTGGAGGTCCCGGGCAGCAATTGCACACTCGTGCTCCCCATTTTTATATTTTCACATTCTGTGTGCACATTTAATCCTGCAAAAGTCCCACCGCTTCGCCTCGTTCGTAGCCAGTATCATTGCTATTGTGACCTTGCACGTATAAGTGAGGGAGAGACTTTGATGAAGCAGTAAGAACTCGCCAAAGTGCCCCCAGCATGATCCATTTACTGTCTTATCGATTGAATGTAGCATGATCTACCGGAGGTCTCAACTATTGTATTGCCAGCTGGCCTCCATTCAGATGGATCCCGCTCCGCGGTGCAGGTCTCATCTTTCACGCCCTTAAAGTCCCTGTACGAGCATACCTGAAGCCCGATCCATCGTCACGACTTAGAACAGACCTATGAATTGCTCGACGTCGCCCATATCTTACATGGACACAGTTCTTGCGACTTCTCACGCACCCAAATTGATCATGGGTGTGTTGTCCACGACGACATCAATGCGTCGGCATAACTTGAGCACAGACACGCAAAATTCGACTTTTCACCGTCAAGGCAGGGGAAAGGGAGGCAAAAGTGGTCACGGAGAGGCTCGAACTCTCAGCCTTGGCGTTATTAGCACCACGCGCTAACCAATTGCGCCACGCAACCTGTTAGGTGTTGAGCACCCGTTTTTAATTATATACTCTACTACCTAGCGCTTCATGAATGTTCCCACGCCTCTTGAGGATGCTCAGGATACATCCACTGCTGCTGGGTAACATGAACAATGCTAAGGCAATCACCCTGACTGCATTCCCAGTATCACCAGAGCACATGCGTCTCGGCGAACTTCCTCGCTTCGAAGCGATGCGCCTACCTGTGAGACATCTTGGTACTTGGCATACATGGTCCGTGCGCTCATATACACAACGCCAAGCATACGCATTCATAGACGGACATGAAACGCAGGACACCAAATTCCTCCATCACACGGCTCAGGAAGGTATCTTGAAGACCCGGTTGAGCAGCATTTAGTCGGACTGTCAAGATGCCGACCTGTTCTGTCACAGATACGGACGACACGATTGACCCGACACCAATCCTCCAGTACGGGAAGATCCACGTCTCGCTACATGCTATCGGCCAACTCTCTTGCGTCGTATTTGCCTTCGCAACTACAGTCGTTGCCGGATATCTGATATTCAGGCATGCAAGAAACTATCACACACCCGAAGAACAGCGGCATATAATCCGCATTGTGCTCATGCTGTACGTCCCATACCCCTTTATGCCTCCCGGTTCGGACAGCTTACCGGGGAAATCAGGCCAATATATGCCATCATATCGCTGTTCAGTTATCTCTATTATCCATGGGCGTTGTACTACACCACCGTACAAGACTGCTACGAGGCATTCGCCTTGGCATCGTTCTTTTTCCTGTTGACGCAATTTTTGGCACCGACACTACGGGAACAGCGTTTGCTCTTCATGTCGCGAGGTATGAAGAGAAAATGGGTGTGGCCACTGGGAAAATGGAGATGGCGACCGAGTGGCAGTGTCTGGTTCGAGATGATCAGATTCGGCACAATGCAATACGTCTTCATCCGCCCCGCCATGACCCTCGTCGCAGTCCTCACAAATGTCTTCGGCCTTTACTGCGAGTCATCCTACTCCCCCGTCTTCTCCCATATCTGGGTCCTCACAATCGATTCCATCTCCGTCTCGATCGCAATGATGGCCGTAATCGAGTTCGCTTACGAAATGACCGAAGAACTGAAACCCTATAACCCCGTGGGGAAACTGTTATGCATTAAGATGATCATTTTCTTTGTGTTTTGGCAGACTGTTGCCTTGGGATTCGCGTCGAGTTTTGGGTGGATTAAAGCGACGGAGTATTGGAGTCAGACTGATATCGAGACGGGGTTGAGCGCTATCTTAGTCTGCGTGGAGATGTTCATATTCGCATTGTTCCACTTACGGGCATTCACCTTCAAACCATACCTCATCACCTCGGCTGGCAATGGAGAAGTCAGGAAGACCCCGATACGGCCCGCCCTGATCGACTCCCTAAACCCGATGGACTTTATCCGCGCGGTATGGGATACCACACTCTGGCTCATCCGCATCTGTCTCCGTCGGCCGGACCCAACCGGTAAGCGGAAGAGTCTCCGAGAATGGGATCTTGTGCAAATTCGGGGACGAGGACGACCGGCACCTACCACTGGAGGTGACAACGGACGGGAGAGTTTGTTGGAGGGAACTTATGTACCACCGATGGTAGCTACGGAGATGAGAGCGGATTCAATCCCGATTATGGGGTGGAATAACATCGACATCGAACTCGATGAACGTAGGACCTCAACGGATGGGAGGTCTGAAGATGGGAGTCTGGATAGTCATGGGGTTGATAAGACGGATATTGTCGTACGTCCTGATGGATCTATCGCTGTCCGTCGCGAACGTTTTCCCAGGCGACAGGTGCCACCAGAGGATGAAGAGGAGGAGCGTGAGGAAGACGATGATAGCTGGTCCGATATCGGGGGTGACTCGGCAGTTGGACCGCAGACGGCTCATCATGAATTCTCTCCGAGCAAGATCAAGGAAACACCCAAACCAAATATCACCGTCCTTGAGCGTTCGATGAGTCATGAAACGACCGGCACTGGAGTGACCCCGGGGTTGGGGGTTGTATATCAAATCATCACCAACACTACGCCGCCCACGTACGTAGGGGACAGGTATCCGTTTCCATCGGAATAAGCACCATTGCCGATGAGTACGACGCCCGAGCCTATCGTACGGGGCCGTGCTGGCAGTGTCGGGACATCTTTGCAGACGGTGTCGAGAGCAAGGAGCCGGTCGGGGAGTGCGCCTATTCCATTGCAGCTACCATCACAAGTGCAGCAGTCACGGTCACGATCGGGCAGTGGTGCTAATGCTGGTGCTTCCCAATTGCTGAGTGTCCCGAGAGCCCCGAAGCTCCCGTCTTCGAGTCAGGTTGAAGAATACCACGGAATGTATCTTCACCCCAATATGACGTATGGAGAAGAGGAGAGGGAGCGGGGAAGGACGAGGCATAGGGAAGATAGGAGGAGTAGAGTACGGAGGCAACGATGAAAGCGGTGATGATCTTGACGTCGACCGCGAGGTGACGACGCGGATGAGCGTGCCGGGGGTCTTGAGCGACGCAATTGTCTATTGCCTTCGATCTTGACGTTGATGTCTTGGCAACTCAATTGCCTTCAAAAACCTTGCGTAAGCAATTGCAAGGGTTTGATTCTCAGTATCCTCCGATGATGCAAACGATGATGTCGAAATCCTCGTCAAGACAATGCAGATCACGCGGAGAAGCTCCTATCGTCATGATCCATCACAGCCATGCCCCAGTGCAGGACCCTTCACGTTCACCGGTTTCGCATGCTGAATTGGTAAGGTAGATGTTCCAGTTAGCCCCATCAAGCATAATCGCTATGAACCCTGAATGATCTCACTCTCCCCGATCCTTTCTTCCAAGTCTCAATCCGAATGGTCGCCTTGAGTTAAGATCTACGCACAGACTTCCATAACACTTCCCAATCGGGCTAGGGGATCCGTGCGTTGGAGCTGGTCTGTGCGCGCCCGCGTGGCCCGACCGTTATTCATGCAACGTCTGGCCTCGATCTGCTGAAGGAGGCGAAATATGCCAGTGCGGTCAGGAAGAAGGGAAGGAAGAAACCCTTGGCGTGATGATAACGAGGGGTTTCAGTCTTCTTTTGCGTTCCTTAGGTGTGGAGGTGTGGATCGATATGGAGTGCGGCTCGGGCTACGCTTTGATGCGGGTGAGGGCGTAATCTAAAGTTTATAAATATCGCGTACCCCAACGTGGTGTTTTGAAGGAGTTCTCCAACGAACAGATCAACGGATCAACAACTACAACAGACAACATGAAGCTCAGCGTGCTTCTCTCCGTTCTCGTAATCACTGCTGCAGTCAGTGATGCGGCTGCTACTCCCAAGTCCTCTACCGCTGTTGCGGCCAGTCCTAGGTCTACCTCTGCTTCCAAGCACGATGACTATGAGCACGATGGCGAGGATGACAACGACGACGATGATGAGCGTTGGTCCTCCCGCTGGTCTTCGCAGGGAAAGCCCACCGCGTGGAACCGTGCTGCGTCTACGACCTCGTACAAGCCTACGACTACCAAGAAGGTGACCACGACGACGAAGAAGACTACGACGAAGCCAACCACCAAGACTACGACGAAGCCAACCACCAAGACTACGACCAAGAAGTCTACCACCTTGAAGACCAGCACGAAGAAGCCCGCTACGACTTCGGCGGCTAAGGCTACGGTTTTGCAGAAAGCTGCGGTTGCCACTTCGTCCAGCAAGACTACGTCGAAGACTACCACCAAGACCACGAGCAAGACCACGTCCAAACCGACTACTAAGGCTGCGACGACTACGTCCAAGACGACTACTAAGGCTGCTACCACTACGCCGAAGACGACTACTAAGGCTGCTACCACTACGTCGAAGACTACCACCAAGCCTGCTACGACGACGTCTAAGACGACCACCAAGGCTGCCACTACCACGTCCAAGACCACGACTAAGGCCTCGACCACTACCACCAAGGCTTCTACCACTGCCGCTGCCGCTGCTACTTCCTCCGCTCAGGCCTTCATCAACACGATGTTGACCTCCCACAACGCCTACCGCGCTAAGCACCAGGCTCAACCTCTCGTCTGGAATAACACTTTGGCTACCTACGCCGTCAACCACGCCAACACCTGCAACTTCGCCCACACCGGCGGTCCCTACGGTGAGAACCTTGGTATCGGAACCTACTCCGACCCCACCGTCTACGTCGATATGTGGTACGACGAAGTCGCTCAGTACGACTTCTCCAACCCCGGCTTCAGTGAGGCCACGGGTCATTTCACCCAGTTGGTGTGGAACTCGACGACGCAGTTGGGATGTGGTTATGTCACAACTTGTCAGGGACAGGGAAACACTGGGTATCCTAATTACTTGGTTTGTGAGTACTACCCCCCGGGTAATGTGCAGTGGACTGGGAGTGGAGACCCGTGGAGGTTCTACAGGACCAATGTCTTCCCTGCAACGAGCTAAACGGGAGGTCTTGAGGGATGTTTCGTAATGGACATTATGATAGAGATGGACCTTTTTAGGATAGATATTCTTGATTACATGGTTATAATCTTATACTTTTGATACTCTTCGTCACTCATGATCAGCGCTCGTTCCATGGCTTAAGTCATTCCTGTTTGTGCAGTGGGTCATACGAAACGCTGGCGGTTACGGAGGGCGTGTCACCGTTACTAGCCGCGCTAAGCCTCATTCGGGCAGCCCCGCGACGGATACGTCACTGCTATCCCCTCGAACAGAAAGCTGATAACTCTGATAGCGAATTTTGAACTCTCTCATCGAGGAGGCAGCTTTTTCTCTTGCACGCTCATGCACGCTCATGCACCCACACGTATTCCATCTTTGCCGCTGCACGTCGATAACGCTAATCACGCACGCAGCACGGGTGCGGAGGCACCGCCTGACCAACCATAAAGACAAGGACAAACCCCGTTGACAACCTCCAGCTCGCCAGCATTTACTCCACATTGTCATCCGATTTTGAGTTGTGACGGCGCAGATTTGAAGAGGTATGTCGTCCTGAGAGGATGTGGGAAGACGACTTCGCACGGTGTGTGGGTGCTGATTGTGGTTACGTGTACAGGTTTTACGGTCCGCCATCTATCCGCAGCGAGTTCAAATCATTTCAACGAGTTTCAAAGCTATTCATCAGATCTCTGAGGTGGTTTAGGCAATGTATGCTCACTCTCCATCCTCCTCCTTCCTCGTCTAACCCACCCATCTTCAGCATGTCCACCACTGGCCACAGACCCCACCCCCTTCGCGCATACATCCGCCTAACCCCCCTCGGCCCCTCCGATCACGCTCCTCGTACCATCACCCTCCACCCTAATAAACGCATCTACATCGGTCGCTCCTCGGTTGATCCTCGTAAAGGCAGGCTTACAACCCAGGATACCTTGTGGTTCGATTCGGCCGTGTTGAGCCGTACGCATGCTTGTATCGAGTTCGATGGAATTGGTGTCAAGGTTTGGGATTTTGGGAGTAGCCATGGGACTTGGCTTGAGGCTGGGGTCGGGACGCCGGGGTGGAGTGATATTGGTGTTGGGGGTGGGAAGGGGCAGAAGGTTCCTGGGGAGGGGTTTGGGGTGCCGTTGTTGAGGGGTAACAAGATTATGTTTGGGAATGATGTTGAGAAAGACGGAGGTTGATACTCGATTCCTTCGTTACCTGGTGAACGGTTGCTAACGAGTATTAACAGTTACACATGAAGCAGTCAAGTGCATCGCGAACGTCTTGATTCGTGGACCGGATACTCCGTATCCTTCGTACCGGGGTATCTATAACTACTATTCTGCGGATGAGGCTTTCTCGAGGCAGGATGTTAGTGCTGAGATGCATCCGGATGCCAGCGACTTCCTGTCCAAGCAGATGCATGTTGGGGTGTACGTGAACCCCCAGTATCTCTTCATGAGTATATCACTGATAGGAAAAGCAGGTTGAGACAGAGTCCGTGGATTCAGTCGCCTGACGTTGGGTATTTCCCCACGACAGAGTATGTTGCAAGGGTCCTCGAGAGGGTCGCACTTCCCAAGCCTCAGGACAGGTATATACCGTCCCTCTCCCTCAAACCTTCCATCTGTTAACGCATGCATAGGTTGAATTTGAGTGCGAAGAATCTTCAGAAGCTCATGCTCCTTAAATTCCAGAGCATCGTCACGAGTCAACTGCACACCCAGAAACCCGCCCCCACACGCGCTGCTCTGGACATCTGCAGCCTCATCACCCTCGGTACTCCCCAGCCGCCCATTAGCCCAGACGAGTTCAAGTGTCTCGTCCAACTCTGGGCCCGTGTCGTCTACGTCATCAACACAATCGGCAAACCCGAATCCCCCACCTCCCCCGCAACCGACTTCAAACCCCTCATCCTCCAACGCTTCGAAATCAAATCCCTCTGCGAAGAAGACCGCGAACTCCCCATCACCGAGTTCCGCGATAAGATCTTCGAGTTGGCGAATGAGTTGGGGTTCATAAGTGATGTTGCGAGGAACCCTGATATCCTTGGGTATGCCGGGCAGGGAAGGGCGATTAAGGGAACGTTTACGGAGGCGATGAGGGAGATTTGCCGGGAGGCGTATGCCAGGTTGAGGGAGTCGGGGGAGGTTGAGAGGAGGGGGAGGGGACTTGGGAGGTTTGTGACCCCGGAGGATGAGGTGATTGAACCCAGGGGTGGTGAAGGGTCGCACTATAGGCCTGTTAGTCCTGGTACTGAGCAAGGTGCTGGTGCCGGTGCTGAGGCGCCCAGTCCTGGTTACTCACCTCCCACGCCTCAACACGAGTTTGTTGGCGAGAGGCCGTTGCTGCCCATGGGCGAGTTTGTCGACCCGAGGGATGTTGGCGGGATGGTGGATAGGAGGATGGCGGAGCAGGAGATGGACGTCGAGTATGAGGGTGAGGGCGACTTCAGCGATACCGATGTTGAGGTGGGTGAGGTTATTGTCATTGAGGATGATGAGACACCCATTGCGCCGGATATGGACGGGGCGAGGAACGTCATTCTTGTTGAGGATGAGGATGAGACTGACTTTGATAAGGAGGAGGAACGTGTGAGACAGGAGGAGTATGAACGCGAGTTCGAGGAGCGTGCCAGGACTGATGAGAGCGAAGATGGATCGTTTTCGTCGTCAGAGGAGAGTAGCAGCGTGGACGAGAGTGAGAGTGAGGAGGAGGTTGATAAGGAGCAGATGGCGCGTGATGCTATCTATCGTGGGACGCTGCTTGCCATGCTTGAACGTCGTGAGAGGGCGGAAAACATGGCTCGTCAGAGGATTGCACCAGCGGTTTCCTCTCCAGTTGCAGCTCCCAGAACCTTCACGCTTCCTACCCCGCCTGCGCGTGAGCCTGTTCTCCAGCCTCCGCCGGAGTCATTCATGATGGAGCAGTACCTCGAGGCCCGTCGGAAGCTCTTGCAGGTTGAGAAGGAGTTGGAGAGTGCGAATCAGAAGTTGGTTGAGACGCATAATCAGCAGGGTGTCAAGAGGAAGCGTGAGGATGATGAGGAGGAGGTCCCGGTTCCCAGAGCCGTAGAGGTTGCGCCTGTTGTGGATAATGACGCCATGGTTATCGACGATGAGCCTACCGAAGAACAGGAGGAGAAGCAGGGGCCGGCGAAGAAGAAGGCGAGGTTTGGGTATGTCGCCAGTGCTTTGGGGGGTGTTGTTCTTGGTGGTGTGGCTATGTTTGCGGGGTTGGTGGCCAGTGCTGCGGGTAACTGAGCCAGGTGAGCCGTATGCGGGGGAGTATGTGTACAGTACAGCAGGCAGGGAGGTATTGGGTTGGATTTCTATGTATCGGTATGGGGCGTATTCTTATTTCTTTCTTTCCTCTTCTTTTGGGTATGGCCGGTATGCGGTTGTTGACGTCGTTCTGGTTTTTTGACTTGCTTAATATTGACACGTTTGTATGGGTAACCGAATTTCCATTGCTGTTTGTAGCATGATGGGTGGTATGATACAAAATATCGACTCCAACGTCATCCTTAACGACTTCGAAGGCCTGTCCCAGCGCTTCCTTCTTCACTTCCTCATTTTCCGTCCAAAATACACACTCCATGCACTCATATCACCACACCACTCTAGTTGTTCTTCGCAAAGTCGTCAATCACAGCCTCAAGGTCGAACTTGGGGTCTTCTGGGTCGCGAATAACTAAACCATGTCAATTAGTCTCTCGTCATCAAACTTTCAATTCTCGGGGATACACGTACGGGTGTCCTTAGCAGCGCCAGCCTTCTTCTTGAACTCCTCCTTGGCCTTCTGGATCAATTCCTCCTTGTGGTGGAATGCCCGCTCGGCAGCCTTCTGCTCGGCGAGCTCGTGGAGGGTGTTGTTGTGGACGTAGCCGTAGCCGAGACCGAGGACGAGGGCGGACCACCGGAAGACCTGTTGATGCTGTTAGCAGTTGTTCGTGAAAGATACTTCGCGAATAGCAGGCGCAGATGATCGGCCTCTGATAGAAGAGAGGAAGGATGGGCGCGGGCGGGTGCCAGAGTTGTTACGGGACCAATTGCCGAGCGCAACCTTCACCCTCGTAACACACCTCGCCCACCACCACCTCGATCCCGCACCCAACCCCGTCCAACCCGGCCACCGAGACACCAAGCTGCACACTCAGCAAAGAGGATAACTCACGTTGATAGACGACATTATAATTAGAGAAGAACCGACGAACGAGAGGTGACCTTGCTGAGATTTCGCGAAGTTGCGTTGATTCAGGTCCTGCTAGCTAGAGATCCGGCACCCGCAGGAGAAGATGGGTGGCTGCCGATGAGGGGGAGGGAGGGGTTTTGATGATGAAGAATATGTTCTTAAAACTTTCAAACTGTTTCGACAGCGGTCTGAAGTGGTTGTGAGCCTCATAATGTGATTCACGTGCACGTGATGAGCAGTTGTTAGGCATCGCTGTGAGGTCTTGGTACATCTTCAAGAAGCACAGACGTACACTTCTACAATTCAGATTGACAATAGCGTTTGATAACGTACATCTCCATTCTTTTTTGCTCTTATTATATGCTTCAGATGCTTCCTCTAGTCCATGGCCATCCAATGCTTCCAAAACTTCAATCCCTCGTCTTTTCCTCACACTCACAACGCCCCCAGATAATCCTCCTTGATGGTCCCAATCGCGAAAATCTGCGTATTCTCAACCCTCAACCCAACAATCTTCATCCGGACCTTCGCACCCTTCTCGATAACGCCCAAATCCCCACTCTCATACCGTCCTCCACCACCTCCGACACCCGCTGCCTCAAAGTGCATTTCGCTGGGGATCAAGTGTTTACTGACAAACACCGACAACGGACCCACATCCGCGAAGAATCCCATCATGCTCACAGTGCTGACAACCCCATCCACAACCTCACCCTTAAAAGGCTTGAACACAAGTGCCTGATACTTGCATTCAAATACAGCGAGCCCGGTACCGGGTTGGATCAAGCCTTTTGAGATGTCGATTCGGGTGGGGTTTAGGATTGCGATGATGTACCCGTTCGGGCCGGAGCAGGTGCCTTCGAGGGTGGAGGTTAGGATTTGGGTTAGGTCGCGGCGGATGTGAGGGCCGAAGGAGGAAGGAGGGAGGGTTAAGGTGTGTGTCAGGTTGTTCTGTAAAGGGTGTTAGCGGAGCTCAGAAAGGCAGATCCAGAAGGAGGGTATGAGAGCGTACCATGAAAAACATGGTGGACTATGTATGCTTATGCCACGCGCTTCAATAGCAGATGTCCGTCTTCAACGCTCTTCTCGTGTCAATATCCCGTCTCAAGATTCCACGTTAAATCCCTCTGAGCCCTTTTTGACGTCGTTCTTTCGCGTCTTTTGTCTTCGCTTCTGCGTTCGTCTTTCCCGGGTCACAGCTTTTTAAGTCCAATTGACGTCGCTGTACCGTGTCGCCTCGGTCGACTTCGTATGCGATGCGATTATGAATGTCTGATCAGTGTCTCCGGGGTCGCAAAGCCCGGTTAGGATCGTTGATGGTGTATGGGTGGTGTGATGTACGTGACGAGTGGGCTGAGGTGGCTAGGTGCGTTTCCCGTGTTTGTCGGTAGAGAGGGCCGGCACACACGGATTTCCTTGGGTCTGGAGTCGTTTGAATGCCTGCGTGTTTTTATTTTGATTCAGAAAGACAAAGACCCATTTTGCTGTATTCTGAGTTAAGGTTCATCACGAGCCAAGCCCTCTACGTGTCACGTAGCGTGGGGGAGGCCGTGCGTACCCGCGACTTCGAAAGCGAGCGCTTTGTCCGCACAAAACACCAAACTTTTCGACAACCAACGATCAATTGACCTGATCAATTGTCCTGTCAGTTGAAGATGGCCGAATCACCGGCCCTTCGTCAGCGGGCTGGCAAGAAAAAGGCCACGATCACCACGCCTGAACCCGAGGATCTCACTGCTCCGTATACAAAGGTTACCTCGGGCCCGAAGTACTCCAAGAAGGCTTATGGCATCGCTGTCACTGTTTTGACCGCTCTTGCTTTCATCACGCGTTTCTACAGAATCTCCCACCCGGCCGAAGTCGTCTTCGACGAAGTCCACTTCGGAAAATTCGCAGCATACTACATCCAACGAACCTACTTCTTCGACGTCCACCCTCCCTTCGCAAAGCTCCTGTTTGGGTTTGTTGGGTGGTTGATCGGTTTCGACGGTGAATTCAAGTTCGAGAATATCGGGGACGACTACGTCAAGAACAACGTACCGTATGTCCTCATGCGTGCACTCCCGGCCACATTGGGAGCGTTGACTGTGCCCATTGTGTTTGGAATCATGCAGGAAGCGAACTACGGGCTACCTGCATGTGTGTTGGCTGCGTCGTGGGTGTTGTTTGATAATGCGCATATCGCAGAGACGAGGTTGATTTTGCTTGATGCTTGTCTCGTGTTCTCGATGGCGTTTTCGATCTACGCGTACGTGTGCTTCATGCGACACTCAAAGACCCCGTTCACGAGGGGATGGTGGATGTGGCTCATGCTTACTGGGTTGGGTCTTTCGAGTGTGTTCTCGACGAAGTATGTTGGGTTGTTCACGTACTTCACCATCGGTGTCGGTGTGCTCTTCGATCTTTGGCGGTTGTTGGATGTTAACCACGGCTTGACGCTCCCGCAGTTCGGGAAGCACTTTGCTGCTCGTGCGTGGGGACTGATTATTATGCCCTTCTGTATCTACCTCTTCTGGTTTTGGGTCCACTTTACCGTTCTCTCCAAGTCCGGTCCAGGTGATGACTTTATGAGTCCTGAATTCCAGGCGACGTTGTCCGACAATCCGCTGACTGCGTCATCTGTTCCCGTGTACTACGGTGATGTGATTACGTTACAGCACAAAGATACTAAGGCATTCTTGCATTCTCACCCGGGACGTTATCCGTTGAGGTATGAGGATGGACGTGTTAGTTCGCAGGGACAGCAGGTCACTGGATATCCGTTCGATGACATCAACAACCATTGGCGTATTCATCCTGGGTCTCCTGTTCGTGTTGCTGGTGATGCTATCTTAAATGGTGATTTGTTCAAGTTGGAGCATGTCCAGACCAACACGATCCTCCTCACTCACGATGTCGCTTCGCCTAACTACCCCACCAACCAGGAGTTCACCACCGTCCCCATCGTTGACGCAAACGCCGGTCGTTTCAACGATACCGTTTTCGAGCTCCGCATGGAAAAGGGCAAACCTGGACAGCCATGGCGCACAAAGGCCGGGTTGGCCAGGATTGTCGCGAAACAATACGGTGTCGCGATGTGGACACAAAACACCAAGCCCCTCCCCGACTGGGGCTTCAAGCAACAGGAAATCAACGGAAACAAAGCCATCACGCAACCTTCCAACATCTGGTACCCAGCCTCTGTCGTCGGCCCAGCTGAAGCTGAGCGTCTCGCGACCGAACCGAAGAAGGAGGTCAAGACAGTGCCGTTCTTGAAGAAGTGGTGGGAGTTGCAGACGGCGATGATTAGGCATAACAATGCGTTGACGAGTGAGCATCCCTATGCTTCGTGGCCGGGGAGCTGGCCGTTCTTGAGTCGGGGTGTTAGCTTTTGGACGAAGGATGCGACAAGGGAGCAGATTTACCTCTTGGGTAACCCGGTGGGATGGATTATTGCGTCTTCTACGCTTGCGGTGTATGCTGGTATTGCGTTGGCGCAAGCTTTGACGGAAAGGAGGGGTGTCAAGGTCTTGAGTGAGAGGGATGGAAGGAGGATTTGGGAGGTTACGGGATTCTTTGTGTTGGCTTGGGCCGCGCACTGGATCCCCTTCTGGGGAATGGGACGCCAGTTGTTCTTGCACCACTACCTCCCTGGACACCTCTGTTCCTCTCTCGTTCTCGGAGCTGTGGTCGAGTTCATCGGGAGCAGAATCCACGAGAAGGCGGCGAGGATTATTGGCAATGGACACGATGCGAGGAAGTTCAAGGAGGAGATGGCGAGGGGTGTTGGAATGGAGGAGGTCATGGTTACGGGGTTGCTGGGGGTTTTGGTGTGGACTTTCTGGTGGTTTGCGCCGGTTACGTATGGCACGCCTGGGTTGGATGTGGAAGGTGTGTTGGGACGGAAGTGGATGAGTACTTGGGACCTACATTTCGCGAAGTAAATCTGAAGGGATAGCATATGAGAGAGAAAAGAAGATAACGAATAACGAGCGTGTGATGTGATTCGATGATGTTCTTGCGCTTTTTGGCAGTAGTATATTTGTTATACGAAAAGACTTTACCTCTCTCCTCTTGCGCGGACCACGGCTTCTCTGACTACAGATTCTCCGACCTCCAGACTGACGAGTTCTCCGGGCTCCTCCCATGCCAAACTTGCTTCATATGCGTACACGATCATAGTCTCGTCCACTCTGACTCCACTTCTCGCCAGGGCTTGGATGCAGTTCGCAACTCGTGCAATTGCACTTCGCGTCTGAATGTCGATATGCTCGTTGACGTTTGAGTACACCTCTTCCGAAGCCGCCGATCCAGCGGTGGGCGGAGGAACGTGTTTCGAGACCCAGATCCAACCGTTAACACCAAGGAGAACATCGACGTTTTCCGGGAGTGAGTAGTGGTGGGTCTTGGACCGGGTAATGAGAGATGGCGGGATATTGACCAAGATACCGTTCCGGAGCTTCCCGTACTTCAGCGATCTGGTATGAACACTCGCCGCACCATCCGCGAACGTGGTCTGCACTTCACAAGAAACCATATCCCCCTCCTGGAAGAATGTCCTCATCTGTAGCTCATCCGTTGCGTTCTTTCGTCGCTGTACACCTCCGGGCAAGTTGATTGCGGACAACATGAGTACGGCATCTTGTCGGGCGCCGATATCGACACGCCAGCGTTTGGGTCCTACTTCGCGGACGCGGCCGATGATGAGGTCACCGATTTGGGGGGTGTAGCGGGCGTGGAGGGGGGAGATTGTGAGAAGTTTGTTGGTGCGGTGGAGGGTTCCTGCTACAGAGGCAACGATTGCAGAGGGGGTTGGGTAGGTTCCGTGACCTCTGAGAGGAAATTGTTAGAAATGGGAAGGAAGAAGGAATGGGGATGACATACCTCATGAATTGTGGGTCGTCGGTGATGATTTCTCCAGGGGTGACAATCTTCTTGGCGAAGGACAAACCACCTTCAGCCTCAGCTGAAGGGTCCAGCATATCAATATCCTCATCTTCATTAGAAGCCTCATGTCTCAAGTCATGTGTAGGCTCGAAGAGGTTGTACGGTTGTGGTGTAGCGAAAGTAACTGGCATGGTCGCAGATCTGAAAGGCTTTCCAGAGAATACGGTGCTTCTGTAATCGTAAAATGGAACTGATCGAAGGGATTCCCGTCTGATTGACACTCGTCTACACTGAGGATTTGTGCTGCGTTCACTTCCGAAACTTTATTTGACGACGTTACAGGTTTCTGCAGGTTCTCGGTGGAGCGCCGCGCTCACGCTCGAAGTACACCACGACACCATCTTCAAAAGTAGACCTTTATACGACCAGTCAACCTCAGGGGCACCGACAGAGACGAGCACTACAGGCTGGAATCAACGAGAAAAACCCGCGTTTCAGCGCCAAGAGATGGACGGTTCACCTATGTTCAACGGGTCCCCGCACGTCTCGCAAATGCAACCTCCACAGGGTCCATATCCTCAGCCTCCATCGATGAGCATGGTACAGCAACAACAGCAACTCCAACTTATGCAAGCACAACAACAAGCGGCTGCTGCGCCGGCCGATTCAGATAAGATGTGCGTCCCTTATACCGGGAGTCGACTCGAAGGCTTCAGGAACCGGAGCTGACAAGCGGGATAGATTACGACTGTTCATTCGAGATTATCTAGCTGCGCATAACTTCCACTCAACAGCAGCTGCTCTCACAAAAGAAGCCGAACTTCCTGGCCCCGCACCCCGACCTCCGCAAGATGCTCAACAACCTCCACCCCCAACGACCCAACAAGTCTGCGCACAACTAGGAATCCAACTACCAGCGTTACCAGCAGGTGGTCTGGAGGAATGGTGGCACATCTTCAACGAGATCTTCTCAGCGGTTCGAGGAGACCAGAAATCAGGGGTTGTTGTGGATATGGTTAGAGCACAAAACGAGCGTATGACGCAACGAAGCCAAGCACAGAAAGCGACTGTGGTACCAAACATGAATGGGATGACCCAGCTCGCCATGAATATGAACCCCATGGCAGCAGCAGCAGCGGCGGCAGCCGCGGCAGTCCAACAACCCGCCCTCCAAATCCAACTCCAACCTGCCGCACAAATTGCTCCCGGCCCTGGTCCTGGTCCTCGACCCATGGCACCTCCACAACAACCTCTCCTAACCCCGAACACGTTCGCGACAAATGCGCACCTTATGTCACAATCCATCCATGCCCTTGGTTTGGCGGGTCGTGATCCCAAGACGTTCACGCAGGAAGAACGACAGAGAATCATGGAGAGAACTATGAGGACACAGCAACAGAGTGTGCAGGCGCAGCAGGCACAACAAATGTCGATGCAGCAGCAGCAGCAGTTAGGGCAGCAGCAGAGAGTACAGCTACATCAGCAGCACCAGCAGCAAATGCAACACCAAGCGGCTCAAGCACAAATGGCGCAGTTGCAGCAGCAACAACTCGCCTTACAGCACCACCAACAACAAATCCAACACGCGCTCCAACAACAAGCCCTCCAACAGGGCGGCGGCGCTCACGGACAGGGTGGGCTGAGTGGCATGGGGGTGGATCTGAAGACTACGAATCAGCAATTGGCGGAGTTACAGGCAAGACAGGCGGCTGTGTTGAGGAGACAGCAGGAGCAGTTGAAGAGGAGGTTGAGTGTTGCGCCGCAGAGTGCTGAGACGAGTCCGGCTGCTAGTGGGCCGCCGGCGCCTGGGCAGGGACAAGGACAAGGGCAAGGGCAGGTTGCGCCTAGTCCGGTGGTTGGGAATATGCCTGGGCCGGGGCCGGGGCAGGGACAGGGTGGGAACGTTGGTGGTGGTGCTGGGCAGAATAACGGCACTGACTCCAATACTGCGAGCGGGAACGGGAGTGGAGACGGGAATGAACAGGGGAATAACAATCGATCGCCGAACGCACAACAGAACAACCAACCCCAACCACCAACCGACACCAACTCCAACGACTCCCAAGCCACCCAAAACCAAAACCCCAATCCCTTTGCAATGGAATGGCCAAACGCAGACTCCACCGACGCACCCGCCTTCGACGCCTCAGATCTCTTCGATTTCGGGGATAATGACAATGAAGAGGGCCAGAACAGCGGTGATGTCAGCAATGGAGCGCAAGTGACGAGTGCGGATTGGAATGCAGGGTTGCCGACGGGGATGATAACGGGTGATAGTTTTGGGGGGTTTGATTTTGGGGATATGGGCGGGGATATTAATTTTGAGAACTTTGCCTAGTCGTCAAGGCGGGCCCGGGGGTAGGCGCGATGATCGTGAAGGGAGAGAGATTGGAAAACGAGATGGCTACATCATTATGAAAGCGCGAGTCTCCTTTGGGTTTCTTGGATGGGATGGATGGTAAGATATATTTTCAGACGGTGTATTCAGTGTCACGAATAGAAGAACTTCACGATTCCGTTTGTTCCCCGGGTCCATCCATCCATCTCTTGGGCATTCCTCATGCAAGAGCGTCCCTGCACCGAACGTGCGCGCCAATCCTTGGCGTTTCGGCCAATCGAACATACAAACCGAGAACCATTGACGAACCCTGACCAGCAACGACCCTGTCTTTCATTCAATCGACGTTCATTGTCAGCTCAATTCGGTCTTTACGTTCATTCAACATGTTGTTATCCGCTTCCTTGATCGCCGGAGTCCTTTCTTTGGCCGCGAAGGTCACGGCCGATGCCAATGTCGGTACCCTTGGGTTTGCGGTGGGTGCTACGAACCCCGACGGAACGTGCAAGTCTACCGATGACTACGTCAACGATTTTAATGTTCTCAAGGACTACACTGTACGTTTCCCTCCCTCCCCTTGGCTCGTTTGGACGGGATGTATGCTACTTCGTGAAAGAGTGCTAATGGTGGATGTATGCAGTCCCTCATCCGCACGTACTCCATGTCCGACTGCTACACTCTCGCCAACATCCTCCCCGCCCTCGAGTCAACCGGTATGACCGCCATTCTCGGTATCTGGGCCGGACCCGGCTCGACCTACGAAACTTCCTTCCAGTATGAGTTGGGTAACCTCACGACCTACGCCACTCAGTACTCCTCCGCATTCACCTCCAACGTTGTCGGAATCACCGTTGGATCCGAGGTTCTTTACAGGGGTGATTTGACCCCTGATGAGCTCGTGAGCAGGATCAAGGAGGTCAAGACGACTGCGTCGGGGGTTGGGTATTCGGGCATGGTCGGAACCGCTGATTCCTGGAACATGTGGACCAACTCCTCCAACAACGCCGTTATCGAGGCAGTCGATCTCATCCTCACCAACGCCTTCCCATACTGGCAATCCATCGGAATCGACTCCGCCGGTTCCTCCTTCTTCAACTCCATCTCCTCCGCTCTCGCCTCGATCCAATCCGTCAACGCCAACGCGAAATTCTACGTCGGAGAGACGGGATGGCCGACAGAAGGCACCACTCTCGGTTCCGCGGTCCCTAGTGTTGATAATGCGCAGCAGTTCTGGAAGGAGGGGGTTTGTGCGATGAGGGAGTGGGGTGTCGACGTTTTCGTGTTCGAGGCGTTCGATGAGCCGGATAAGGCTAGTGCTACGAGTGATGGGGGGGTTTCGAGTGATGTTGAGAGTCATTGGGGAGTGTTTACTTCGGATTTCAGCAAGAAGTTCTCTTTGGACTGTTAGATGCATACGCGTGGTATATCTGCGTTGTTAGGGGGGTGATGGGGTGATACATATGAGTGTGCATTGGTCATTGGAGGTTATATGCGTCGAGTGTTGCCGGCGACACTTTCGTAATTCGAGTTTACATTTTCCTTGATTCGTCGTCTTGCCCACTTGCAGGATTCATCTACTTAGCTGGAGATGGCCGTGGGAAACGGGTTAAGGACCTTGACGCAATAGAACCTCAAGGACAAGCTTCAACTGGTGCACCATGAAAGAATGAAGAACCGGCCTTGGTATTTTCTGCTCTGACATAGCATGAGACAATATGGACCTGAGCCGCTCTGTGTCCTCCTAGGCCTCCTCCCTCCTCCCTCCTCCCTCCTCGCTCCTCTCTCCTCGCAATCGAGCTCCGGGTTCTCCTTGGTCCTCCATACACAGCCATCGTCTCGCAACACCGAAGGGATATCGCATTCGTTCGAGTGCACTCTTCCCAGCTAAGCCACCCACTAGCGCCCCAGCTCCGCCCCCACACAGCCCCGGACTCCCACCACCTCCGCCGTCCTCCCCGGACCTCCTCCTCCTCCTCCGCGGCCAAGAAACGAACCAAACATTAGAGTTCACTCCGCACTTTGCTGCGCCCGGGCTTGGAGATGGGAGCCCCATGGGGCACGGAGAAGGGGTGTCATAGAAGCCCCGTCCTTCCTCTATAAATACCAGGGTCGTCTCCCTCCATCATCAACTGCACTCGCAAACACTCCCGGTCCCCAAGCTCTACTACCACTACCACACACACAACAACAACAACCAACCAACCAACCACAAAACAAAATGCCCATCACCACCCACACCTACCCTCACACCCCCGCCACCCCCGCCACCCCCAAAGCCCACAAAAACTGGCACTGGCCCGGCGACAAGAACCCCAAGTTCTACACTACGAAAGTGTCGTTGAAGAAGGGGTATATCGGCCAGGCGGAATATGATGCGATTATGGCGATGAGAAATGGGCCGACCGCTCACATTGTTTGAGCATCGTCAACGCGCAAAGTCGAAGTCGATGCTTGAGCGTGGAGAGACCGGGAGAATGTACGAGTACAAGAGATGAGAGAGCGTATGAGAAGAGGGTGTAAGGTTAGTACTGGCTCCAAAATCTATGACCTGAAGCAAGGGACCAACTGCTTGTACAGATACCGTGCACGAATCAACCCCTTTTCAACTCGAACCATGGAGTCGCAGAACCAACGAACACGAAAGCACAGAGGATAGAAGACAGAGAACGGGATACAGGAGCATTTGATATTTCGCAGTTACATTCCATTCCAAACGAATCAAACTTTTTCAATTCACACCAAGAAGTCCCCTCTATAAATAAAATGTTCCCGCAAACGCCAATGACAATGTTAATGCTCGTCGTGTTCATGCTTCGCTTCCTCAATGCTCTGCCTTTTCCTTTTCATCCCCATCCATGCCTTTTTCGAACATACACGCCAACTTAGGCAGTCAAACTCCCCGAACTCGCAGAACTCCCCGCACCCCTCTCCCTCTCCCTCGCAAAATATCTACTAACCTTCTCATCCATCCCCACCCCCCCATCCACACTACCTTCCCCCACACTCCCACTCCCCATCCTCTCGGCCTCCTCCTTCTCCTCAACAACGCCAGCCTCATAAACCGCCCTCAACTCCCTAATCTTCGCCTCCCGATCCTTCACCGGATCATACCCCCTATCCCTCTTCAACACAACCCGTTCCCACCAACTCAGATGCCGAGGATGGATAGCGATACCATGATATTCCTGCTCGCGGCCTTCACGGACATATGTCCAATACCGTTCCTGCTCGACCAAATCCAAACCAGTCGTGTCGGGGATGAAGAGGACTGTGCAACCGAGCCCTAGTAGACCAAACCATGTCACGATCCAGAATTTGGTGTGGTTGGGAACGTAGTTGTAGATGATTGTCGGGATCAGTGCTCCCAATTTCCCGCACGCAGCCGAGAATCCGTGGGCAGAAGCGCGAACAGGTGCGGGATAGACTTCCGCAGCAAGCAAGAACGTCGTCGAATTAGGTCCAAACTGCTGCCAGAAACTCGAGAAAAAGTATAAGAACTGAAAGATCTTGATCGGGGTCCCGGGTGTGCGGAGTGTATCGTACATCGCAGCCGGGATGATAAACAAAATAAACTGGACCAAGAATCCGACGGATTGCATGTGTTTCCGGCCGTAGAGTTTGTGGTCGATGAGGAGTGCGGCGAGGTAGTACCCAGCGAGCGAACACCCAATATTGACCAAATTCCACAACCACAAATCCATAACCGAGGCATCAGGCGTGATGATCCTCAGAAAGACACCTTGGAAAATCTTGTTCCCATAAAAGAAAAAGTCGTTGGCGAACCATCCCCCCGCGGTACCCACGAGTCGGTGCCAGTAGTGCGTAGATACGAGTTTGAGGGACTGTACGTCATACCCGGTGACTTTCTGCTTCTTCTTCGAGATGCGGAGTGCTTGGTCCGCGAATTTGAGGTGGTAAATTCGGTGGTAGAGGAGGTATGCGGTAACAACCCCCACCGCCGCAAAACTCACCCTAAACGTCCACTGTGTCGCGAGTTTACTGTAAGGCTCACTCGCACCACCATGGAATGCCAACATGCCCACGATGAGGATAGCTTGGTTCGCGAGTTGGCCCCAGCCTTGCATGAGGAATGCTAGGGAGACGTTCCGGCCGCGGTGGAGTTTGTCGTCGGAGGAGGATCGGAGGGAGGATGTTTCCATTGCGGAGATGCCTGTCATTGGGTACTCGCCTCCGACACCGACAGAGTAAAACATGAGCGAGAGTGCATACATGATGACCCACCCATTCAAACTCGTTCCCCACATTCCTGTGAGGAGGATACAGCCGAGTGTCATGATCGCTGCATCTTGGATCATTCCCATTCGGCGCCCGATCCAGTCACCGATGATACCGACGTAGATCTGCCCGACGATGATACCGACGATTTCGAGGTATTCGACTGCGTGGGTCCATGTCCGGTCGCAGACTGCGAAAGTACTCCAACACGCTGGCCAAACAACCTGAAACAAGGGTTTGATATTCCCGACACTGAAAAGCGTGTATCCCTCAACAAACAACCCCATCCCGGTCATAACATACTTCTTGAAGTAAATCCGAATGGGGTCGAGGGGATCATTTTTGAAGGTCGCCCATAGGGCTGCCAATTCGCGTTTTGTTTCGGCAGAGTTTTGGGCGTTGATCCAGTGGACTCGGGGCCAGAAGGGGAGGTCGGCCCAGTATGTTCCGTCGGGGGTGTATGCGTCCTGGGGGAAGAGGACGTCTTTTAGGAGGTGTTCTGGGTCTTCGAGTTCGTGTTCTGTTGGGCGGTGGATTGGTGCTGGGTGTGATTGGATCAGTTCCAGCGGGTTGGAGGGGAGTTCTTCTCGCATGGTTGTTCCCGAAGCAGCCCGGATCCAATTGCTTGGTCGGCTAGAATGAACGGTTGGTGGAGGCTGAGTGCGTGAAAGAGAGCGAAGAGAGCGAAGAGAGCGAAGAGAGCCGGCGGTGAGGCGGTGCGTCTCAGAGGAGTGTGGAGTCCGCGCCAGCACAACCAAAAAAGTTGGATAGTCAGGGGCGGAAGCGAGAAAATGGCTCATCGGCACTCAACCTGTTCCCTTCTGTGACTTTCTTCCAGACTCAATCACTTCATTGATATTGATTCTGGAATTATTAGAAATTTACACACAGCAAAATCCATGTACATTGCCGATATCACCTGACCCCACCGTGCTTTCGTCATCACCCCAATCTCCGCTCCCTAGAGTCCCCGACTGACCCGAAGATTCTCTCCACCTTAACCTTCCTTCTTCTACAACCCACACACACAAACCCAAAAACAAGCAAAAATGGTTAAAGCAGGTTCGTCCTTTCTCCTTGTATGAGACGTGAGTGAAGGGATCGGGATCGTCGGCCGGGTGCTTGTTTCTGTGCCGTTGGCCTCGACTACCTTGGTGGCCTCGGTGGGTTTTCGGAGGGTTCGACGGACTCGTGGGCCGTACACGTACGGTGAAGGGCCGATCAGAACCGTACAAGACGGTGACATGACGGATATGGCCATGTTTTGCTGTTCCATCCACGTCTGTTGCGGATCAGCGGTCCTACGCCCGAGGAACCCTCACCAACATGCCCCGATCCCTTTCCTCACATCTCATGTCTACTTACTTCTACTTACACACGAACGTGATACTAACTTTCTCTCCCTCTCAGTCGCCGTCCTCCGTGGAGACTCCAACGTCAAGGGAACCGTAACCTTCGAACAACCCTCCGAATCCTCCCCCACAACAATCACCTGGTCCATCACCGGTAACGACCCCAACGCCCTCCGCGGCTTCCACGTCCACCAATTCGGTGACCAAACGAACGGGTGTACCTCCGCTGGCCCGCATTTCAACCCCAAGGGCGTCACGCACGGCGATAGGGTCGCCGAGACGAGGCACGTTGGTGATTTGGGTAACCTCAAGACCGATGCGGAGGGCAAGGCGGAAGGGAGTGTGGAGGATTCGTTGGTCAAGTTGATTGGACCCGAGAGTGTTGTTGGCAGGACTGTTGTTGTGCATGCTGGCACTGATGATTTGGGAAAGGGTGGTGTTGAGGAGTCTTTGAAGACTGGAAATGCTGGTGGAAGGAATGCTTGTGGTGTTATTGGTATTTGCTAAGCGGGTCGCTTACGGACCATGGCTTGGTGTATGTTATGTTATCATCGTATGATGTGGTGTAGGATTTGAATCGAGATGTATTCCTATGCTTCACTGTTCCCCACCACGTCCTATCCACAATCACAACTCCTACATCCTCTCAACCCCTCGTGCCCCAACGGCCACTAAACCCCACCCAACAACCCTCCTACCAACCTCCAACCCCCTTCTCCTCTCCTCTCTCAACCCCTCATCCGTGACGCCCCTAACCCGCGTTTTCGAAATCACTGAACTCAACTCCTTCGCCACTCTTAATAATGCGTCGATGAACGCCTTGGGGTTTGATTCCAAAGGGGCCGAGGGGAGGGTTGAGGAGAGGAGGGAGAGGAGGGAAGCGAGGGGGGTGAATGTCTCCGCTGTTCTCCCGAAGCACAACCCCTCGGCGGAAGAGGAAGAGGGATCGGAGGTGAATGAGAGCCGTGCGTGGGTGTATTGCAACGTCAACCCCACCGCTCCCGGATCCACCATTGGTTTCGCGGTCGAGTGTGCTAGTGCCGAGGTCAGGAGACACGTCCTCGCTAACTCCAAACTCAACCCCTTTGCCGCGTTCTCATCGAAGAGTTCGCGGTCGGTGATTGTGGGAAGGAGTTCGGATTGGAGGAGGGAGGTGAGGTCGGGGATTGTGTGGGCGTCGGGTTTGGGTGTGGAGAGTTGGATTGAGCTTAGGAGGGGACGGGTGGTTAGCCAGACGACGTCCTCATTCGTCGCGGGGTCGATGGAGGGGAAGTCTTTTGAGCGTAAGATATCTGGGGTGCTGGTGCGTGGGGTTGAGCTGCGCTCGAGGTGTGGGTAGATAACTTCCCGGAACAGAGTTTGCTGGAATGATTGCTCGTCATGGTTGTGTGTAAACTCGGCAGCGGTTGGTGGGGATGGTGGGAGTGGGGAGTGTTTTGAGGTTAGCCAGGCTTTTTGTAGCGACTCCTGGGGGTTCGCGTAAACTGTTCTTCGAAGGGAGGCTGAGACCAGAATCAGTACTCCGAACAGAGGAGCTTGGTAGGGATGACATGGGATGTCTCACCGTATGCTTTACTCTCCTCATCCACGAACTCGTAAATCTCCACGGGCCCGTCATATGTCGCCGCAATGAAACCGGCAATCCCAATTGCTTCCACGTGTCTGATACCAAATCCTGCCGCAAGGGAGTCGATTACTACTCGTAGTTTCGGCAGCTCTCCGTGAGTGTCGATGTCGGTCTTGGAGGGCGATGTCGTCTGTGCGGTCCATTTGGCGAAATTGTCACGGACCCATCGCGCTTTGTGAACGGAGAGACGGAGGCAGGGGCCGTTGATCTCGGCAGTTGCTATCCGTCCTGCTGTTGCTTCTGACCAGCTGACTCCTTGTAGCCGTGCAGAAGCGTCGTCGAGGTTGGAATATTGTAGAGCACGGAGGTTGACAACAAACTGATGCCCCACGAACGGATCCGTTACCGCCCTCACATTCTTTCTCGCTCGTTCCTCATCCACCTTTAACACAGCCACCAACGCCTTTGCAATGACTGCCGTGTAGGTTGTACCGGTCGATTCAACCATTTTGTGAAATTACCACTTTCGGACTTTGTCCTCGGTAACGACGATACTGCTGTGTGCACCAACCAGCTGCATCTTGACGCTCATTGACGAATTACCCTTTCGGAATTTCGCCCGCGGCCCGACACGATAAGGCCGAAGCGAACCTCCAAGAAAAAAAACATCTCCACCATCACGCGTACGATGCTTCTCCCACGATCGCTCCGTCTCACCGTGAAGGGATCAAGATCTTTCGCGACCACGAGACATGCTTCAAGACAACCGAGTTATACATGTTATCTATCCGCCGCTTACTCACCAAAAAAACACCGGAAAACACCGACACAGGATCCTGAGGTTCCAGATACGGGCGAGGATGCATTTTTCCTTACATCTATGGCCGATGCGGACGCAGTTGCGCTCGGAGTAGGTAGGCTCTCCCCTCCCACTTATACTGTTCAAAATACTGACATGTTGCGACCACAGCGGACGGCGTAGGCGGCTGGTCAGACATCGGTGTCGACCCCTCCCTCTTCTCCCGAGCCCTTTGCGAAGATCTAGAGACCGAAGCCTCCGCCATCAAAAATGTCGCCTCGAGAGCCGGAAGCCCAAAAAGCATCCTCGAACGTGCATTCACGAAACTGGTGGAGAGTAAGCGTGTGGAGGCTGGTTCCTCAACCGCGTGCGTCGCCACCATAGGTCTGAAAACCGGTACACTACGAGTCGCGAACCTGGGAGATTCGGGCTACCTCCTCTTCCGCCCATCTCCCTCAACACCCAAATCTCCCCTATTCCACGCCTCATCTCCACAAACCCACTTCTTCAACGCACCACTACAGCTAAGCATCATCCCACCCTCGATCCGGAGTAGTGGGCACCTAACGGATCACCCGAGTGCGGCGGCCGAGACGACACATCAACTCCAACACGGAGATGTAGTATGCATCGTCACGGACGGCGTTACGGACAACTTATCCCCCGAATCCATCGCATCCATCGTGAGGGAAGAAATGCGGGTATGCGGGGCCTGGACATCCGATCCCTCACCCTCGGAATGTACGCCCACTCTCCCCGTTCCCCCCGGAACCGAAGACCACCTCGGTCCCGGCGTCGACGCACTCGCCCGCGCCATCGTGATCGCGGCCAAGAAAGCGGGGTGGAATACGGCGAATGAAGTTCCGTTTGGACGTGAGGCAAGGAAGTATGGGTATGAGTATGAGGGGGGGAAGCCGGATGATATCACGGTTGTTGTGGGGTTGGTTAGGGAGGTGAGAGAGGAGAGGGAGGGGGGGAAGGGCGAGGGAGAGGAGATGGGGGGTGGTGGGGGGTGGGAGAATAAGGCGAGGTTGTAGGTGGGATGTTAACGTGGGAAGTTGGGGGGTGGAGGTAGGATGGGGGACCAGGGGTGGAAATGAGGGAGGACGAAAGGACATGGATAGCATATTGGAGCAATTGGCGTATTTGATAGAGGGATAAAAGTGTTTCGTTGTCCGTTCAATGACGTGGTTATAGGCTGTCTACTTGACAGGAAGTTTTGGTCACGATCCGCCTGTCCTCGCCGCTACTCATGCCTGAACCTCAACCTGGGGTTCAGCAGCTCCCTTCTTCCTCGCCACCAAAAAATAATTACACCCCTCGGCCCACTTCTCCCCCGGGTGCATAGTCCTCCACTTGCCCTCCCACGGCACATAAATCACGCCTCTAACCTCCACCACATCCATCTCCTCCCTCGCCTCAAACCACCCCCTCAACTCCTCCGGGTTGATATACTTCTTCCACGAATGCGTTCCGACGGGGACCATCCTCAGCAGATGTTCCGCGGCGAAGATGGTGAGGAGGTAGGAGAGTGGAGTCCGGGAGATGGTGGAGAGGAAGAGGTACCCGTTTGGTGCGAGGAGGGAGGTTAGGTGGGAGAGGAAGAGGGAGGGGTTATCGACGTGTTCGAGGATTTCCATTGCTGTGATGACGGAGTATTGTTTTGTGGGTTTTTCGAGCACGAGCTTCTCTGTGGTGGAATTCACGTAGTCCAGCCTTCCGTCCATTAACTCTGGTGATCGTCGTGCGTGGCCTTTTGCGACTTTGATTGCCATTGGAGATCCGTCGAGGCCTTGTACCGTCGCTCCCAGTCGTGCGAGGGATTCACTCAATACACCTCCTCCACACCCAACATCCAATATCCTCTTTCCCTTTAACGGTTCGGTGCCCTCAACCAACGACGGGGCAAGATGATCCAGAATTAACCGCACCCGCGTCGGGTTCATGAGATGCAGCATCCGGGATTCACCGTGTGGGTCCCACCATGTCTGGGCCAGGGAGTCGAAGTGGGATATTTCTTCTTGGTTTAGGGTTGAGTGGAGGTGGTGTTGTGGGATTGGCATGTGCGATGGTCGTGAGAGGAGGGGACGGGCATGGTGGAGGGTGCCGGGTATTCTGAGTGCGGGAAGGGGTATTCTTGGAGGCATTGGTGAAGGTTGCTGGATTTTTGGTGGAGTACTGTAACGTCGACTGCGACGTGCGGGTGCCTGTCGGACGCGCAGCTCTGTGTTTACCCTCACCACCTCTGGGGAAGTTCCAGAGAATGGCACAAGACGAGTTCGATTCAATCACCCAGTCATGCTTTCTCATCATGCCACCCGGTCGCGAGTCCATATGGCACCGGGACGAAAACAGTGAAACCTATCGAGAAGGACGACCGCCGAAGAGGAGACGCCTAGGGCACGCGTACACCTTCAAACCCCTGTTGAATGGAAAGGAGAACAAAGAAGCCGTGAGATTTAGGCAGACGTTGTATGAGTGGACTTGGGGTGAGCAGAAGCGCAAGATTGAGCACATCCTCAGCAGTGTCAATGAACGGATGCTCGTTGAGCTTGGCGACTTTGTCCGTCATGCCTACACTGAAGAGCCGGCTGGCGTCCCTGTGGGCCTCGTCCTGGCTGGACCCAACATCTCTTCGCACTCCCGCCTCTTCAATCAGATCACCTCTGCAACTCGGGCCCTCAATTGCGGACCTGTGATTCTCCTGACCTCACGAGATGCACCAAACCTCAGAGCCTGTTTGAAGAAAATCATTGAGGGTGCAATGGATGCTGTTATGGGAGAGACTGAGGAGGATGAACTTGCTCCTTTGCGATCTGGTGGAGAGAAGAAGGGAATCAAGCTGGCAAACTACGATTTGAAGATTCTGGCAGCGTGGATGAAGCACAAGTTGGGTGCAATGAGCGCTTCTGCGGCTTCCTTCAAGATCACCATCGCAGTGCAGGACACCGAAACTCTTCCCGGAAACCTCCTTCCGCAACTCCTCAACCTTCTCCACAACTATCTGCCTCAGATCCCTGTCGTGGTTCTTTTAGGTATTGCAACTTCCCTTCAACATTTCCAAGAAACTCTACCGTCCGCCACCACCCGTCTTCTCCTAGCCCAGAAATTTGATGTCCGACGCGGAGAGGATTGTCTTGAGGTCATTGTGAGAGAAGTCCTCCTTGCACCAAGCAACAAGGTCAGACTAGGTGCCAGACTGTACGAGTTCTTGTGGGATAAATGGAGGATGCACACACAGTCTATCGAATCTTTCGTTGATGGATTGCAGTTTGCGTACATGTGTCACTTTTACGCAAATCCCTTGTCTGTGCTCGTTGCAGCACCCGACACGATGAGAGATCGGCAGACTTGGGACACAGAGGAAAATCAGGAAGGTTGGGGGGCACTTGAGTCATGTTGGGAGGCCGTCCTGCAGAAGGAACACTTTCAAGCCATCCGAACTTTGCCGTCATTCCGTCACTTTGTTTCGAAACAATTGGAAATGCCAGACTGCAGGGCGGGGCGGGTTCGTGCCCTGCTTGAAAATGACTTGACTCTGAGTTCTCTCATTTCTGAATTTGCCGCCGAGAACGTAAAGCATGCCGCACAGCTTGAGATGACGTTGAATGTTTTGGATGCTCTGCAAAGCTCACTGGTGTCCACCGCTGTGAAGAAAGGTCGATTGGAGGTTTATCTGATGGCATTGCAAGGTGATATTGTTGATGGTCGATGGTTGAAGGAGATGCTCATGTTGATGAAGAAGATGAACTCAGGAAGTTTGAAGCAGTTCCTGGCCAAGTGTGTGGAGGGAACAACAGGCTCCGATGTGAATGCAACATTTGTCGGTCTCTTGGACGAACTGGTCCAGATCTTGGAGGCAGAAGCAGTTAAAATTGCAGTGGCAGAGGAATCGTCAGATGAAGAGGGGGAGAAGGATCGCGGGTTGGTCTCCGAATACACGCTGCAGGAGGCTAAAGAGGGAGACCGTGCAACACATGTAAGCAAAAAGATCCGCATTGCTTCGTCAAAAGCAAGTATGCGAAATGGTGAAGTTGCATACACAAAGGTCGTCGAGAAAGTACATGCACTTCTGAAGGAGTACCTTGAGGCGTCATTGAAGTCATACACGGAGTTGACATTGCACGAAGTGTTCTATTACAATGTGACAAAGCCGCATCAGGATGTGTGTTTCGAGTCTTGTTACGTGTGAAATTTTGCTAACTCAAAGATCAGGCATTCTCCGCACAACACCGAGCAGCAATCCAGACAGCCCTTACCCAACCCCATCACTACCTCGCCTGCAGCTGTTGTGCACCACCTCAAAATACTACTCGCCGTGATGAAGAGATCTTTGATGACGATGCAGATGGGGGTCTCACGACGCAGCCAGACACTGCCATTCTACATCAATTGTACATGGAGTGTGGGTCATTGATCAATGTCTATGACTGGTTTACTGCGTTTGGATCTATTGCAGAGAGACGACACAAGGAAGACGAGGATGATGGAGACGAGGGTCGAGGGGTGTCCGAGGACGGGCAAGCGAGATCACGGCACAAGGAGGACGAGGAGGAAGAAAGGAAGCAGGGTGACCAGGCGAGGTTCTTGAGAGGAATGGCAGAGATGCAGTTCATGGGATTCATTAAACCGACGAAGAGAAAGACAGATCACGTCTCTCGTCTCGTCTGGGGGTCAGGGTAGCTATAGTTTACGTGTCTAAGGAACCAAACTGAGCTCTACCTATCGTAGTAGACATATCCTTCATTCCCGCGTCACAAGATGCTACAGTACCTGCCCTCAAATCTCAATCGGCCCCCGGGTATCTATGATGTCTCAAACCCCCCCAAGCCAAACGCGCACAAACACTCTCCTCTCGTTCTCCTCATCGTCTCCCACCCCCTAAAATCCTCTTAACAGCCCCCGCCTCCTCCAGCCCCCCTCCCTCCCCCCCCAACTCCTTCCCAACATCAAAAACACTAACGACACCACCCAACCCACCCACTGCAACCCGTCTCCCATCACCGCTCCCCGTTTCCCACCTAACTTTATTCAAACTTCTACTCCTCGCGTTTGTAGAGGTGGATGGGTGCGGGATGAGTGTTGCGCGCGCGACGCTGATTTCTTGGTCGCGGACGATGTCGAAGATGTCCAGCGCGCCGGAGCCGTCGACGGTAGCGAAGATGGAGGGACGGGTTGGGTGCCAGGCGACGTCATAGACAATTTCTTCCCGGAGATAGGTCAACGCCGCTTCCTCCTCCCTAACCTTCGCGCTCGCCTGCCCCACAGACTTGCCATTCGTGCTAACGTTCGCGTTCGCATTCTGCCCCCGCCAAATCTTCACACTCCAATCCAACCCACAACTAACAACAACCTCCCCCAACTCCCCAACCCCAACCCCCATTCCCATCCCCCTTCCCTCGCGTTTCATCCGCGGGATCCGACGGCGTTCGTGGTGGGGACGGAGGAGGGGGGGGTGTGGGGTTGTGCGAGGTATGATCGGGCGGGGGGGGCGGGTGCGAAGGCGGGGGTTAGGGGGTGGGTTGGGGGACATGGGGGTGGTGCGATGGTTACGGGGGTTGGGTGGCATCCGACAAGTCGGTGCGATTTCGGTGTGGTTTAGGGGTGAGATGAGGGGGAGGGATTCGAGGGGCGCGGAGAGTTGGTCGAGGGACCAGGCGCAGAAATGGCCGTCGGTGGAGACGGAGATTAGGGATGCGGCGTTTTGGGTTCCGATGATTGAGGTTGCGTAGACGGGGGATGAGTGGCCTAGGAGGCCGGTTGAGGTGGAAGAGGAGGTTGTGGTTAGGGGTGAACGGAGGACTGCGCGCTCGCCGGCGCGGAGATCCCATAGCATGATTTGACCGCTGTATAAACCTCCTACCACTATATGCGGATCGAATGGTGAGAATTGCGCACTCAAGATATCGCTGGGTGCGGTGAACGAGTATTCCGCGACACCCGGATCCGCATACGAATTGAAAATCTGGATCAACCCTGGCGCCGTGCTCGTGGCGACTGTGCCGGAGCCTTTGGTGTAGGATGCGAGTACGAGTTCCGGGTGCTGTGTACAGAAATCAAGAGCCGTTACCGCGCGTCCTCTTCCTCGGCTCGTATCGTAGAACTGGTGAATTTGCGTGAGTGTGGATGATTCGGTGTCCGTGTTGGTGGGGGTAAGTGACGCTGAGTAATCTTTGAGGATGTCGTAGTTTTCTTCCGCTAGGGCACGGGATAGTACGCGTGTTGAGCGGTCGAGGAAGGAGGCGAGGGAGGGTGCGGTGCGGAGGTTATCGAGTTCCGGTTCGGTGAGTTCTATAGGATGATTGTCAGCCATCTTGTACATTTAGGTGGCATTTATCCGACCTGGAGTAGCCTCGACGTCACGCTTCTGCAATTGCTGTTCCCCTTGGTCTTCCTTCGCCAGTCTTCTCTGCTCCTCCTCGACCTCCACGCGGATTCTGGCTCGTAGTTCCTCCTCCGTCTCCCGTCCCACCATATCCCTCTGCTCACCCTCCTCGTAACTTCCAACGCATACCTCCATCGTCTGAACCTCCTTACTATACGTCACAACCTCCTTCACCACCGGCGGCGCAACATCCAGAATCGTGACGAGCGGCGCCGTTGCAAGCCCTAACGAAGCCGAAGAGGACTGTGGACGGGGTGCAGAGTCAGTTTGGGTCGGTGTTGCGGGAACGCCGCTGGAATGCGAGGATGTAGAAGCTGAGGTACGTGGTCGATCTCCGAGGAGTGAGGAGACGAGGTTGTCTATCTCGGTTCTATCGCGGGTTGGTGGTGGACTTGGACCGCTCTACACACCCCCACACCCAAGTCAGCACCTTCCACCTGTATAAACGGGGTGCATACACTCACGCTGTGTGACCCCGCGGTGCCGGCTGGGGGTTGTGCCTGTAACGCAGCGAACGCGGATGACCGCTCCGCTTTGGCTCTCTTCAGCTCGGCGAGCTTTGCGCGTTTAGCTTCGAGCTCTGCTTTCCTTCTCGCTTCCGTTGTTGACATTGTCGTCCTTCAACAATTGCAATGGTCAATGGTGTAGTGTTTTGGGGTGTATGCCGTATACCAGGGCGAGTTCAGGGGCAACACATTCACGTGCATCGACGATTCAAGCAGACGTCGAGTAATGATCCTCCAACACAACCACCAATCCAATTCAGCACCAATAGCAGTTACAATGGCCGACGCTTCAGCACCCGTAGCAAAGACAATGGTCTACTGTCAAGGTGTTTCCCTCCATTCCTCCCTCTCCGCACGCGCGGATCAACGACTAACTGTCTGCACAGTCTGCTCCTACCCCCCGGAATACTGCGAATTCGGCTCCCGCTTCAAAGCCTGCAAAAAATGGCTCCAAGACTCCGAACCCGAACTCTTCACCCACCTCTACTCCGACGACGCCCTCTCTGCCGCCGCATCGACCCTCTCACTCGAAGCCCGCGAAAAACTCGCAAAAGAACAAGCCAAAAAAGAAGCAAAAGCTGAAGCCAAAGCCGAACGTCTCGAAGCCAAGAAATCCCGGACAAAGGTGACGATCAAACGCGTCGAACGCAATAAACGAAAACATATCACCTCCATTCAGGGGCTTGAGCACTTTGGGATTGATTTGAAGAAGGCGGCAAAGTTGTTTGCGAATAAGTTTGCTACTGGGGCGAGTGTGAGTAAGACTGCGGCGGGGGTGGATGAGATTGTGGTGCAGGGGGATGTTAGTGAGGAGGTTGAGGATGTGATTTTGGAGAAGTTTAAGGAGGTTCCTGAGGATAATATTGAGTTGACGGAGGATAAGCCGAAGAAGAAGGCGCCGAAGGAGGTTGCGCCGCAGCCGGGGACATAATCGTCATGATATCAACGCGATGATACGATAAAAGGCAAAGGACATGCTCATGAAGATTACCATATTCCCATATCCCTCCAACAGACTCCCTTCCCTTTTATCACTCACTTCCCCTCCTTCGCCTTCTCCTCATCAACCCATGCCAAACTCCTCCTAATCCCCTCCTCCAAGCCCACAATCGGCTCATACCCCAACACCCTCCTCGCCTTCCCAATATTATAATACCGATTCGCACACGAGAACTTTACCCTAAACCGCGTAAAGCCCGGCTCCTTCCCCACGATCCAACTCCAGCACTCCGCAGCGCCCGCGAGAACCACGGCGAGGGAACGCGGGAGGATGAGGTGCCGGCTTGAGACGTGGGAGAGGTGGGACCAGAGTGTACGCGGGAAATCCCAGAAGTAGATTGGGCTGGCGTTTGTGATGAAGAAAGCTTCGCCGGCGACGGTGGAGACGATAGAAGGGTCTGGGGAGAGTATTTGGTTGGCGGCAAGGAGGTGGGCGTGCGCGGCGTTGAGGATGTATGTGAAATCGAATAAATTGAGATTGTCGCCGAGTTGGAAATGAGTTTGTCCGTTCGCGAGGACGGAGAGCATTCCGGGGATCAACTGACGATCCCCCTCGCCGAAGAGCCCAGCGGGACGGATTGCGCACACGCGGAACTCGTCACAATTCGCGCCGAGAGCGAGTTTCTCTGCTTCGGCTTTGGAGTCGTTATACGCATCCATCGCAACCACGGGGATCGGCGCACTCTCGTCAACGTTAATGAGGTCATCCCCATCGAACACCACGCCCGCCGAACTGGTGAATACCATTGCTTTCACACCCTCAGCTTTCGCCGCGCGGCAAATTGTGCGTGTCCCTTCGACGTTGACTTTGAAGTAGATATCGCGGCCCATGCCGTGTACGGGGGATGCGGTGTGGATAATCACGTCTGGACGGGTGGATTGGATGATGCGGGTCATGTCGTCCAGGGAGGTGATGTCGCCGGCATGGTAGGCGACGGAGGGGTGGGGTGGGGTGTTGGGGATGCGGAGGTCCATGACGGAGATGGAGATGGAGGGGTCGCTGTCGAGGATGTGGGAGACGATGTGGCCGCCGAGGAAGCCGCAGCTATGTGTACTTGTTAGTCCTGTTCATAGGAGCGACGGAGTATGGGTACACACCCTCCGATGACCAGAGCGGAATTGAAGTTGTATTTCTTTGTGGACATCTTGGATTTGAACGGAGTTGTGTTTTGTCGTGGTACTGTATCACCGCGACGTATTGTATGGGGAACACGTGCCCTGGCTGCGATCCTGGGTAATAAACACCACACCGAACCCCCCCTCGGCCAATTCTCCCATAATATCATGTTACCAAACGAGTTACTGGCCTCCTTGATCCCTCAATACCCTACCCTAACCACACAGCTCCGAACCCTGACGACGCTGCTGTCATACCCCACCCTGCCCTCACCACCCTCTATCCTACTCTACGGACCAGCTCTATCGATTCCCGGCGGACTACCCGAGCATGCACTGAGAGCTGTACTGGAAGGGAGTGATGACGTGGAATACCGCTGGATCAACTGTGTCGAGACCATCACGCCTCGCCTCATTTTTGAGGCTGTCGTGGGCGGGGAGGTATGGGTTGAGGAAGGGGATGAAGTACGGAGTGAGAGTCTACGGATGGGTGATTTGACGGCGTTTGTGGCTGCTGTGCGACACGCTTACACTTCACGTACCACCAAGATCGTTTTAGTGAGTCCCCACCACCACTTGTGTTTACTATATGTACTAACATCCGATTGTGTCCCAGGTCTTCTCATCCGTCCACCTCCTCACATCCCTCGCCCTCCCAACCCTCCTCCAAACCCTCACCTCACTCTCCTCACTAACCTCCATCCCAACCCTAACAACCCTCCTCCTAACCCCCCACCCACCCCGCCATCTCCCCTCACAGCCCTCCATCTCCTTCCCAACACCCCCACCAACCTCCCTAACAGCCCTCATCTCCTCCCACCCCTTTCCACGCGTGACATTCGACCCCGTGGGAGAGGATGAGGCAGAATGGGAACAGGACGAATACGAAGCGAGAGAGAATGCGTGGTGGGAAGTCCTAACAAGTTACTGGCCCCGCTTCGTCGATACCATCCAAAAAACCCTCGGACTTAATTCTGCGGAACTGTTACAGGAAGCTTGTGGGAGACTTTGGCCGCGGTTTCTCAAACCTTTACGGAATGGGCGGGAATCGTGGAGTCCGGGGACGGGGGGGACGTTTATGGGGTTGTATCGGCACGCTGTTGCGAGTGGGTTGTTCCGGGGTGAAGACGGGGTTAGGGCACGGCTTATTCCTGGGGAGGAAGTACAGGAAGGGAGGATGGGACAGTATGATTTACCGTATACGGCAAAGATGCTACTCATCGCTGCCTTCCTGGCATCCTACAACCCAGCCCGACTCGATGCTCGGTACTTCTCAAAAGGTGGCGGAGCCCCCACTCGCCGCAGAAAAGGCGGTGCAGTAGCGAAAGAAATCCGGAAACACGACGCAAAGATCCCTCAGCGACTCCTCGGCCCCAGACCATTCCCGTTGGAGCGGATGTTGGCGATTTTCCATTCGCTGCTCGATGAGGAGGATCATGTGAGGTTGATGAAGGGGAATGTAGATGTTTCAAGGCAGGTTGCGACGTTGGGTACGCTACGGTTGATGGTTAAGACGGGGGCGGGGGATGGTGTTGGGGATGGTGGGGGGAGGTGGAGGGTTAATGTTGGGTGGGAGGTTGTGAGGGGGTTGGGACGGGGTGTTGGTATTGAAGTTGAACGGTTCTTGGCGGAATGATTACCACCACCTCTAAGAGAAATATAGAAAGATTGCGTTTACAGCGGATCCCCGTAATAAAACCCAACACCGACCCCCTCCCTCCTTATCTCACCAACAACACCACTAATCTTAACCCCCTCCCCCTCATTCCTCAACTCCATCAACCGGACCTTGACACCCGTGCTAACAAGTACACTCACCCTCCCCTCCGTCTCCGCACATACCGGTTCCCGCCCCAGCGCGATCAAGAGTCCATCCAACCACTCCGCATGCGAATGCAGTGTTTGCGGATTCAATGTCAACAGCGGTGATCGCGCATTGGGCGATTGAGCCTTAACAACGATTTGCGGAATGGTTGTGGGGGTAGATTTTAGGGCGTTCGCGAGGGATGAGGATCGGGGACGGGATTTCAGGGTTGAGGTGTTTGATTGTGTCGATGTAGGGGATTTGATGGCGGAGGTTATTTCGCCGGCGAGGGAGAGGTCGACTGTGGGGTTCAAGTGTCAGCAAATGCGCGCAGAACGATGGTCAGTCCTTGATCAATTCCCACCCTTCTCTGGGAGCATGTCTAACGTAGGCTTTGTGTCGTCTTTGGTGTCGAATTCGCCGATACGGAGACATTTCCGGGTTTTCTCCTCTTCTAATATTACGAAGCGCCATTTCTTCCCTCTCTTCCCGCCGTCTTCGATTGGGAACCATTCACCTCGTCCCAAACATTTGATCCGTTGCCATTTCACAAACGTCCATGCCTCTCTCCGGATCTTCTCGGTCAGATCCCTCACAGGGCCCTCCCACGTCCGTTCCTGAACCCGTTCAAGTCTCTCGAGCTGTAACCTCCTCAACAACCTATACTCAAACTCAAACAACTCTCTCTCAACCTCCTTCACGCCTTTATCTTTCGTGTCGGGAGCGGACATGACGGTGCTGAGGAGTACCTCCACCAAATCTTTCACACGGTCAAAGTCGTCGATTATTGCGTGGCTTTCGGTCCAGAGGCGGAAGAATGCGAGGAGGGTGGCGTGGTGGAGACTTCCCCATGATAAGAGGAGGGGACAGAGGCCGTTGTCGTAGGCGGTTGAGAGGGTCATGGTACTCCCTCTCGGCGAAAATGGGGACTCGATTTTCGGGTGTGATGACGGATCCGGCATCGAGAGTGAGAAATGTGCGTAGAGCAAGTTGGTGACAGTGATTGATGCTCGAGCAAGAGGACACCGTAACTGTTCCGGTTTCGCAAGCTGTTCGAGCAGTAACTATACCGAAAACAATGAAGCGTTAGCAGTATATACCAAGCGCGCTGTGGATTCCATACCTTCCTGAACCCCTCCCTATCCTTCTCCACAAACCCCACCAAATCACTCAACCCCAACCACCCACACCCACACTCACCCCTCTCCTCCTCCCTCCCCACAAACGCAAACTCACCCAAGGGAAACTCCGTCGCGAACCCGAGCTTCGTCCATTTGGTACCACTGATGACGTTTAGGTCAGATTCTTTCCAGATAGTGTCGAGGATGGAGAGATGGGATGGGTCGACGCGGATACGGGACCAGGAGTGGAGGAGGGTTAGGGTGAGGGATTGGAAGACTTGGAGGGGGGGGAGGAGGAGGTCGGGGGTTGGTGTTTGTTGCATCAATGTCTACCATGGGCAGGTCAGCATTACTGCACTTTTGATGGGGAAGGAGGGAGACGTACGCTGACAGCACGCTGTACACCCAACCTTCTCATCTCCTGCACGAATCCCTCCCACTCCTTCGAATGCGAATTCGTCCTCGAGTGTCCCCCACCCATGTTCTTCGCATTCCACGCATCCTGGGTAAGTGCGTTTATGAGCATCAACGAGTTTGCGCACAGGACATGATCCGCACTCCCCAACCTATTCACGATCGCTTCCAGGAATCCCTTGGTACGAAGCATGCCGTGCCCCTGTCCACGACCATGCCCGACGAGACAAACCAAAACGCTAAGCGCAGGGCGTAAGATGTTAACGAGTGGTTCCTTGATAACCAGACTCACGATCCGGTCGAGGATTGCGGCGTCAATGCCGTCCCACCCCCTATCCACATCAAGGAGATTGGAGAGTGAGGTTAGGGAGTATGCGAGTGTGTTCCCGGTTGACGTGAGAGCGAGTGTACGTAATGGTTTCACGCCCCCGACGGCGACGAATGCGTCTGCGATGGATGGGTCGGATATATGCGCTTGGAGCTTGAATGCTGCTAGTTTACGGACTGTTTGCGAAAAGGTCAGTCATGATGTGCGAAATCAGCATGAACAATCATGCAAACCTGGTTCTTGCTCTGATCCGAGCCGTTCGACCACTTCCACCACGTTCATGCTGGACGGTATTGGTAATGAACATGTTGACTTCCGTTCTCCTTATTGTGTTGTGTAGTTGTTGCCGGTCCGAGCGTCGTAGATTGACGTGCACCACCAGCCGCGCCCGACGTCACCGCCAAAAATCCATCGCCTGTAACGTAGACCCCCCCCCCTCCACCACCTCCTCCAAAATGCCAGATGAAGTACCAAAACGTTGGTCCCTTTGGTAGTGAAGCATCTCCAGAGATCTTTGCTAACATATACGTGGTGAACAGGCATCCTCTCCATCCAATCCGCAGTAGTCTCAGGCTACGCAGGAAACCGCGCCTCAACCTTCCCTCTCCAACTCCTCGGCTACGACGTCTCAGCCCTCAACACAGTCCATTTCTCAAACCACACTGGATACGGCTCATTCCGCGGTTTCCGACTTACGGCCGAGCAGATCTTGGAGCAATATGAGGGGTTGGAGGAGAACGGGTTGAGTTGTCGACATGGGTATTTGTTAACGGGATATGTGCCTGGTGAGGAGGGTGTTATGGCTGTGGGACAGATTGCGGAGAGGCTAAGGAATGAGAGGAAGAGGATGGGGGAGGGCTTGATGTGGGTTTGTGATCCGGTGATGGGGGATCAGGGACGGTTATACGTCTCGCAAGGCTGCGTGGAAGCCTATAAAGACATCATCCGGTCCGCGGACGTGATCACCCCGAATCAATTCGAAGCAGAGTCAGTCTATATCTGTCTTGACCCTCACTGGGCGCAATGCTAATTATAGACTTACAGGACTTTAACAGGACTCACAATAACCTCCCTCCCAACCCTCCGCACCGCAATGACCGCCCTCCACGAAGCCTACGGCGTCAAACACGTCGTCATCACCTCCATCCAACTCCCCTCCCACCCCGACTCCCTCATCTGCGCAGGCTCAACCCAAACGCCTGGGAAACACATGCATGCGCAATTCTGGTACCAAGTACCGAAACAACCTGGATTCTATTCGGGGACAGGCGATGTGTTTGCTGCGCTCCTGCTGGCACATCTCGATGCGGGGAGTTTGGCGGAAGGGGGCGCGTTACAGATCGTGGTCAGGAAGGTATTAAGTACGCTTTCCTCCATCCTCTCCCGGACGCGGAAAGGAATGGAGGAGGAGCTCCAGACTTCTTCCACCGATCTAGATAGGAATGAGAAGGAAGAAAAGGTGAGGGTTATTCGCGCGGCGGAGTTACGGCTCGTGCAGAGTCAAGAGGCGATATTGAGACCCCCGGAGTCGGGGTGGTTGGAGCCGAGGGTTGATTGGCCTGAGGAGATGAATTGAGGAGATGGGAGAGGAAGAGAAATAAGAGTGGTATTTATGATAGAGGGTATACACGGTGCCAAAATAGTACGTCGCTCAACGACGGACAAGATAGCTATAACTAATCTAACCCGAAAAATTGACGATGAAGAAATGTAGTACGATGCTCGCAAAGACAAAATTCCCAAATGCTCGTTTTGGATTGACAGTCTCAAATGCAAACCGGAACGCCTGTCCATAACCTGGTCTCAATCACTCAATCACTCGTATTCGAAACTTCCATACTTTCCTCCATATCAGCAACCTCCGAATCATAGCCTTCACTAGTAGGTGGAGCAAACTGCCCCGCAGAGCTCGCGCTTTGGTTCATGGAGGGTAACGCAAACGAGCTCTCAGGGTGCCCACCAAAAGAGGGATCAACAAATATAGGATCCGACTCATCATCAAAGAAGAATTCACCGTCGAGATCAAGACCTGATCCTCCGAGAGAATCAGAACCATTGGCTTCAAGTGCACGCTGCAATACATCACTTGCTATAGGGTCTGCAGGAGTAACACTCAGTGCCTTAAAAAACTGGTTAGTCGTGGGAAACTCGGGGGACAGGCTCGAACTCACTTGATGGACGTAGTGTAACGCGTCAAATGACTTGCCCATCTCCAATTTGATGAGTGCAATTGCGATGTAGACACCGGAGTCTCGTGGGGACATACGTAGCACATTCTCAAAGTATGTCAGTGCTTCGTCAAACAACCTACAATGTATTTAGTTGGCGAAAATGAAATCTGCAAAGCACGTGCGAATACTCACCTCAGTTTACGGCAACAATGTCCAAGATTCGCCCAGGTTATGACCCACGAGCGTTCATCGCTCTCGATTTCCTTCGCCACCTTCAGCGTCTGACGGAAAGCACTCACGGCATACTCCAGGTTATTATTGTGATATGCAACGACACCGAGTTCATTCAGCAATAATGGATCTGAATCACACATGCCATGAGCCGACCTGAAGTACTCGGCGGCTAGGGGAATGTTATCCAGCTTAAGGTACTCCATCCCCAAGAATAAAGGAGGCAAATGTGTCCTATCAGTGTAATCTTAGCTCTCTGCTCCTCAGTGACCGAGTCCAGCATACTCACCCTTGAAATAATCGTGCCGCGGTCGAGTATGCTGAGATTGCCTGATCGTGTTCACCTTCTTCCGCAAAGCAATGAGCAAAGCCAATCCAGGCAGGACCAAATTGGGGGTTCATCAAAGAAGCTTTACTGAAATATCGACGAGCTTCTGTGATCTTATTCGTGGCGAAGTAATAAACGGCAACAGCAAACCATGTAGCTGGCTCGTTGGGATGCTGGTCGGTCAGGTTATGCGAAAATAGGAAAAGATCGTTCTTCATCCCTAGTGTGTACATGCAAGCAACATGTATTGGCAGAGCAGTGAACTTGTACATGTCCGCATCAAGGATCCTGTGGCAGATGAGGTTAGCTCTGATCTACCCTAGCGTTCGGGGTTTGCGCACTTTTCGGTGATTTCATAGCAGGCTTTGTACCGCCGTCGGACATAGAGCATCTCAGCCCGGCATAAGAGCAGGTCATGGTTGTTTTGAAGATTGTAATCGCGAGCTAGTCGCTCCTCAGCCTCGACAAACTCCTCTGATGCCTTGAACTTGTTAAGTTTGGTGACGTAAATCATTTTGACAAACTCTGCGTCGTCTGGGTCAAGGGCATTGAAATCCAAGTTATTAACAAAATCCCACTCTTCGTTTGATGTCATCAAGTTATTCGATATCAGCTGGTCGAAAGCGTCGAAGCACTTCACGTCCACCTGGACAGCCTCTTTGTAACATTCTTTTGCTCGATCGAAGTTGTTCATTTGCGCGTAGATAAAACCTCGCAGGTAACACATGGATGCTTCCAGTTTGATACCACCGTCTTGATTCTTGACGCGTGCTATGGGTGCGTTGAGATCAGCTCCTGATACGCAGGCAAGGAATAGTTTCTTACCGTCAGATCGGAAGGGATTATGCTCGCCTAGCAGATCCAAAGCTTCTTGCCATTTTAGTTGTTTTGTCTGACAGCATTTTGGTTAGCTCCAGCAGTCTTGAATCGAATATATGCAACCATACCAGACATAAACAAGCCAGGTAACGGCAAGCAACACTGCTGTCGAGTAGATCCTTCTGCATAAGTAGACCTTGTGCCCGAGCATAATGACCAGTGCTGTAATAGACCTGCGCCAGCCAAAACGCATCATTTGGGTCTCCAGTCATGGATAGCAGCTTGTCGCCGATGAATGCTGCTGCTTCGTACTGATGCTGCATCAAGGCATCATGTCTCCACATCCTCAGCCGTTCAGCCCGTGATGGCGCCTTCTGCTGTCCGCCAAGGAAAGAACCATTACTGATGTTTGCTGGCGAGTCTACTGAAGTCTGAATGGCGCTCACGACGCTGGGTGCTGCCAGTGGACTGATTGTCAGTGTCGAGATATTGTGATTTACTAGAGCTTTGAAGTGTGGTGGAGTAAACTGAGCATGTGGAAGGTCATTGCGAGGAGGACCTGTTGGAGTCGCTAAGGCATTGGCGTGCGAGGTTGCTCTTTTCATAACTGGATCGTTCGAATTTGCAATTGAGGGGATGTCGGCGGCGCCGGTGGGAAAGGGAGGAGATGAAGTGGATTTCTGGATTGAGGAGTCGCTCCTTGCGATCGTTTTGACGACAATTGGTTGCGATTGCTGTTGTTGACTTCCTCGAGCTCACGACCAGTTGTTTACTGTCACGTGACATGACGAAGGAGCACGGGCAACACCCGTCTGAGTCCCCACGAGAAGGATCAAGCGTAAGGAGTGGGAGGCTCATTCACGATCATCCCAACGCCCGTTTCTTCTTTCTCATACTCTACCCCAACAACCACAATGGCTGAGCCCGAACCCGAAGACAACCCCACCCTTGCACCACCGGAAGACACCGACCTCGCCGACGAGATCCAGGACTGGCGCCTCCTCTCCTCCCTAACCTCCTCCAAATCCGACCCCACATCTCTCCCTCGCCGCGGCGAAAAGAATTTTGAACCAGATGGCACCAATCGCCAGGAGAAAGTGTTGAATGAGAGTAGAGAGGCGATGAGGAGCGCCTTAGAGGTGGAAAGGAAGTTTGCAGGAAAGACGAGTTGTCAGTGTACCTGGCTCGAAGAACTTGGGCTTGCACGGGTTGACAAACTCAGAGGACCGCATTTCAAGAACCTCGGCATCGCTGCACCTCCCAACATGACAGCGACCACTGCTGATTCGCCCGTGGAGAAGACCAGTCTGGGATACCTCCTCCCCGAAGAAACAATCTACATGCTTGAACGCGGCTCTCTTGAAGTGTTCTATCCATCTGGTATCCCAATGTCTCTCCAAGGCATCTATGCAGCATGTATTGGCTCTTCCAAGACACGGGTGGAGGCGGAGGTTTATGCAGTTTATGCTAGTCTGAAGAGGAGTGGGTATATTGTACGACGGGCTGCGACATTTGATGGGACGCCGGGTGAGGAGCATCATGTGCAGGAGGTGGTGGGAAGGAGTTTGTGGAGTCCGTGGGTGAGGGGGGTGTTCAGCTCGGTTTTTGCAGCAGCATTCAATCCCTCACAACCGCCGGTACGAACAACAGACGACTCAATCATCCCAACAGACCGGAATTTCCGTCACTACGAAGATGCGTACAAGCTCCTTTCCCTTGTGCCCTACCACTCCTTCTCCTCCCAAACCTCATCGACATCGACTTCGCAAAGCTCGGCAAATGAGCCGGCTCATCCTTCGCCTTGGCGAGTCCACTTCAACATCTGGAAACCCACAACAAAATTCAAACGCTCCGAACCACCTTCCCCCGACTTCCGTATCAGTGTTGTCAGCTCACAGTCAACACACACCCCCTCCCTTACCGATATCAACGCTCTCCTCTCAACCATTCCCTTCCCCCTATCTCCACAGGGAGAAGGACAAGCTGGAGTTGGGGCACAAATGAGAAAGCTGAAGGAGGGGAGGAAGAGCGTGTTGCTTGCTGTTGTGGATAGTGGGGTAGTGAATTATTTGAGGATTGGGGATTTAAGTTTTGGGGATGAGGGGGTTGTGTATCCTAGACGGGGTGATGAAGCGAAAAGAGGGCGGGGCGGCGGGAAAAGGAAGGGGGAGAGGGAGGGGACGCGGGAGGTGATGATTGGGGTGGGGACAGATGAGAAGTGTGACGTGGGAAGTGATGGATATTAACCTTCGAACGGATGGGTGCGAATTGAAGATGATAAGATGGATTCCCAAGATAAGCGGCGATGATAGCACATCACGATATACGGGTTCAGGCATTCTGGAAAGAGAGCACGAATGAACACATGTCCACAAGCCCCTCAGCCATCTTCAAACAGAGATGAAAAATATGGCATGCATTTAACCTCATGGATGGAATCCACACCGTTGACGACGTGACACGTAGTAGTCATATTGCTTAATCATACCAAACTCTCAACGTACAAATCGATATACCAATTCTCACTCTTCACGCACATATGCGCTCCAACATTGTCCGTGGCCTCTCTCATCTAAGCCTTACTGCTGCAACTCGACATAATTTGCCGGGAACAACCCCGTGTGTCCTCCATAAGTTCCCTGCCACCAATCAGGATCAACCTGATCAATATCTTCAATCACCGCTCCCTCAGGGAACGAAAGCTCGTTCTCCTCAGCAGCATCATAGTCATATTGCGCAACAGCTCTCACCCCACCCGCCGCACCTCCAGCTACATGGTGCTCCTCCTCATTCACAGGTTCGGGCTCGGGTTCATACTGCTCCTGCACAGCAGCTGGTTCAGGCTCATGAGCGGCATGCTGGACAGCAGCAGCCGCGTCGCCCTCCACCAACTCCACATAGTTACTAGGGAACAAACCCCTCTTTACACCACCAGCCCCAATACCCGCCCACCACCCATCATCAATCATCTCAATCTCCTCGATAACCTCGCCCTCGACGAGATCCATCTCATTCTCCTCCTGTTTCTCATACTCGTACATCACGACTGCTCTCAACGCACCAGTGCTAGCACCGCCAGCAGCAGGCTCGGGCTCTTCCTCATGCGAAACAGGAGCAGGGACATGCGCAGCACCCATCGGCGGCGGGGGCGGAACAGACCTCTCCTCCTCCTGGTGCTGCACAGTCGGCGGCTCCTCATACTCCGCCCTCTCCTCCTCAACCTCAACAGCCCTCTCCGCCTCAATCTGCGCGACCTCCCGTGCCTGCACATCAGCATTATCCTGATCAACAGGCTCCACACTCTCGTCCCAGTCCTCAGTAGGGGCAGGAGCGGAGTGAAGGGGTTTTGTGGCGAGGGGCATGGGTGGGGGGATGACGTGGTGCTCTTCCTCTTCGGGCTGTTCTTCGTATACGGGTTCAGGTTCGGGAGTAGGCTCGCGAGCGGGAGCGGCGGGTACGGGTGCTGGAGGCGTGGGACGAGCAGAAGCCGGGGACGGCGCAATCTGCACACCAGCAAACCGCGCTCTCATAGCCGCAACACCACCACCAGTCTCCTCCTCGTCTTCCTCCTGTTCCTCCTCAGCTTGCGGAGCAACAGCCCTGGTCGTCATCACAGGCGGGGGCATATCCTCCCTCATACCCAGTCCAACCGGCTCCAGCGTCTTCGGCGGCACGGCCGCCGCACTTCCACCGCCCGTAGACGACGCGGCCTCTCGTGCGGCTTTCCTCTCAGCCCAGAGTTGGGATGGAGTCTTTCCGCCTGCGGCAGCAAAGTTCTTGGATGCGCCGCCGATGGCTTTCGAGATTGTTGCGGCGGAGGGAGGGGCGGGGACCGGTGCGGATGTCCCACGACCAATACCGGAACCAAACCTATTGGCGATGGGTTTAGGTGCGTAGGATGGCTGTGACTGAGGTTGAGATTTCTGCTCGAATACAGCGCGGGCGGAGGAAGGGGCCGTCTGGCTCATGCTCTCGCCCTGAGCACGCAACGCAGCAATATCGACTTTCCCGATCGGGGTATACCCACCCTTGACCACCCCTTCTGATCCTGCACCCGAGTCGGTTGATGGGTCGGTGGAAGAAGAGGCTTGGGAGCGAAGGGCGTTGATGTCGACTTTGGTAGGTTTGTAGGCGGAGGGGACAGAGGTCAAGGCCGTGCCGGTTGTTGTGGTCGAGTCCCAGTCATTGTCGTCGGTGGTGTTGGTAGTCGTGACAGGTGGTCTGGTCGGAAGTTTCGTTGGGATTGAGGGAGATTGTTTCGTGGCCGCTGGTGCGGTGGGAGCAGAGGTCGAAGGAGAGGTAGGTGCTCCGACAATTGATCCAGAGTTCTGTGCCTTCAATTTCGCAAGAAGGGGTGTAGAACGCGCGGGTGCAGCCTTCGGTGGTGCACTCTCGAACCTGGAAGCGATATTCCCGACACTGTATTTCGCTCCCGATGCGTCTTCGACTTTCCGCATAATTGCCTCTTCCTCGAGATCCTCACTTGATCTCGCAGTGATTTGGACATGGTAGCCACGCAAGTATCTGGCAACACCGTTGATATGGCTCTGGAACATTCCCTTCCGGTGTTCGGGGACACCCTCTCCACACCACCCGATCAACACGAACTTCGGTAGTCTCGTGTTCGGATCCTGCACCCTCAAAAATCCATACTGGATCTTTCCGTCGGAGAATTCTTCAGCCATGTCGGCGATGGAGGAGGATCCCGTTTCGACGACATGGATGGCGCTCTCGGAGCCGCGCTCGTAGCCGTAGATTGCCCAGGTGATGGAGGGATCATTTGACTTGATACGTTCGTAGGTATCCTGGATTTCTTGATTGAGGGAAACTTGGGTCATTGTTGCAGTTTCAATTGGTTTGTGGGGTTCGTTGAGAGTTTTGGAGTCGTGCTGAACTGTACGTGCCGCTGGGTTTGACTGCGCCCTGCTTGGCGATGACGCAAACGTAAGAGCGTACCATTTCAAGACGGAATGGCCCAGGAAGCAACCCTTTTAAAGATCTGAAAGTGATCGATTAATACTACTCTGTCCCTATGATATACCGGATGCTGCCTATTCTTCCCATCTATCAATGCAATTCCATTGTCCAAAACCCCAAATGATGCCTTCTATATAACGCCCCCCCCTCCCTCACACTCACTTCAACACCTCCCCCAACCTCTCATACACAAAAAAGATCAACGCACTACTCGGTGCACTCCTAGCAACCGTAATTCCACACCCGCGGTAAAACCCCCTCACCCCACTCGCCCTCCAAATATCCCTCGCAACACCCACGAAGGTCTCTCCCTCTTTCTTGGTAGAGGTCTGCATTCGGGATTTGATCGTGTCGGCGGGGAAGAGCGAAAAGTTGTATGATACTCCGGCACAGGCTCCTGCGATGAGGGTTTCTGAGGTTGTGTTGGTTGTGCGGGGGGTTGGGGACGAGGCGCGGAAGATGTGTTTGATGTACTCGTTCATGCCGAACCAGGCTGCGCTTCCGCCTGTCTCGCGGAGGAAGGTGCCGGTTTGGCCGCGGAAAAAGCCTTGTAGGCCGGCTTCGTGGTAGATTTCTTTGATCAAAGCAATCGGGCCCGGTGCTGAGTGTACCACTCCAGCTGCTTTGGTGTGGAAACCCGCAGTGCCGGTGCCGCGGGACGGTGCTGAGACGGTGGAGGAGGTGGGATGTTGGAGTGACTGAACTTGCAGTTTGCATTTCACCAACTCAATCGGCGTCAAAACCCCACTCGCAACAGCCCCCGAAATAGCCCCCGCCCCTACCAGTGCCCCAATCCCCAACTCCTCCTCCTCCCCCAGCCCTTGCCACGTCTTTATCACCGTTTGTGCGCGTGCGTACACGAAAAATAACACCGCGTTTTCGGCCATTGCGCCGATTAGGGGTGAGGAGAGGCCGCGGTAGAGGCCGGTGGGGCCTTCGTTGCGGAGGGTTTGGCGGAGGCAGTCGAGGGGGCCGGAGAAGTGGGGTGGAGCGAAAGCGGAACTTGGGGCAGATAAAGAGGAGAGGGAGGAGGGGGAGGGGAGGGTGTGGGGTTGGGATTGGAGGCGGACTTTGATTGTGTCGAAGGGGTATTCGATTAGTTTTCCTGCTGAGCCTGCCATCTAGAATCACACTCGTTAGTCTCTGATCCTGGAAGCAGGAAACGAAAATAAGTGCACGCCGTCCGGTATCGTGTGTGATACGGAACGACGTGCACTCTGAAGAAGGGGGGGGGGGGGGGGGGGGACGTACGGATCCATTGAGGATATCGAAGAATGCCGCACGGGCGGGGTCTTTTGCTGGTTGTGATGATGAGTCGTGCATGGTTTACAGATAGTCCCTTCGCAGATCACGTCGCGGTCGATCGAGGATCAATTGATCAAAGAAATAAGACAGAAAGCCAAAAGTTGATGATGGATGGTGGTGTTATGGGGGATACAGTGCTCTCGAGATATACGCAAGTTGTCCTTTGACTCTAAGCATCAAGCATCTCTAGACCTTCTTAGACTTTTGGATGTTGGTGGTTGGAGCGGATGGTGGAGTAGTTTCCACTAACACGTCCAAGCTCAACTTTTTTCTGGACACCTGCAGCTGCTTGAGATGAGATCTGATAAGGATCGCTGTTCTCAGGGTACATCAGAAAGTTCCAAGGTTGTATTGTTTTTGGTGTTTACGTCTGGGAAGGATATACGGAGCTCCGGGGGGGTTTGGGGTGCTCTTGCAATAAAATCTCACATGGCATGCAGTATGCGGTACACGAAGTCGAGGAAAGTCGAGAGCTGCGGCGAAATTGGGACATCCCGTCGCAACAACTCAAATGCACCCAGGGAACGAAGTATACGCAGACGGCCGTACGACATCTATCCATCCTCATTCTTGACCTGACGCCGCGCGTTAAGTTGAACAATATCTAAGAGAACAGCAATGGCCGAGATATTCGGCGATACGGTAAAAGGTGGCATCGCATCTGCCTTGACGGGCGGATCTGTCGCAGCTAGCGTTGCCGTCTTGAAGAACAAGCCGACCAACGCTTGGGCGATACCGACAGCGATCAGCTGCGGAGTGTTTGGTGGATGTTTCTTTGGTATGTCCTCGTTTGCACGGCCTCGAGAGAGCCTTTCCTGACATTTCCCTTCAGGAGTACGGCAAATAATCCTGACTGGTACTACCGGTTTTCATTCCAGACTAGTAACAGACAAGGACCGACTTTGTGCCAGTGGTGTATCCGGCGCGCTCGTCGGGGGTTTCCTCAACGCAATATACCGTATGTCACCTTACCCTTCCTCATATCCCTGATCCTTACCATGGCCCGCAGAAAAGAACGCACGAGCTGCCATTCCCGCCGCAATCGTCTACGGCCTAATCGGCACCTCCGGCCAACTCACCATTAACTTCGTCCAATCCCTCCGCCGCTCCTACATCCTCCACAAAAAAGTAGAGGCCGGAGAACTTGAACCAGAACTAGCCGCAGTCCTTCCCTCACAAGAGAAGAAATGGTGGTCGTATTCGCCGATACGTCAGATTACATCGGAGGATCATCGGGTGATTCTACAGGAGAAATTGGTCAATGTGGATATGCAGATTGCGCAGGTCGATGCGGAGTTGGAGCATATTATGAAGCTTGAGGAGGACCGGAATTAGGCTGCTACGGTCGAGGAGGGGACTTGTCTCTATTGTTATACCAGTGCATGTCCAGCTGGTAAATCGATGGTGGTCCGCTCTGATGACAATTCAATTCAGCTTGCATCAGTCTCCTACATTCGCATCTTGTAAAGTCTACTAAACTCACACAGCCTCATCCGCAGCCTTCGCAGCAGCCGCTGCAATATCCCCCGCATGCTCCTCGACGTCCTCACCCTCCCCACCAACCTCCTCATGCTCCCCTGGCGCCATAACCGCAAAAGTCAAATAACTCGTATGCCCTTTAACCTCCTTCTCGCCAACACTCACCGCCCGCCAATCATACCCCTCCTCCCCCTCCTTCACCCTCTTCTTCGGCAGATCCTTCCTCGCCTCACCAGGCGGGAGTCTCCGCTTATCCCGTACCTCCCTCAAACGATCGATTGCGGACGAGAGGGGGGTGATGAGGGTTTGTCGTGCTTCCCAGTTTCGGTGGACGATTTCGAACATTTGAAGGTCTGACCAACCGTTTGCGCGGAGAGCGGCCAGGGTTCGTTGGACTTGTTCGATACAGGGGGAAAAACAGCAAAGACGGATTTGACGCTTCTTCGAAATCACGCGGCTCAAATGAGGAATCGCTTCCCATGGTGCCGGAAGGTCGAGGAATGCGGCATGTGCGTCCAATGTCTCGCCCTCGATATCGAATCCTTCTTTACAGACGTCGCGGTGGGTGATCGTGAGTGGTAACCCATCGCCCAACATCCCATGCTCGATGAATTCCTCTTTTGCGGCTTCGAATCGTCGTTCGTGGTATTCGTACGTCCAGACTTTTCCTGTCCCTCCAACCGTCCGTACGAGCGCATGCGTAAACGACCCACTCCCAGTCCCAGACTCAATCATCTTACTCCCAGGCTTCAACGCGAGCATACTCGTCACGAACGCGATATCAGGCGTATACAGAATCTGCGTCCGGTGGGGTAAACTCAACGTCCACAACTCGGGTGTCGGGTGCAAGAGATGGATGAACCCGTGTCCGGTCTTAGACAGCATTTGGGACCCGTAGCGGAGGTTGAGCATGTCTTCGTGGTGGTAGGAACCGAAACGGTTGTTGAAGATTTTACCGGGGGTTACGATGATGGGTTGGATGTTGTCGCGGGTGATCCAGGCAAGGACGAGGTCGCCTTCTGAGATTGTCTTTTTGTAGCCGCCGAATACGGACATTTTGGAGTTTTTGGATTGAGATGGAGGGGTGGGGAGGTTGTACAGGGTATAAAGTTATCGATAAGCTGAGGAATATTTCGAGTCGACGTTACATCAGACTAGGCGCGATTCGGGAGCGGGTTGTTTGAGAAACGAGTAAATATGATCAAAGATGGACGCAAGAACGTAAACACAGATAAAAGAATTGCTCTTTCCACTTGTTCTCTCTGCTGTACTGAGTGCATGACCTTTCCGTGAAGTTTCGCACGTGACGGCATAAGTACCGACCCGAATAATAATCCGAGCTCGAGCCCCTTCACCACCAACACAATTGCAAAACCTCACCACCTCAATCCCTCCTCTTTACCCCCTATACCCAATCGCAACTGGTACGTCTCTGCGCTCTTCCGCTCCAGACCAATCACATCTCGCACACAAGCACCGTAATGATTACACTTTATGAACCGCTACACCTACATCCTCTCGGATGTGTGACGATTTCATTACCTGCCTGGATCCCCTCGTGGGGTCGAGGTATGAACTTTTAGGTGTTTTGTGCGAGATGTGATCGTGATGGACATATTGGATCAAATTTTTTTGGGAGGGGATTTGTGCTGATTGTCTCATACACAGCTGCTGGCCGGCCCAATCGCAACGTTAACAACCCTTGCTCCTACCCTATATCGCCAACAGGTATGTTCTCTTCCCTCTTCCTCTTTTCACGTGGGTCACATATACGCGCACACACACGCAAATCGTAATGATTACACTTTATGAACCGCTACACCTACATCCTCTCGGATGTGTGACGATTTCATTACCTGCCTGGACTCCCCTCGTGGGGGTCGAGGTATGAACTTTAACGTGTGCTGTGCGAATCTGTGATGCCCTGGAAATTGCTTCCTTCCGCAGGGATTTGTGCTGATTGATTTATACGAAAGGCTCTCTTCCATCCATAGAAACGGCAGACGTGCAGGTCGCCTTTGTCGTTCGTCATGAGTCTGTCTCAGTCGCAAAGAACGCGTTGGATTCGTGGTGACCGCTGCGGAGTTGATAACTGCAAATCAACACGTTACCGCAACGAGGACGGCCAAACGATCTGCTCCAACGGACACCACCGTGAAGGCGACATCCATATCGCAGAAGACGAGGATCACGCACCAGGTGAAGCCCGCGGAAAGCGACGAAAGGTTCAAAGGCGGTTAGACGAGAGACCAATTAAAAGCAAAGTTCTCTACGGGTTGGAAGGTAAAGCTTTGTACTTTGAGAGTTTTCAGATCATCTTGACGAAGCAGACGAAGGCTCTTGTTAGTGACTTGGGCTTGCCGGCGGAGTTAGAGATGCTTGTTCGTGATATGTGGGTGTTGTATCTTACGTATGCCGATGTGAAGTTACCAGAAGACGAACATATGGAACGAGACATGAATGACGACAGCGAAGAGGTGCTATGGCAGCAAGAACGTACGCAGCATTCACAGACAAACGACGACGGCGATCAGCGTACTGTATCCGATTCAAGAATACCTCGCACACCGTCACTGGTTTTCAGCGTTGTTTGGACTTATCTCGCAATACTGCTACTCAGACTGCCAATAACCATTTCAGATCTACATGGATGGATTCTTGATGGGAGATATCCATATATGCGTGCGATTCAAATGATACCCAGCAGTATGCGGGAGAGGCTTCATGTCATGTATTGGAGTGATCTCGATCCTCCGACTACTCCGCGCTGTGCAACTTTCCACCATTGGATTGAGCCCATGGCGAAGCTGTTTGAGTGCAGTTTTGGGTTACGCTTCCCGGCTATCAATTTGCCACCGATATTGCTGAGTTATGTTCGGGATCTTCTACTTCCCTTGGAGATCTACACTGCTGCACGAAAGCTTGCGTCTTTGCTCGCTCTTGATATGCACGTCGTCGCGACACAACGCGACAAGTCAAAAATACCGCATCACAATATCATGGCGCTCGTCCTCGTCGCGACAAAGTTATGTTTCGGTCTTGATGATTTGAGCCGGAGTCCTTCTGCTGATGATGAACCGGCGGCATATCAGCCTGATTGGATTCTGTGGCAGCGGAATATCAATGCTCGGAATGAAGATGTTCAATCACACGACATCCAGACTAAGATTAACGAGGTTGACGTTCTGGGTATGGGTGAGACGGAGATAGATCACTACATCGAGTGGTGTGCCCAGAATTGGAGTCTCCCTGATTCGGCAAACGAGGGTACGTACGGTAACTATGCCTTCTTTGTTCAAAGGCTTACTCATTCCATAGTCGGTCAACAGGTCCTCGACTGCTTCTACCAGCCTCAAGCCGAAGCCGCCAGTCGTGTATCACAAATCGCCCACCACTCAACCATCCTAAACCTTCTGAAAGCGCTAAACTCCAGACCCGTCCATGCTCAGCGTGGGGTTTCGGTGTCACGTAGACCGGGTGCCCATTATCCTATATACAACTCTGACGCAGATTTGCCTAGGGTTACTGCGGCGCTGTTGGAAGCGGCTGCGAGACGGGCTGGGGTTACGACGAGTGAAATGTTGTACAGTGTACGCTGGATTGAGAGGAAGTGCCACCAAGTTGCGGTGAAGCAGCTGCCAGGTTAACCGTGTTGCCTCTCATGAACAGCGTTCCCGGCATCATCTCGAGTAGAACCTGGAACCAACAAGTGTCATGATTACTAAGTGTAACAGGTGCTCGGTCAACGTTGCTTTCTTCACGCTAATTCTTTTCGCTGTTCTCGCTCGTGTTTGATCTTGTATTGTGCGTGTTCTTATTAAAAAGCTTCCTCTCATCGGATCAAGTGTAAAGAACCTCGTGAGCTTGGTTCGGATGTGAAAATAGGGCAATTTTTTTTTTTTGCCAATAAAGCTTCCTACAGTACAACCTCAGAACATTCAGCAAGCATGAGAGCTTCCGCATCCACCACACATTGGGAATTTCCTTCCGTTTCTTACCTTCACTTCGGGCGCCGAGTGCTGGTTTTCGAAGAAGTTCACTTGTCCGATTGGAACGAACATGGGAAAGAAGTTGTGGGTTGTCTACGAGGTTCCAAAATTGTTTAACAGGTTGCGTGGCGCAATTGGTTAGCGCGTGGTGCTAATAACGCCAAGGCTGAGAGTTCGAGCCTCTCCGTGACCATGTTAAGCTTTTTCTTGTCAGTGCATCCACTTTTTGCTCTTTTCTTTTGCTTTTGTTGACGGTAGTGTATTGGGTATCAGGGTAGGTACGTGTTACATAGGAGGTGGTGTGCAAGTGAGCTCGAGGGCGTGCTCATGTCGACTTCGCCACTCGCAAGGACATTCCCTCCTCGGGCCCGGGATCCTTCATGTCTTGTCGTCACTTGCCTTGTCCCCCCCCCCTCCTGAAAGATTTGTTTACCTCAGCAGCTACTCCCAGTGACACCTCATTTTACCTAATCAAATCCACCCTATGTACAAGCTGTCACGTAATACGGTCAGATGTATGACGGTTACCTGCATGACATGTGCGCAACGGCCGGTATCGGTAGCTGAAACTCTCCAATCCTCAATACTCGAGGCACAGCACAGCACAGCACAGCACAGCACAGCACAGCACGGCGCGGGCTGCGGGAGTACGGTATAGATGGCCGGGCGTACGGTACGTGGATATGGTTGTGTCCCGGGGGCTCAGAAGCTTTAAGGTTGGGCGAGGTGGTTCCGGGGCCGGGGGTGGCGATGGGGATGTATGCTGGGATGTTGGGTGTTAACCGCTCCCCCGTCTAGCCGTCGCCGTCGCCGCCGCCCGCTCAACAAAGTTCCACTGCTGCGCCCCTCAGGCACACACAAACAGTGTTAGCCCCGACGACATCTGGAACGCATTCGCCTACGCACTAAGGCTTGGGTTAGCATGGCAGCGTGCATCGGGCGCGGTACCCGGAACGAGCGGTGATTCCGAGGGAAGATCGCGGCTGTAAACACGACGCCGGGGGGAGAAATATATAGAGCTGTATGCGCATACATCCCCGACAACGACCAAACAGTAGAGCAGGTTGGACAATAGGGAATAGAGATGGCCATGAACGCCGCTCACCCTGATCATGATCTCACGTTGGCTGAGCCGATCGAGTTGCAGACCTCCACTTCGTCTTCGTCGCCTCGGACGGTCGCGGTCGCTCACGACAACATTCAGTATGGTGGCACCGAAACCACAACCGCCTATCCCTCCGGCGTCAACACCCCCGCCGTCGCCGCCCACGATCTCACGGATGCAGAGATGGACGAACTCGTCCGCACTCTCTCCAAACGCACCTCCCACTCCGATCAACAACACCTCCTCTCTCCCGACGGCTTCGATCTGGAAAAGTACTTGAGAGATGTGTTGGCGAGAAGCAGTAAGCAGGGTATCTTGCACCGTAGTGCGGGGTTGTTGTTTAAGGATTTAACGGTCCGCGGAAAGGGTGCTGGCGCGACATTCCAGCCTACCCTCTCCAACTGGAATCTGGGCGGGATGTTTGCGAAGACGCCGATGAAGACAATTTTGCATGGGCTTAATGGTGTTGTGGAGGAAGGGGAGATGTTGCTCGTGCTTGGGAGGCCTGGAGCGGGGTGTACCTCCCTTTTGAAGAGTTTGGCGGGAGAAACATCGGGGTTCGAATCAGTTGATGGTGCGGTCACCTACCACGGCCTCGACCAAGCAACCATGAAATCCCGTTTCAGGGGAGAAGTCGTCTACAACGCCGAAGTCGATACCCACTTCCCTACCATGACCGTCGACCAAACCCTCCGTTTCGCAGCCGAAGCCCGCGCCCCTCGTTCGCGGTTGGAGGATCACAGTAGGAAGGAGTATATCGCGATTGTGAGGGATGTCCTCGCTACGGTGTTTGGGCTGAGACATACGTATAATACGAAGGTTGGGAATGATTTCGTGAGGGGTGTTAGTGGGGGTGAGAGGAAGAGGGTGAGTATCGCGGAGATGTTGGCGACCAGGGCCAGGCTTGGGATGTGGGATAACTCGACGCGTGGATTGGATGCCTCTACCGCGCTCGAGTTCGCCCGTGCTTTGAGGGTTGCGACAAACCTTGCCAAGAACGTGGCTGTTGTCGCGATTTATCAGGCTGGAGAGCAGATTTATCAGGTTTTTGATAAAGTTACGATTCTGTATGACGGACACCAGATCTTCTTCGGACCCATCGAAGACGCGAAAGAGTTCTTTGAGAGGATGGGATTCGAATGTCCCCCCCGCCAAGCCACCGCGGATTTCTTGACCGCTGTTACGGATCCCGCTGGTCGTTTCCCGAAGTCGGGGTGGGAGAGTCGGGTACCGAGGACGGCGGATGAGTTTGAGAAGTACTGGCGCGCGAGTCCGGAGTATCAGAGGATGTTGGTGGAGATGGGGGCGCATGAAGGCCGACATGACGGGCAGCAAACGTTGGAGATGTTTGATGCGTCCACTGCGCAGGAAAAGGCCAAGCACCAACGCAAAAAGTCTCCGTATACGGTCAACTACCGCATGCAACTCAACGCCTGTATCAAACGCTCCTACCAACGCACATGGGGCGACAAACCCTTCTTGTTCTCGAAAGTCTTTGCGGCGATTTTCCAGAGTTTGATTATTGGGAGTGTGTTTTATGATACGGCACAAGACACCTCGGGGTTTTTCTCGTTGGGTGGTGTGTTGTTTTTTGCGATTCTGTATAATGCCTTGCAGGCTATGTCGGAGATTGCGTCGATGTATGAGCAGAGGCCGATTATTTTGAAGCATAAGAGTTATGCGCTCTACCATCCGAGTGCGGATGCGTTTGCATCGTTGTTGAGTGATATCCCGATTCAGCTTGCTGTGTTGACCGCGTTTGATATCATTCTGTATTTCATGACGGGGCTTCAGCGGAAAGCTGGACAGTTTTGGATTTTCTATTTGTTTACGTTCATTACGACGCTTTGCATGACTGCCTTTTTCCGGGCGCTTGCGGCGTTGACGAGGACGGTGAATGATGCGATGATGTTGGGTGGTATTGGTGTTCTTGCCATTGCGATCTATACTGGGTATGTCATTCCCCGCCCGAGTATGCGTGGGTATTTCAGGTGGATTTCGTACATTAATCCTGTTGCTTATGGGTTTGAGTCGCTCATGGTTAACGAGTTCCATGGACGTAACGTGCAGTGTGCCGCGACGTCTTTGGTGCCATTCGGTGCTGCGTATGCTGCTGTCCCAAATGGACAGGTCTGTGCGGTCACGGGAGCTACGGCTGGCTCTACCATCGTCTCGGGTGATTCGTATTTGGATGCGTCGTTTGGGTATTCCTTTTCGCACTTGTGGAGGAATTTCGGTATCATTATCGGGTTTTGGATTTTCTTCCTTGCTGTGAATCTGTTGGCGACGGAGTTCATGTCTACCGCTCAGGCTGGTGGCGAGGTTCTTGTTTTCAGGAAGGGAAAGGCGCCGAAGCACGTTACTGAGGCGCTTTCGGCTGGGAAGGCGGTCGACGATCTCGAGGCTCAGGATTCTGGGGCGATTGCGAGTGAGCAAGGCGCGTTGGCTGATACGACCCCGAGTAAGGAGATGGAGAGCGTTGCGTTGAGTAAGGATACCTTCTCGTGGCAGCATGTGAATTACGACATCATGATCAAGGGCAACCCGAGGAAGTTGTTGAGTGATGTTCAGGGATTCGTGAAGCCTGGTACGCTTACTGCGCTCATGGGTGAGTCTGGTGCGGGTAAGACGACGTTGTTGAATGTTCTTGCGCAGCGTGTTACGACCGGTGTTATCACTGGTGACATGCTCGTCAATGGATCCCCACTCGATGCTTCTTTCCAGAGGAAGACTGGATATGTTCAGCAGCAGGATGTGCATCTTGCTCAGACGACTGTTAGGGAGGCGCTTAGGTTCTCGGCGATGTTGAGACAGCCTAAGAGTGTGAGTAAGAAGGAGAAGCATGAGTATGTTGAGACTGTTATCAAGTTGCTCGAGATGGAGGATTATGCTGAGGCTGTTGTTGGCGTTCCTGGAGAGGGATTGAATGTGGAGCAGAGGAAGCGTTTGACGGTCGGTGTTGAACTTGCTGCCAAGCCTGCTTTGTTGTTGTTCTTGGACGAACCTACTTCCGGTCTTGACTCCCAATCCGCTTGGTCCATCGTCGTTTTCTTGAGGAAGTTGGCCAACGCTGGACAAGCTATTTTGTGTACCATTCACCAGCCTTCCGCTGTCTTGTTCGAGCAGTTCGACCGTCTTTTGTTGTTGCAGAAGGGTGGTAAGACTGTTTACTTTGGTGACATCGGACGGGATTCTCGTACCATGATCGATTACTTTGAGAGGAATGGTGGTCACAAGTGTGGACGTACCGATAACCCCGCTGAGTACATCTTGGATGTGATCGGTGCTGGAGCCACTGCTAGCGCGTCTCAGGATTGGCATCAGATTTGGTTGAGTTCGCCTGAGAATCAGGCTGTTACTCAGGAGTTGGATGAGATGCATACGCGTCTTAGGGCTGAGCATGCGCATGACAGGGATAACCAGGACTCTGCTTCCTTGTCCTCGTATGCCATGCCTTTCAGCACTCAGTTCTGGGAGGTCATGAAGAGGACGTTCAGTCTTTACTGGCGTTCCCCCGAGTACATCACCTCCAAGGTTGCTCTCAACATCATCGCTGGTCTCTTTATTGGTTTCACTTTCTACAAGCTCGACGTCAGTCTCGCTGCTTTGCAGAACCGTCTTTTCGCTATCTTCATGGCCGTTGTTTTGTCCACTTCGTTGATCAACCAGATTCAGCCGAGGTTCATTGACATGCGTTCTTTGTACGAAGTCCGTGAGAGGCCCTCGAAGATGTACAACTGGGTTGCGTTCACCTTTGCTGCTATCATTGTTGAGATTCCGTACAACATGCTCGCCGGTACTTTGTTCTACGCCTGTTGGTACTTGCCCATCGGATTCTTCCGTAACGGTACCGGTGGTGCTGACAGAAACGCATACATGTGGTTGATGCTCATGGTTTTCGAGATGTTCTTTGCGTCTTTCGGTCAGGCTATCGCTGCTGCGTCTCCCAACGCTCAGACTGCCGCTATCATTCAGACTCTCTTCTTCTCCTTCGTCCTTATCTTCAACGGTGTCTTGCAGCCTTTGTCGCAGCTCGTTGGTTTCTGGCACTGGATGTACCATTTGTCTCCTTTCACCTACCTCATTGAGGGTATGCTTTCCAATGTGCTTCACGAGCTTCCAGTTCGGTGCGAGGGTGCGGAGATCAACATCTTTCAGCCCGCTGCTGGACAGACTTGTAACGAGTACGCCGGTGCTTACCTCGCTGTTGCTCCCGGTTACCTCTACAACCCTGACGCTACCGCTGACTGTCAGTACTGTACCTTCAAGACCGGTGACGGTTTCTTGGCTACGCGTGACATGTCCTGGGATAACCGCTGGAGGGACTTTGGTATCCTCCTCGGTTACGTTGCGTTCAATATGATCATGACCTTTGTCTTGCTCTGGGCTTTCCGTCTCCACAACTGGAACCGCGGAGCTGGTAAGCAGGCCAAGGCTGTCAGCGCCGCTAAGGCTGGTGCTGCTGCTGTTGGCAACCAGGTCGTCTTGAACCAGGGTGACGGACAGAACCCCGGTCACGAGGTGATTAACTCTGGTGCCAGGCAGGAGCAGAATGCTGCTGTTGGTGCTCAGGCCTCGGGCATGGGCCCCTTGCAAGAGACTACTGTCACGAGCCAGAACAGTGATATCGGATTGCAGGGTAGGCACGCTGTATGAGATATTGGCGTGATTTGATTTTTGATTTTTGATTTTTGTTTTTTGTTTTCGTTTTGTTTTCAACTTTTACTTCATATAGAGATTTACGTTACGCATCTTACTACGAGAAAGAGTAGTTAGGCAGGATCTTTGTTACTTAATTCGAATTCGATATACAATCGAGAAGCACTCGAATTGCAATCTCATTGTCACATGTGATTGAACAATGTGGACCTCTTGGATGACTGAGTCGCCAGCTTTCCCGGGCTTTGTACCGCACCCTTCAGGTTACCGGTGGTTCCAGCAAGCTAGGCGAGGGACATTCAGTTGTCCCGTTGCTAATTTGATTTAGAGACTGAAGCTGTCGGATGTAGATGGCTTTCATCATCTTGCAACTGAGCGGCCGTGATACTGTAAGGGTATTCTACAACACCACCAGTAGGCTGTCCCTGGAAAGAAAAGGCGGAGGTTTGGCAATTCGTTGCAATATCCAAAATGTATATTAAGTTGTTGTATAAATAATAAGGCACTGTAAAGCCTAACATTCTTTGACGGAGATGCTCGGTTGACGAGTTCTCAACGTATTAACTTTGTGTTGAACAAGTGTTTTTCTCGTGCAAACACATTCCTCTCCTCTCCTCAATCATCTCATCCCATCCATTCACCGATGGGAGTTGTCATCGACGTGCAACGCCGCTCTCACCTCCGCAATTTCTGGAGTCTGCTTGTAATCCAACGCTTCGGCCTCGGCCTCCTCGAGGTTGTCACGAGGACCGACATACCACTTGTGCGCATCGACGTACCACCAGAACACGGAGAACAACGCAACACCGGTTAAGACAACGACGGCGTAGTTCATGTTCTGCGGGGTAACGGGCATGTAGGTCGGGAAACACAACACGGTAGAGATGAACAAGACCCAGACGATGGAGATGACGGACATGACCTTACCGGCGAAACCCAAGTTGAAAGGACCGGGGGTGTATCCGAGTTGCTCACCCCAGATGAGACGAGCGCTGATGGGGATGATGTAAGAACAATCCATCGCGATGGAAGTCAAGGAGAAGATAGCGAAGATTGCCTCGGTGGATCCAAGAGCGATGAGACCGAGGAGGATACAGCAAACAACGATCAACCAAACGGCGTTAAGCGGGATCTTAACAGTCTTGTTCATCTTTGCCCACTGGCTCGACCACGGTAAAGCCTGATCACGCGCCAACGCGAACGCAGTACGAGCTGTTGCGGAAAGCGCAGTGACAGCGGTGAAGTTCTGAACGAGGATGATGAAAGGCCAGATTGCGAGTGCGCCCTTACGGCCGACAACGTTGTAGAGGAGTTGCGAGATGGGCATACCGGTTTGGGAGGAGGTGAGGAGGGTGGGGTCGCCCATGGTGAAGGCGAAGGTAATGTTGAGGAGCAAGCCGACGATGAAGGTACCGGTGACGGCGGAGACGATAGCGACGGGAGCGCGAATAGCGGCCTTGTGTGTCTCTTCGGCGATGTGAGCAGTGGCGTCGTAGTCGGTCATGGTCCATGCAACAGAGAGGAAACCCAAGATGAAAGAGAAACCGGTGGAGGACCAGCCAGAGTTGTTCTCGACGTGTCCGAAGACGTAGGAGGGGGAGTGAAGAGTATCCTGCTTAGCGAAGAGGGTAGCAACGACGGCGATGGAGGCAGCGATGTTGATGAAAGCAAAGTACTTGGTGATGGAAGCGAACCACTTGGTAGGGAGCGAGTTCCAGAGGCCATGGAAACATATGATGGCGACGTAGACACCGACGGTGTGGTTGTTAGTAGGAGTGTACGCAAACAACCCAGTCTCCGCATCGTACTTGGATCCCATCGTCGCACCCGCGAGAATCATCTGAGCCAAAGCGAAATCGGTAGATGCCACACCGGCGGTCTGACCAAGAAGATTGAGCCATCCGGTACACCACGCAACGACAGGCACGTACTTTTTCGGAACGAGGTGCTTGGTGGTGTAGTACAATCCTCCACTCGTCGGGTACGCACTCACGAGCTCCGCAACGGAACACGCCAAACAGAACGCGAAAATGGAACCGGCGAACCAACACCACACGACAGCCGCGGGGCCCCCGGACATGAGAGGGTAGATGAAGGTGGAGGTGATGGAAGCGAGGACACCCATGATGGAGAATGCGAAGGAGAAGGTGGAGATCGAAGTGAACTCGCGGACGAATTCTTGTTTGTAGCCGAGCTGGGCGAGTTTGGCGTCATCGTCGACGACGAGGGTGTTTTCGCGAGAGCCATCAAAGTGAGGACTGGCATCGCGAGATCCCAATTCGACGGGTGAGAGCTCGATGGGAGCTTTAGAGGACATATTGAACTTTCTGATCCGACGCTTTCAATTGCTCTGATCCGATTGCAATTGATCCGGCTGGTATCGAAGGGGAAAGACAGACAAAGAGCCGAGACGGACTGTTTACCTGCAAAAAAAAGAAGGAATAAGGTTTGTACGATCTTCCTGCTTTCGATGATTTCGCTTCCGCGGGCGCGGGGCTCAGCTACTCTAGAGATTGATTGCCCTGGGCTGCCACCCGCGCCGCACCCTAAAATTCGAGGATTACCCGGCATTCTAGGTAACGACGACAATAATCAAGAAATATACCAGGCAGAATGTTCAGACCAACACCAGTCGCACTGAAGCGATCAGTATGGAAGGGTCAGTATCCGGAGAATGTCCCAGTGTTGTTGGTGCCGGGTCTTGGAGTTCATGGGCTGATGCAGGTTCAATAGGACCCAACATCGTCTCGTTCCCGGTGAATTTGCAGCAGGCGTTAAAGAATAAGACTCCGATTCGTACTCAGCAGAGGAGTTGTCAGATTTTGCCGAGTTTCGTAGGGTGAGTGTGACTTCTTTTTGGGAGGGCGGGGTGTGAGGTGGATGCAGGTTGGGTCTGTGACCGCAAGGAGCAGAAGATGTTGAAGGAGGGACGGTGGAACGCATCGTGTCTGTTCCTCGACCTTTGTCGAATGGATGGCATGCTCCAGTTCGGTGCTGGCACCATAGCGTCGAACCTCGCGTTGTCCTACGATCCCTTCCACTCCTTGCGCTTACGACGGCTTGATCCATCCCCTCCCTGGCTCCCACCTGTCCGAGTTTGGCAGCTAACACGTTTATGTATAGGTTGAAGTTCTTGGTGCACAACGGTATGAACTACATGCCTGTTGATATCACCGACGAGATGGTCGGACACAAGTTGGGCGAGTTCGTTATGACCAGGACGAGGTTCACCTTCAGGCAGACGAAGGCTCGTTAAGGGATGAACAGGGGAAGGAAAAGAAGCGATGGAGAAGGAATATATATCGAAACGAGGGTGTCTACGAGCGGTGAAGAGCGGTGGAAGGGGGGCACTGTAGCTAAGGGACATGCATACGGAAAAACGAGGAAGGATAGGTGCAGGACGATCGGGAAAAACGTCTTTCGGATTGTACGTGTAAAAGGGCTCGGTTTTTTTGTCTATTTCTATGCTTCGAAGGCGAGGACGGCAAGTTGGGGGCGAGTTCGAATTCGGGCGGGATCAGGCGACGGCGGCGTCGCGATAATCCTCAGTGATCCCGGCCGACTGTCTGTAGTAATTCGGATGCTCGATTACTCTTTCTGCCATGTACTTTCACGCCTTTTCTCTGCTCTTCACACAACTCGACCTTCCCACCGGTAGCCTTTATCTCCAACGAATCACCGGCCGGCTTTACCCCAGACTTGACCGGACGTTTATCTCTGCCCCGACGTCACACGAAAACGCACCGTAAACATGTAGAAAAACTGAACATCTGGACCTCTACAACTTCTACTCAACCCAATTGCAAGACAGATCAATCGTCATCGTCGAACATGCCCGACGAAGTTTCCGGTTCCCAGGAGTACGCCTCCCCATACCATCCCCAGGGCAAGCTCTACGGCTTCGTCTGCGTCGTGACAGGCGCCGGTCCCAAGAACGCAATCGGTTACTCTACCGTCCTCGAACTCGCAGCCCACGGTGTTGCAGTAATCTACGCAATCGACACCACCCTCCCAAACCTCGACGCCCTTGTCTCCGCGTGTGCCTCCACCTCCCCCAACACCAAAATCCTCGGCGTGGAGCTCGACGTTAATGGTGAACAGGGACATCTGGAACTCATCGATGATATCTTGAATTTGTGGGGGAGGCTGGATGTGTGGGTTAGTACTTCTACCGCATTAGGGCCTGGACATCTCACGAGTACGGGACCGGGGGGGTTGACGGAGACGATGGTTGCGGAAGCCGTTGCGCCGTTTTGGGCGGTCAAGTGGGCGCCGGGTGCGATGAAGAAGGTTTGTTCGAAGCGGGATTATCCGAATGCTGCGCCGAAGAAGTCGTCGTTTGGGTCCATTATCGTCGTCACGCATACCGCGAGCCAGGTTGCGGGGCCGTGGGGTCCTGCGTTGGTGATGGCCTCGCATGCGGCGCTTGGGGTTGTGAGGTCTGGATGCCGTGAGCTCGCTGGGACGGGGGTGCGGATTAATGCTATTTCGGCTGGGGTGATTGAGCATCGGGGGAGGGAGGAGGCAGCGGTGGTGAAGGGCGTTCCGTTGATGAGGGCGGGAAAGCCGGAGGAGGTGGGGAAGGTTGTGGGGTTCTTGGCTAGTGGGTTCTCGAGCTATGTTAACGGAGCGAATATCGTTGTTGATGGTGGTGCGACGGCTGTTGGGTGTATGTAGAGTAGTAGAAGAGGATATCGTTACATAAGGCAAAGCGTAGTTACAATGGCATATCTCTATCTCCCATGCCCGCCACATACACAAGATTAGCGAGTCACCATGTACAAAGGTGGAGAAAGACGCATCTCAGTCAGAAGCCATGTAAGAGCCGTCATGGAAAATATGGTCGACAAAACCGAAAAAATGGTCACGGAGAGGCTCGAACTCTCAGCCTTGGCGTTATTAGCACCACGCGCTAACCAATTGCGCCACGCAACCTGTTAGATGGGAAGGAAAAACATGAAATATTTACAAAGCCCCACGCAGGTCACGTAGCTTTCGAAGAATGAAGGGAGCCTCCTGGTCAGGCCTCCCTGGTCAAGCCATACCTCCCCTCGTCTCCCCAACCCCCTAGACCTCCTTCTGCCTCAGCTGCTTTCCCTGCACCCACGCCTGGCTGTTCATGAAAGATGCCGAGGCCACCGGTCGATAGAACGCGTGAGAAGGAGGTGCTTGGATTGGACTTGATAACGCAGCAAACGCCTGAGTACAATACGACTCCTATTCGTATCACATGTCTTTCGAAAACGCCTGAGCTCAGTATCGGGCCGAAAATGGTCAGAGGCCTCGAGCTCGTTCCTCATCTCGTTCTGAGGCCATACACCGTCGGCCGCCTTCACGAGCGTCTCCTTCGCGACCACTGTGTCCGTCTACACGCCCCGCCGAAGACAGGGAATACGATTCTCTGTGCGCTGCTTGCTCACTACTACCTCTACCTGAACCCAAAGTCTCGGGTGCACTACACCAAGGGATGGAACCCAGTCGACTACGAATACAACGCCAAAGACGCCATCTTCGCACGTACCGGAACCAGCTACAAAGAAATGTGGATGAAAAGCGAACTCCTGATCATCGACGAGGCGGACGTCACGATGGATGATATGTCCCTGTACTCCCTCCTCGCCAACGCCGATTTCCGTGCGAAACCGTTCATGTGTCTCATCGTTACTTCGGCGCGGACGGTGACGCCCAGGCCGCCGCCGAGTACGGTGTATCTTCATGCGCCAGAACGGAGCTTGGATCGGTTGAGAATGCTTAGTGTTGTTTTTGCGCCGGATGAACAGGATGAGTTCATCGAGTCCTGGGAGTATACACATCACGTCCGACTCTCGACACCCCTCCGTCGCCGCGTCAAAGCACTCGCCGAAGGTCATCCATCCATCCTCCGCATCTGTCTCCACCTTATTCGGAAACGCGTTCCATACTTCTTCCTCGCGCTCTCCGAACATCTCGTCCACCTCGGCCTCATCCCGTCTTCCCACGAGCTCAACAGTGACAAGAATCTGTGGTTTCTCCTGTCTGCATTCTTGAACAGGTACCCGGACGGCTTACACCCCTCGTACCTCCTCCGAACCGATATCCGCTCCGCCTTGACGCTCGCCAAATCTCGAGGCTGGCTCGCTACCTCCGCAGACGCACACGGCACGCTTCAAACCATCTTCACCACGAACGCACACCGCGCCCTCCTCGAATGGCGTATGAGACAGATGTCGTGGCAGGGTGAGGGAGCGGCGTGGGGGCTGTTGATGTCCAGGATTGAGGCGTGTGGGTTTTTAGAGGGACATGGGGATGCGTTTTTGAGGGGGATGGATTTCGAGAGGGAGGGGGTTGTTGTTGGGGATGGGAGTGTGGGAGGGGGACTGGGGCATGGCGATACTGATGGTGGGTTTGTCATGGTTGTGAATGAGGAGGGAGGTGCTGCTACTGCGGCGACTTAGACGTTGTGGGGGCATAGAGGGACTGTAACAAGAGGCGCAAAGGGACAGAGATCGGATAAGGGACATTTGCTAGACTATGGGCTTACACGGGGTATATTTTCACTTACATCACGGTACTAATATAAACGCTTTCATCTTTCACACGCCCATCATCCCCCTCAACTCGTCCCACAACCCCTCAGGCAACCCAAACCTATTCTCCATCTCCTCCTTCTGCTTCACATTCTCGTTCTTGCTCTTGGCGGAGTTTGCCTTCTGTGCTGCGTCGTCAGCCAAGATGACTTCTTCCCACTTGTCCTCTGGTACGGCTTCGACGCTGGCTTTTCCGTCGCGCACATTGACTTGGACGATAGCCCATACCTCTCCGGTCTCGGTTTCCAGTTGGACGAGATATTCGTTGGGAAGGTCGGAGCCTTGATCGACTTCGGCTTGGACTTGGGTGATCAGTTGTTGGATGACGTTCGTCAAGAAAGGATCGTCGTCGGTGTTGGACTGAGTCTTGTCGGCGTTCTTTGGGGAGTCGGGAGCTTGATCAGCACCTGCATGTCTTTCGAAATCCTGGAGGATGTGCTGGATCGCCGCTGCGGCCCTTCCGAGGTGTTCATCTTCAGTTGTAGCTTGTCCGGCTTTCTTCGACGCCCGAAGAGCGGCGGTTTCGGCGGTAATCTCCGCATCGACCTGTGCCTGTGCTTCCTGTTCTTCGAGGACCCTCGCTTCCTCCTCCGCAAATAGGGTCGCGATCCTGGAGGCTTCCCCGACGTCCAACAACCGGCCGTGATCCTCACCCTTCGCTTCCTTCTCCTGCTCCGATCCTTCGATGTCTCCCGCCGATCCGTCCTCTTGTAACGCCTCAACAACACGATGACAAGTAATTGTTTTTGCTTCCGGTACCTCCGTCGGTAAGAACCTCTTCTCGGAACACAGCCTTGGGGTGAGTACCACCATCTCATAAGTGCACGTCGCGATTTCCTTGTGGTGCGTGATTAAATCGCCCTTCGCTCCGGGTGCGCATTCAAATAACACATCCAGTCGTCTGGGCAATCCAGTTAGATCACATAACGTACCATCGCCCAACTTCATTCGTAGACTGGTGCTCGTTGCGACCCCGTCACCTTCCAGGATCTCGACATGGTCTTTGATCCAGTCATCTGTCAGTTTGTTTACCTGGGGCATCTTTCCCAAGATGAAGTGCGGACTCGATTCATCTTCTCTCGGGAGCGGGAGGGTCCGGAATCCTTGCTGAATTGAATCCTTCGACGGCGGTAAGGCGTGGAATTGCTTGACATGAGTACCATGACAATACGCATACGTCCACCAATCTCCGTTTCCGGTGTATAAGCATCCCTTTTCCAGCCCCTTCAGCAACTCGAGTGCTTTGACGACATCTTCCTTCGTAGCTGGGCCCTTTGCCTGTTCCTCCTGTCTTTGTTGAGAAACTTCGTTCGATACAGACGCCGGGTATGAACACAGATACGGCCACCCATGCAGTCGCATCAGTTCATATGTTCCCTCCGGTGGTGGGTGCGCAAGGAGTTCCGAAGCTTCAGATCGGAGCATGCGTGGGACATCGAACGAGACGGTGTATGGGTAGACTGGATGCGGATCTGGAAGGGTGATGGAGGCAGCTGAGGAGGAGAGAAGGGCGGTTGCTGTGAGGAGAACACCGAATCGGGCGAACATTGTTGGGGAGGGTTTGGGGGTGGGTGGTGCGATGACGTTGGGCGCGCTTGTAACGTTGACAATATGTGCAGTAGTTTGTCCTCATTTTAGGTGATTTAATAATGTCTAACAGGTTGCGTGGCGCAATTGGTTAGCGCGTGGTGCTAATAACGCCAAGGCTGAGAGTTCGAGCCTCTCCGTGACCATTTTTGCTCTCCTTTCACCTGCGATGTTTCTCACGCTCCACCGGGCGTTTTGTGCCAACTAATCTGCTTCCCTAACACCGTTCACCTCGCGAGCCAGGTCTCTGCTTTTACACTATCCGTATCTCCCTCAGAGCGTATTCTCTGCCAGCTGGAGTTCAGAAACAACACACTTCTTACTTTCCCACGACCTTGACTGCCGCTGCTTGTCGCCCTGACGCTCGCGCGCCGCCAACACGTCGTTCGAATCCCAAGTAAGTAACGCAGCGACTCCCTCGACAATCACCAACCAATTCCGCAATGGCAGAAGCAGTTCTGTCGAAGCAGACTTCTCGAGATGCTCGAGGCCTGCTCAAGGTTGTCATCTTGGCGCTGATCGCAGGTGCGTACTGAGCGTGGCACGATCGAGCGTGGTGTGTTCGTGGGAGTTGGATTGCTAACAGTTGGGTGGTATAGGTGCCGCGATTGCGTCTCGTTTGTTTTCTGTGATTCGTTTCGAGTCGGTCATTCACGAGTTTGATCCTTGTACGTCTTTCCTCTCCTCGCCAATTGCGTGCTGTGGTTGTCGTTGTGCACATTCTCGAGGATCATTTAAACTGATGTTCTCTCGTACAGGGTTCAACTTCCGCGCATCCAAATACCTCGTCAAAAACGGTTTCTACGATTTCATCAACTGGTTCGACGAACGCTCCTGGTACCCCCTCGGCCGTGTCGCCGGAGGCACGCTTTACCCCGGTCTCATGATCACCTCCGGCTTGATCCACAATGCGTTGAAGGCAATCAATTACCCCGTCGATATCAGGAATATTTGTGTACTCCTCGCTCCAGGATTTTCTGGGTTGACTGCGCTCGCGACGTACTGGTTCACGAAGGAGATGAAGGACGAGAGTGCGGGGTTATTGGCTGCGGCGTTTATTGGGATTGCGCCGGGGTACATCTCTCGTTCGGTGGCCGGGTCGTATGATAACGAAGCCATTGCGATCTTCTTGCTTATGTTCACCTTCTTCTTGTGGATTAAGGCGTTGAAGGTTGGATCTGCGTTCTGGGGTGGGTTAGCGGCACTGTTCTACTACTACATGGTCGCTGCGTGGGGTGGATACGTGTTCATCACCAACATGATCCCGCTCCATGTTTTCGTCCTTATCCTCATGGGACGTTTCTCGAACCGGATTTACGTCGCGTACTCGAGTTGGTACGCGCTCGGTACGTTGATGTCCATGCAGATTCCCTTCGTCGGGTTCCAGCCCATTAGGACGAGCGAGCACATGGCCGCTCTCGGAATCTTCGGATTGGTCCAGATTGTTGCGTTTGTGGAGTTTGTTAGGGGCCAGGTTCCTAGCAAGCAGTTCCAGGTCTTGTTGAGGTCATTTGTTGTTGTCATGTTTGTCGGTGGATTGGCTGCATTGGTAGGCCTCACTCTGAGCGGTACTATTGCGCCTTGGACTGGTCGTTTCTACTCCCTTTGGGATACTGGCTATGCTAAGGTGCATATTCCTATCATTGCGTCGGTCTCTGAACACCAGCCTACCGCTTGGCCATCGTACTTCTTCGATCTCGGTATGTTGATTTGGCTCTTCCCTGCCGGTGTCTACATGTGTTTCCGCGAGTTGAGGGATGAACACGTCTTCGTCATCGTTTACGCTGTCATGGCTTCCTACTTTTCTGGTGTCATGGTTCGTTTGATGTTGACGCTCACTCCTTGCGTCTGTGTCTCTGCTGCAATGGCTGCGAGCACGTTGTTGGACTCCTTCCTGGATGTCACCACCTCTCCTTCAGTTTCTGCTGAGGCGGCCACGACTGCTGCTGTCGAGAGCAACTCTGGCAAGCCCGCTGCGGAGAAATCTACCTCTGCCATCGAGACTCAGGCCAGCAAGATGATCAAGGGCATGAGCAACAAGCGCTCTGAGAAGCCCGTCGGGATCTACTCCAAAGCCAACAGACTCGTCGTCGTCTCCTCCTTCCTCATGTACTTCATCCTCTTCGTGTACCACTGTACCTGGGTCACCTCGAACGCTTATTCTTCCCCCTCCGTCGTTCTCGCCTCGCGTATGCCCGATGGAAGTCAGCATATTATCGATGATTACCGCGAGGCGTATTATTGGTTGAGGAAGAACACGCCTGAGGATGCAAGGATCATGTCGTGGTGGGATTACGGATATCAGATTGCGGGTATGGCTGATCGTACCACGTTGGTCGATAACAACACCTGGAATAACACCCATATCGCTACTGTCGGTAAAGCGATGTCGAGTCGTGAGGAAGTGTCGTACCCTATCCTCAAAAAGCACGACGTTGACTACGTCCTTGTCATCTTTGGTGGATTGTTGGGATACTCTGGTGATGATATCAACAAGTTCTTGTGGATGGTGAGGATCGCGGAGGGGATTTGGCCTGATGAGGTCAAGGAACGCGATTTCTTTACTGCGAGGGGTGAGTACCGTATCGACGACGAAGCTACCCCTACGATGAAGAATAGTTTGATGTACAAGATGTCGTACTATAACTACGACAAGCTCTTCCCTCAGGGACAGGCTATGGACCGTGTTCGTGGCTCGCGCTTGCCGGCCGAGGGACCGGTGTTGAATACCCTTGAGGAGGCGTTCACCAGTGAAAACTGGATTGTGAGGATTTACAAGGTGAAGGATTTAGATAACGTTGGGCGCGACCATGCTTCTGCGATGCAGTTCGAGCAGGGCAAAAAGAAGAGGAGAAGGAGTGGTGGCAACAAGGGCGTCGTCAGGAAGCTTCGCGTTTGAGGACACCTGTAGCTTCGGTTTGATGTAGATGATGTCAAAATATACCGTTTGAGCATCTGAAAATCCATATGAGGTCTCCGTTTCCCTAAACGAGCAGGAACGTGTAGAACCGGCGTAAACTCAGTGATTTTTATATCGTACCCGACTATCCAACTATGGATATTAAAAGAGTGAAAAAATGTCCCATAAATCTCACAATGACACCTCCACATACAATCTTTCATGATCATCACATGAGATCCCTTTACTATCTCATCACATTCATCCCTATACTTAGAATCCGAAAGGATTTTGCGGTGCTGCAACTCGAATCAGTAAACGTACAAAACTGGCATGCACAGAATATAAACTTACTCGCTGCGGAGAGATTCGCCCTCCTTCCTGTTGGTTGCGGCTTAAGCCCGAAGCTCGCCGGCTTAAACTGCTGTGGTTGCTGCTGTTGCTGTCCTCCGAAACCAGTCTGCTGCGCACCCTGATACCCAGTTGGCTGAACCTGCAAAGGCATGAACCCAGTTGCCTGCGAAGGCATAAAGGGAACCTGCTGCTGCTGAGGCTGGTATCCCATTGGGTTCGTCTGCATCGGCATCTGTGGTATCGTTGGGACGAGGGGCTGAGGGAGTCCGGTGGACATTGGTCGCATTTTCTGCTGAGGCTGGAAGCCTGTTTGCATGGGTTGCTGAAGGGGCATGAAACCTGTTGGCTGGGATGGAAGAGGCGAGGGGGCCTGCATCGGCTGCTGCATTGGCTGTTGGTAGCCCGTCTGTATGGGCTGCTGCTGCTGAGGCTGGAATTGCTGCATACCGGCACCGTTCGCGAACTGCTGCTGCTGAGGCTGGTACCCAGACATCTGCGGTTGCTGCTGCTGCTGCATCATGCCATTCACCTGCTGGGGCTGATAACCGGTCTGCTGAGGCATAAATCCAGTCTGCTGCGGTTGTTGGGGCTGCTGGAATCCAGTTTGCATAGGTTGCTGAACGGGCATCTGCTGTTGAGGCATGTATCCCGTATGCATGGGCTGCACCTGTCCCATCGGCTGCGTAGGCTGAGGCGACAAATGCGTCTGCTGCATCTGCATATTCAACGCGGCCAGGGTAGGCTGACCTCCGCTCATCATGGGCTGCTGGACTTGACGAGACACGGGTGGTGGAGGAGGGAGCATGCCCTGTCCGGTTGGCTGGGGAGCGACCGGACGACCGCGGGGTGGGTATGCCTGAGGGATTTGAGAGACAGGCGGCAGAGACATGCCGGTAGACTGGGGTGCCATACCCGTCATCTGCGGCTGGGCGATGGGTTGGTGCATCATACCAGTAGGTTGCTGTTGCATCATACCCGTTGGCTGTTGCTGCATCTGCTGAACAGGAGGAGCAGCCATAACAGCAGGCGCAGGTGCCGGCGGCGGAGTAGGGACGAGCGGCTGGCTCAACAGCGACAAATCCTGTGCCGCACCCACGATCGGCGGGCTCGACACAGGTATCTGGAATGGCGGGGCAGAAGCGACAGTCTGACCCGTAGCCTGGGGAGCAACGGCAGCCGCGGGCTTAGGTCTGACGGTCCACGCATCATCCTCAAACCCACCCACCGCGTTACCTGTCTGCTGCGGCGCAACAGTTCTGGGAGCCTCGACCGTCGCAGTCGAGGACGACGGCTTGAACGCATTCGGATCAACCGTCTCCGGAGCAGATTTCGTCCCCTCCGGCCTTCCCCTTCTCGTATTATTCCTCAAACCCCCACCAGGCCCCGAAAACAATCCACTCCCATCCCTACTTCCAGAGCCCGAGGATTCAGAATCAAGCTGCGCCTGCAACTGCCTCGCCATATCCTCATCCTTACTCGTATCCTCCGCCCCCACAAACTCCGCTCCACCAAACGACACGGAGCGTGCAGGTTTTCCTCTACTGAACTTCTTGTCGAGGGATTTCATGACGCGGATGATGTCCCCTTCTTTCAGGCCAAGGGTGCGGAGGGTTTGCGGGCCGACGTCTTCGAGGATAGATTCGTCCATGCCGTCTTTTTCGAAGTTATGGGCGTAGCGTTGGGAGGAGGTTGGGTCCACACCCGCGTTAAGGAAGAATTCGAACCAGTCGTAGTCACTACCGGTTGGCCTTCCTTGCGCAGGAGGAACGGAAACCTTCTTGGCGGGCTCAGAGGCGGGCTTGTCAGCGGAGAGATTCTTGCCTGTCGTACGCTCAACGTACTCGATATCCTCCGCGCTCATCTTACCAACTGGAACGGCGATTTTGACACCGTTCATCTTGTAGAGGTGGATCTTGCCATCCACACAGCCCAGGAACTCTGCGTCGACCTTGAATGTACCCGTACGGTCCGTCCATGTACGCATATTCGCAGGATTGGGCTTCGCGCGTTCCTTCTCCTTCTCTTTTCCGTTACCCTTGCTGCTGGTGTTTCCGCTATCAGATCTCTCGACGCGGCGGTCGCGGGTAGAGGAGGTGGGTTCATCCGCCATCCGAACCCTCTTCTCTTCCTTCTTCTTCCGCCCACCATCCTTAACAAGCTCGACATACGAAGCAGGAACGACACCCTCCTTCCTTCCAACCCGGATCATCCACCAATCCTCGGATTTGGTGTCATCGACGATAACCACCTCTGTATCCGCACGGACCGAGACCTCGTCCTGACCTTGGGCTTCAAAGTCATAGAGTACGATTCCGAGTTTCTCGACCGTACGGGGGGCGCGGGAAGCGGCTTGTGCGACGGCTGAGGCGGAAAGGGAGGGTGGTTCTACTTTTCGGGCGGGAGGGGAGTATTCGTTGTCCGAGTCTTCGGAGTCGTAGCGTTTGCGGGTATCGACGTACATCGACTCACGGTTCTTCTGCGCTAATCCACTTCCCTCGGGTAAAGACGGCATCGGTCTCCCAATCGCCTCCGCGATCTCTCTCAAGCCCGGTGCCCGTGCAGCTCCCGCCAAATCGCCGAGCGCCCCGACAATCTCCTCCGCAGCCGCAGTGGACCCGGCGTGGAAGTCGAAAGAGGCTGTTTCGGGGGGCGAAACGACATCGATGTAGACGTGCTTTTTCTCGGAGGAGTAGCGGAGGAGGGATGTGATGTTCCAGGTTCGAACGGGGGTTTTGGCGTCGTCGACGCCAAAGATGATGGAGGCGTTGCCGATGCCGAGGGTGCCCTTTCGCTTTTTTTTCTTGCCGATGACTTCTTGGACGGGAAAGGTTTGGAAGGAGCCGCCGATGGGGGCTGCTGCGGGGGCCGCTGAGGCCTTGGGGACAGAGGCTGGGCCGGCGGCGGGGAGGGCGAGGACTGGGGGTTGAGGAGGGGGGGATGGGGCTCGTGGTGGGGAGGGAGCACGGGGAGCGAAGGATTCACGGTCGACGTGTTGGGGTGGTGGAGCGAATGCCCGCGCTGGCATCCTGGGCGCTGTTGGTTCGGGTTCCGGCTCCGGCTCTGGCTCTTCCTCAGGTTCGGGCTCATACGCGGGCTCTGGCTCGTACGTTTGCCGTGGCACGTAGATTTGCTGGGGTGAGGCAACTGCGCCGTCAGCTTGTTCTTCAAGGTAATTTGATGGCGCGAAGCCGTATTCACTGCCGAGTCGGACGAGCCACCAGTCTGGGTCCTTCTTATCGTAGACGTCGACGATAGCGTCTTCTGCGAAGGAGAGCTCTTCGTCGGTTTGTCGTTCGTAGTCGTACAATGTCCTTGCCTTGACTTCCGGAATGACCTATACCCCAGATCAGCACAATTCATCACAACTTCGGCACAACACATACCTCCTCGACATAATTGGACGGAACGAGACCAATCTCCTCGTTTTCTTCCTCACCATCGACCTTCTTCTTTACTTTCATCCACTCATCGTCGGAGGTCTCGAGGAGGAGAAGGGTGTCATTCTCGGCGATTGCAAGTTCCTCCTCAGTCTGGGGAGGGTAGTCGTAGAGCGCCCTGTAGACGCCGATAAAGGCGGTCATGATTGTATGCGATGCCCGTCTACGTCTGGTGAATCAATTGCTATGGGTATCGCTGTCGGGGTACGTTGTTGCTTTTGGTGTAGTGGCTGTTCGCTATGACGGAGGTTGATCCCGACTGACAGCCGTCGCCCAATTAATCCTGACATTAAGTGAATCAAGATTAATCAACTCAGGAATCGCTGCTAGGATTCATTGATAACTTAAAAGGATTCATGTTCTGGTCGTTCACGAAGTACAACTATGGCAATCAGATCTAGAATCCAAACAGAGTCATCCCTGCCCCGAACTCAAACGTCAACACATCGGTCCTACGGCGGTAGCTGTACACGTTCCGTACCTCATACAGGAATGTCCCACACCCTGCTCCTCTTCCAGGACTGGGCACGGCCCACCACGAGGAGCCGTAAAGAGAGACAAAGATGTAGCGACTCTCTGAAAACTGTCGGTCCTTGAAGAGTCGCACAGGGGCTCTCGGAAATGGACGCGCTTCCGCTCTCCCTTAAGCTTGCAGGGCGTTGGCTCGGGGCTCACGGTACCAAAGGCGTCGATGGCGCAAAACCTGAGCGGCGCATCGCTGTTGATGAACTTGGGTTTGAGACTGATCTTGCTCAGTCTTCTCCAGTTACCGGTCATGTTATGTGGTGGGGTAGTGGTATTGTTTGAGGGTTGGGGGTTGAATGGACGGTCTGGGAGGACGTACGCTTCCTTATATCCTCAAACATTAATGTCGCGCCGAGGCAGATGGTCATGGGGTTAACTGCACTGACTGTTTGCATGCGATACCTCCGACGGCTTTGTAACCTTATTTTCTTTGGTATACCTCGGCTTCGCCACGCGAGTAGTAGTACCGAGCGGACGTATTGTAACTGTCATGGCTAAGTTAACGTTACAGGGATCGTCGAAGCCGCAGCTGCTTACACAGTAAGTAACATTTTACTCGCTAAAGCCATCTTGATGATGATGTCTCCTTAGGGTTAACCAAGTGGGACTACAAGTCTTTGACTGTCAGTGCTCGTTGTTACGGGCATGCAATATCATAACCGGGCCCGGACGCCGTGAGAACTGAAAGATAAATTGAGGCTACGCTACCAGACCACACTCGAATTTGCACCGGACCATTCATCATCTGATTTCCCAGCACTGGGGACTCTATTCGTAATCCAACCACTCCCGTATCCACTTTTTATCCCGACGACCTCTTCGAACTTTGCAGCAATGGCATCCAGGACCTCGAGGCGCACGAGGGTTGTGCGGAGATAGTCCGGGGCCAAGCAAGACTCCACTGCGCGCAAGGTAGCTTGATCACTGCCAGTATTTGAGATCATTTCGTGGCCGAGTAATGGTAGCGTTGTCTGACGGTGGAAATCGAGGAGCCTCCCTAGCGGGAGCACACCTGGCGTGGAACGACAAACGTCGTGGAGGGCGACAAGCCGGTCGTAGAACTGCTCTACACCTATCATCAGTACACTCTCGTAATTTCTGATGGCAGAGCGGACCACACGGGCAAGCAGGCAGCACGAGGGAAAGCACCTCAATGCCATAGACCTCATCCGCTTCGATCTCTTCCAGCTGCGGAATAGGTGGGGCAGGAGTAGACGTCGAGGTCCGTGGAGTGAACCCGGTAAAGGTTGAGGACACTTGCCGGCTCTGGGATCGTGAGGATGGGACAAAGTTACTTTCTGCGTAGAGGTAGATATCGTGTAGGTCTACCGTTGGAGTCAAGGCCTTCAAAGGACCGCCGAGGGCGAGTTTGTTGAGGGATTTCTTGAGCATAGAAGTCATGGTCGGGACTCATCTCGAGGGGATACAGTTAAGAACAGCACGAGTCGCAACCGACACTTATACCATTCAACTCGGGATTCACTACCCGAGGCAGAGTTGAGCTCGGTATAGTGCGATATCGATTCATGCATACACCCGATTTAGGATCCGACGGGGCTCGGCTCAAATCGCTTTTGAGATGTAGCAAATATGGCATCGCTTAAGCTTATCGAGGACATGTGATTCATTATGGGCTTCCATTAACTGCGGGAAAGGTTTGTCAAATCTTCGATATTGACGGCGTGCTGCGAATTGACTTGCGGTCGGACCGGGCCGTTGGCATGTCCGTTTCACAGGTCACAACGGGATTTGTGGGTAGAGCCCCGAGGTTTCAAAAAAGCATGTTCTTATCGTTGCTCTGGATTCTGGCTCTGTGACAGTTGAACTCTTACAGGAGCATGTCATAGGTTCAGAGGGTGCACCTTCTCCGCGGCACCGTAGGGAACCGCCGTCAGTTGTGAGGAACATGAGATATTGAAAGGCAGATTGAGGCATGTGGGAACTGGCTTTATATACATTGGCAATAAACTGACCTGGTAAGGCATGTATAAACCTGAACCTGAGGCATACCACGTCATGGCCGCCCGTGACCCCGTACGCGGCCCGAGCCGACCGTCTCGAGACCAAACACCAAGGACTCAATTAAAAAGCAGCTGAAGAGGCAGGATATACCCATCAATACCCCAGCTTCATCAGCCTGTGATCAATTGATCCACCACCATGCAGCGACACCGGCTGCTCGAGCTGATCACCTTACTGGCTCTCGCCGTCTTCAGCGGAGTCTTGGCAGATAAACCCAAGGTCCACCGAACGACATTCGACAATTTACCTGCGAATTACTTTTATTTCAATGATTCTCCGGTGCTGCTTTACCATGACCCGATTACGGGGGTCGTGTACCGGTCTGACAATGAGGGCAAGACGTTTGATCCGGTGAAGGGCGTGAAGGAGGGCGAGGCGCGGGATTTGATTCAGCATCCATTCGATAATGAGAAGGCGTTTATTTTGAGTACGGGCACGAAGCATTGGAGGACCGAAAACCAGGGAAAGTCGTGGCAATCGTTCACGACGCCGCATCCGCCGACAAACATGGGCGCGCCGATTGCGTTCTCGGCGACAAAGGGGAATTACGCCATTTTCACTGGGATGAAGTGCGAGATTGGGATTTTTGGGTCGTGTCAGGATGTTGCGTTTTACACGAAGGATGCGTTCGACACGGATCCTAAGCCGTTGTTGTCGAATGTGATTCAGTGTGCGTTTATGCAAGCTTCGAAGCACTTCAAGGAGGGAGATCCGCAGACTGTCTTTTGCGTTCGTCCTGACCCTGATTCCAAGGACTCGTTCCCGGACAACTTACAACTCGTCAAATCTTCCGACTGGTTCCAGACCACCGAGGACGTCTCCTTTGAAGGCTCTCGCGCTGTACGCGGAGTCGTCGGTATCGTTGTCGTAGAGAAATTCCTCGTGGCTGCTGTGAAGTCTTCTGGGACGGATGAGATGAGAATGTATGTCTCCCTGGACGGCAACCTTTGGGATCGCGCCGAGTTCCCTCACGACTCTAAGCTCGAGGAGGACGCTTACACCGTGCTCGAATCGACGCCATACGCTATTCAAGTCGATGTCCTTGGTAACAATGCCATCAACCCCATGGGTACGCTCTACACCTCGAACTCCAACGGTACCTACTTCGTCAGGCGCCTCGAGCACACGAACCGCAATGTCGGTGGAAACGTGGATTTCGAGAAGGTTGATAATGTCGAGGGTGTCGTCCTGGCCAACATCGTCGCGAACTGGGAAGAGGTCCAAGAGCGCCGCATGACTACTAAGAAGGTCCAGTCTCGGATCTCCTTTGACGACGGTAACACTTGGCACCGTCTCAAGGGTCCGGGATGCGATGGGAAGAGCGCGGATGAGTGTAGTCTGCATCTTCATTCTGTTACTTCTCCGCATAACTCTGGTCGGATTTTCTCTTCTACTGCCGCGCCTGGAATCTTGATGGGTGTCGGTAACGTTGGCTCTGAGATTAAGGAGTACACTGAAGGCGACCTGTATGCGTCTACGGATGCTGGGTTGACGTGGTCTCTGTCTCGCAGTGGAGCGCACAAGTACGAGTTTGGCGATGGTGGATCTATCCTTATCGCTGTTGATGACGAGGAATCTACGGACAAGGTCGCCTATTCCTTGGACTTTGGCAGGACGTGGAAGGAGGTCGACTTGGATGGTAAAGTCAAGGCGAGAATGTTGACCACCGTCCCTGACTCCACGAGTAGGAAGTTCACGCTCCTCGCAACCGGTGCTCGTGGTGAGAAAGACGAGGGCAAGACCCTCGTGGTCTTTGTCGACTTTGCCGACCTCGATGAGCGGGAGAAGAAGTGTAAGCTTGATGAGAAGGATGAAGGAAAGTCCGACTTTGAGAAGTGGTATGCACGTACTGTGGATGGACAGCCGCAGTGCTTGATGGGACACAAGGAGTTTTTCTGGAGGAAGAAGGTTGATAGGGAGTGCTTTGTCGGAGACAAGTATGAAGATCCTGTCCCTGTGGAAGAAAACTGCCCTTGCACGGATGCCGATTATGAGTGTGACTACAACTTTGTCCGTGGAGATAATGGTGAGTGTGTTCCTGCTACTGGTGCACCGGATCTTATCCCACCTGGTCAGTGTACCAAGCCCGGTGACAAGTACATGGGCATTAGCGGCTACCGACTCATTCCCGGCAACACCTGCGACAAGAGCAAGGGTGTCAGGAAGGATGAGCCGGTCGAGAAGACCTGTGGAGAGATGCACGTGCCTAGCGGAAAGGTCGGACACCACCAGACCGAGTTCAAGGGCGAGGTGAAGCAGTACTACTATCTCGAGCGCTCTGAGACATCATCTGGAAATGATGAGACTGTGATTCTGAGGACCACGAAGAATGAGGTGTGGAAGACGCATGACCAGGGTGGTAAGTGGGACAGGATCTTGGTTGACCAGGAGGTCATCTCGATCGTTCCGCACCCCTACTTCAAGGATTACGTCTACTTCTTGACTGTGTCGAAAAAGCTCTTCTTCTCCAAGGATCGCGCAAAGACGATCTCGGAAGTTGAAACACCACTTCCTCCCAACGGGTTCGGAGTTCAGGTGCTGCAGTTCCATCCCGTTCATTCAGACTGGATCATTTACACGGGCGGCAAGAACTGCGAGGATGTCTTCGGTGACAACTGCCATGCTGTCGCATACTACTCCAAGGACGGTGGTTTCAGCTGGGATAAGATTGCGCAGTATGTTCGCACTTGCTCCTGGGCTCGCGGAAAGAAGTTCGTGGTTGACGACGATCTTGTCATTTGCGAGAAGTATTCTTCCGAGTCTGGAGCACAGGAGTCGATGACTGCGCGCGACCTTCAGTTGATCTCTTCGAATGATTACTTCGAGAAAGACAAGAATGTGCACTTCAAGCAAATGGTTGGGTTCGCCCCCGTGGAGGAGTATATCGTTGTCGCTGAGCTTGACGAGGAAAGCAAGGCTTTGACCATGCATGTTACCGTCGATGGCAAGAACTACGCCAAGGCGCACTTCCCGCCTAAGTTCAAGATCGATCATCAGCAGGCGTACACCGTTATGGACTCTGTCACTGACTCGATCTTCTTGCACGTAACGACCAACCCGAGGACTGGATCTGAATGGGGTTCCATTATGAAGTCCAACTCGAACGGAACGTATTATGTCCTGTCTGAGGAGAAGGTCAATCGTGACACCTACGGCTACGTCGACTTCGAGAAGATGCAGGGATTGGAAGGTGTTGCGGTCATCAACGTCGTGACCAACGCTGACGATGCTTTGGCCGGAGCCAATAAGAAGCTTAAGACGAAAGCTACTCACAACGATGGTGGGGAGTGGAACTTCATTGCGCCGCCGAAAAAAGATTCGGAGGGCAAGTCCTTCTGTTCTGGATCGTTGGAGCAGTGCTCTCTCAACTTGCACGGCTACACCGAGCGCAAGGACTTCCGGGACACATTGTCTTCTGGATCTGCTGTCGGCCTCATGCTCAGTGTTGGAAACGTTGGCGAATACTTGACGGGTTACGGTGACGGCAACACGTTCATTACCCGTAATGGTGGCGTGACCTGGAAGGAGGCACACAAGGGTACGTACATGTGGGAGTACGGCGACCAGGGTTCGATCATCGTCATCGTCAATGACCGCGAGCCTACGAACAAGATCCTCTACACCCTGAACGAGGGTGAAAGCTGGGAGGAGTACGTGTTCGCGAACGAGGATGCGAAGGTAAAGGTCACCGATATCGCCACTGTTCCCTCGGATACCAGCCGTCGCTTCCTCCTCTTTGGCAAGTCGACACACTCTGACAAGGTCCTGGCTATTCAGCTTGACTTCACTGGCCTGACCGACCGTCAATGTAACCTCGACCCCGAGAACGCCGCGGACGACGATTTCGAGCTCTGGACTCCCATGCACCCTGAATCCGAGAACGGCTGTCTCTTCGGCCATAAAGCTCAGTACCACCGCAAACTTACGGACCATCTCTGCTACATTGGCTCCAGGATCCCGCAGCCGCACAAGATTCTTGATAACTGCACTTGTACCCGCCAGGACTTCGAATGTGATTTCAACTACCAGAGAGCGAGTGATGGGTCGTGTGTGCTCGTCGATGGTGCGACGCCCCTGGATCACTCGCTGGTTTGTGCACAGGCTGATGTGGTGGAGTGGTTCGAGCCGACTGGATACCGTCGTATTCCGATCACGACTTGTCAGGGTGGAAAGGAGTTGGATAAATTCATCGCACACGCCTGCCCCGGAAAAGAACGCGAATTTGAGCGTGAGAGGGGAAAGAAGGGCTTGCACGGTTTCGGATTGTTCGTGGTGATCTTGCTGCCGTTCTTGGCTGCTGGTGGTGTTGCGTGGTATGTGTACGCGAGATGGCAAGCTCGATATGGCCAAATCAGGCTCGGGGATGAGGGGGTCAGGGTTGAGGATAGTCCCGTTGTGCGATACCCCATTATCGCGGTTTCTGCACTCGCTGCGGTGGTGATGACTGTTCCGGCACTCTTGAAAGCCCTTGGGGGGGCTGTTGCGGGGATGATTTCGAGAAATAAGAGGTTCACGACCAGGGGTAGTTTTGCGAGGGGAGAGTATTCGACGCTCGGGAGGACGAGTTTGGATGATGATATCTTGGGGGATTCGGATGGGGAGACATAGATAGGCCTTCTCAATGAGGTTGTGTGCGGGACGATCGCGTACGAATTACTATTAGGTCCGATATTCTAAGACCTGTCTAAGTCTTCTCTACTACGTCTTGGTCTTTGTCTTATCCTATCCTTCTCTGCCACCCCATTTCCTGCTCGCCCAAGTGAATAGACAGATACTTAAGCCGTACCCGACCACACTTCCCAGGTTCACTCCGAAATTCTGTTCTAGACGATTTGCTGTTCCAAAGATAATACACTTCGCGGCATCCACCGCATTCCACACCGGCATAATATACCCGTACCCGTAAAACCAGTGCTGGTCCGCGATACTGACGAACGCGGCACTCACGTTCGCGATAATCCACACACCGAGAAAGAATGGGATGAAAGCCTGCCCGAAGAGGGTGTAAACTCCTTCGATCGCAAACCCGAGAGCTGTCATCGTCACCCAGTTCGACATCCAGAAGAGGAAGAAGCCGGTATGTCCGAAGTATGCCGTAAAGCTAACGTCCCACGCTAAACTGACAAGCGAGAACCATAAGCTGAGGAAGAAGTACTGGATGAGTGGGATGAGGAGTCGCATCGCGAGGGCTGAAGAGAGACGGAGGCGGGCTTGGAGCTGGAGACGTGGTTCGGACCAGAGGTTTACGGTGAAGAAGGTGTAGACGAGGAGGTAGAGCATACAAATCGAAACAACGGGGAGGGCGGCGAAGTGCGTAATGCGATCAACGTTATACTCGCTGAATCCGAAAGCTGAGGCTGGGATCGACGTGGGCGCGGTGGTGAGGACTTGAGCGGCGAAAGCGGCGTTCGCGATACCAAGACCGCGGGAGAGGACGGGGATTGCTTGCGGTGGGATCCATTGGTCGACGGTCAAATACGAGCGGCCTTCAGAGTAGAAGAAACCCATTGCGCCGGTTGGGTCGTACGTTGATACGTCGGTGTTTACGGCCGCGAGGGCAGCGGAGGTTGCGTTCGAGTGGATTACGACCGCGGCCCAGCAATCTTGGTTTTGGACGGCGTAGCGGGCCCAAGCTGTTCCGTCCATGTCGGAGTAGTTTGGGATTTGTGGTGGGATCTTTCACGGTCCAGCCGAGGTGGAATTGGTTTTGGCGGTCTTGGGTTGTTGCTTGGATGATTGCGGGACCGAGGACTGCTGCGGTGCGGTATACGACGGAGTCGAGGTCGAGGATGCAAACGGACAGTCGCCAGCGGTTTTATGGTTGTTGCCAGTAGGAGCCCCAGTAGATCGGGAGGGTGAGCCACATGAAGACCGTGGTGAGGAAGAGGACGAGGCCGATGAATTTGAAGGCATGTCTTTGGTTCGTGAGCTCCGGAGCCCAAAAGGAGTAGTGAGATCGATAAACTTCAGGGTCATCGAGGGGGTTTTGATCCTTTTCGTCGGACATCTTCGGTGCACCGAACTTGCGTGCGGTCGATGAGGAGCGGGAGCAGTAAGCGTGGGAGTAACCGGTACCGCGCGATCGAGGAGAACGGAGGTGATCCTTGTCAAGTCAGCCGGAGGTCGTTAGAGACCATATCGGCCAACCCAGAAGACTGACTAAACAGGAGCAGAAGAAGTACAAGGCATGTCTACGTTACATTCCATACCTCGAGAATCGGGGGTCCAGATTTCCGGCAATGACGCGCGTGCTCGATGGTCGTCGGTTCGCTGCGTCAACCCGCGTCACAGACTTCGAGAATGTCTCATATAAGATCGAAGAGGAAACTTTAAGCTTAACTCAAGGAGATATACGAAGAGTTTGGTAGGAAATACGAAGAGAGACGACGACGCGACGACCAACTTACGGCTATCTATTAAACAACCGACCTATCACCTTGCAATTTATTGCGACCTCCTCCGACCTCCTCTAATCTCTCACGGCCCACGACTGGCGACATGCCAGGATGAACAGACACAGCGACGGCGACATCGCCCGAACCTGAGCCCGGCAATGAGGAATCATCCGGTTTCTGGGATCCAGCCATAAAGAAGGAACGCCAAGCCATCTCCAAGAAGCTCCTCCTCGGATTCGCGTGATCACTATGTCCATGTGGTGCTGCCTCTCCATCTTCTGGGGAAGTCCTTGGGTGCTAGAAACCTACCTCTTCCGCCTCCCAATCTGGATAGTGGATTTCGATACGGAGACGAGTTGGAGAGAGTGCCATCGCGTCCGCCGTGACGTCGACTGCGTTGGGGGCCTTGAGAGAGCATGCGCATTTGGGATGGGATGTTGTCCCGGCGAATCAGTTTCCAAATTATGGAGAGGACGTAGCGTGGTGTACGGTCAGCGAGGAGAATTGGGGTGCGGTAACCATAAACCCGAATGCGACCAGGAGGTGAAGAGAGGCGTTGGCGAGTGGAGATTCGTTATGATCCGATGGACGCGATCACGGTGTATTACAATGAAGTCAGGTTCTTTCAGGTTGTAGATGAGTTTGTGGTACCCCTCATCTACCGAATCTTGCAGACTGCCACGGTGACGGCGAGTCAGGTGGCTGTGTCGGGGTATTTGGGGACGGCGACAGCGGCGGATTTGACAGGGGTTGCGGGAAGCTTGCTACAAGCCTCGGGTCAGCCGTTCTCGTATGGAACGCATAATATACGGGCGATGCATTCTTGAGCGATTCAAGCGCCGTTGGAGGCAGGGTTGATTCACTACCTTATCTTTTGTCTTCATGTTGCGCTTTTCTTGAACACGGCACGCGAACCGCTGCAGAAGATATTGAAGTATTCGTCGTCGGTGATATTTCGGATTGCGGCGCCAGCTGCTATCTATGTGGTGTTGAGTTTGTGGTATACGTTGATCAACCTGACGTTTCATGTGCCGTTGTGGGGTGGACTAGGAGCCGTGGGATTTTGGGTTTTTCGGTTGCTGGCATGGTACGTTTTCTCACTCCCTTTCCTTCCAACGATCTTATCTAAACGTGTTCGCACAGGATATCCGGTCTCTCCATCGGCCTTGCAATGGAATCAATGATCACAATTCTCGGTCCCTCCTTCCTCCCCTTCTTCCCCATCCTCTGGCTCGTCCTCGACATCTCCTCCTCCTTCTTCCCACCCGACGTCCAACAACGCTTCTACCGCTACCGATATGCCATGCCCTTCTACCACAACACACAAGCGACATAGACGATCGCGTACGCTAGGAA